AGGTACCGGGTTCGATCCCCGTTCGCGGTGGCCTATTACGATTAGGTCTGGATACTAAAAAAAATGATCGTGAACTGTGCTGTGGTTGCCCGCTGAATGAAATCAAGGTGGTAAAAACAAAAATTAAAGCCCTCGACAACGTCAACTCCTGCAGTGTGTATCTATCATAAGAAAATGACGGGTGGTATAATTTACCCATGGTCATGTCGCCTGCCATCGCTAACAAATGTTTCTCGATCAAAGCAGTTTGGCCGGAGAGGCGGAAAGTTTAGAGCCCAAGTTCAAAAGGAAAAAAAAAAGACAAAGCAACAATAACAGTTGAAACCTTGAAAGGCCATTCGCCCGGCTTTGAAACAGTCGCTGCTGATACCGCTATCAGCTCGGTTCCATTTCGGCTCTCGGGGGGGAGGCTGGATGCGGAACGGGCACCGACCAAGAGTGTCCGGAGGTAGGGTCGGGTCGTGTGAGCTGCTGTCGTCACTCCAGGGGCACGCGAGAAACTGCGAGGTGCAACGCACTCTGTCCGGTAGGCGCGGGGCAAAGATAGAGGGAGAAAGAAGCAGTAAAAGGATATCGGCGCCCGGTCATTGCATCACAGTTCGCGGGGCAGGACGCCCTCGTAGTGTTGTTTTGGCGGCGTTGTCTGGTCCGGTCACCGCCCCTCCCTCCTCGGCGGCGACCCGGGGGCCAACGAGGACGGCAGGTTGACGAAAGGGCGAGGAGGTCGGCACACCTGCCCTGCCGCTGCAACATCCTCTCCGCGCCTCCTCTCCACGACTCGGTCGGGTCGTCGGGGATAAAAGTGGTCGTCGACGGGGAGGACGGAAGCGGAACCAGGTCGACCCGGGGCTCGGTCGGGGTCGACGGCTCCCGGGCCGGGGGTCGACGACCCCGGTCGGGACGCAGCCTTCGCCGGGGCGGCCGGACGCCCTCGCCGAGGTCAAAGACCCCTGCCGGCCCTGGGGGCGCGGCCGGGGTCACAGGCGCGCGCGCACCCGCCGCTGCTCTTCCACCACGCCGTGCCATACCCCGGTGGGGAAAGAGTGTGCTGGTGCTCCGAGAAGTTCGTGCCCCTTTCTTTCTCTCCTTCGGGTCACCTTTTTTTTTTTGCAGAGTCCACCGGTTGCGATCCGTCTCTCCCCAGCATCGCAAAACTCCCCTCTTCCACTAATCAATGATTCTTAGCGATCGTAGCGAGTTGATGAAGAAGGATATTTTTTTCTCTTTAATATAGCGTTTTCTCACAATCTTCCTTTCACTTTGTTAGATGGCAATGCTATTTAATTCATGAAAATTGAGCGTGCATTTTGAACGCCATCTGACCAGTTCTATTCCAAATTGATAGAACTGTAGCTCGTGCTACTTGATTATTCAGCATCGACATGTTTGCATGACGCAACGAGGGCTGTGTAGTGTCCTCTCATTTGTCTTTGTTCAATTTGCGCTGTGTGAACATGTCACTTGCAAAGGTATGATGTTTTGCTATCGCTGTCAATAGTTCGTCCTTCGGGTAATGACAGTTAAAAAAACCATGAAAAAAAGTAGGCTATTAAAGTTGTTGACACAAAGGAAAATCAATGCATGACATGTCGTTAATTTGCCAAAGTTGACGCAGTACTAATTGCAAAAAAAAAAGGACGTATAGAATCCCTAGCAGCAGTCCCAATAAATCGATTCTTTTTGTATTAGTCGTTTCGTAGTTTTAACAACTATAAATAATGGTGAATTTATTTAACGCACCCAGGAACAAGCGTAAGGTCTGATGCTGCAACACGCCTGCGACGACTTTAAAAAAATAGAGGCAAATATAACTAAACAAACGATTATTTATAAACCGAGACAACTACAGGGCATCTCTAATGCGAGAAAACGCAATAAGTGCAGAAAGACATTTGCAACAAAACACAACAACAATAATACTAATGAAGTAATAATAATAATAATAATAATAATAATAATAATAATAATAATAATAATAATAATAATAGTAATAATGACATTGCATATCAAGTGATAGGTTCGCTCAATGATGCTGCTCCATCGCATTTATGCTTAAGTTTAGGGCAGCGATACCACGCACCTTAGCACATGCAGCTGTAAAAGATCGGCATATTGAAAATGGTCACCACAGCTCTCCACACAATGTTTGGTTGCCGAGCGGTGCTGCATAACGGATCATAGAATTCCGGGTAATTCGTACCTTACTCGTACGCTGAACGTATATGTTTATAAGCCACTATACGAAAGTCCGGTAAACTCTCAAAGCAGTTGTTTCTTCTTTTTTTTTTCTGCTTATGAAAACACCCTTGAACGCACGCAAGAATGTGACGCCATTACGAATGTTTCGTAATTATTCGCACTGCAGCAAGTATACTTTCACATCCCACTTGGGAAAAATGTCACTAAGCAAGTGCGTCTTGATACGCAATTCAAAGGCACGATTCAGTGCCACATCAGAATCGAAAGCACTGTTGCAATAACATATATACAGGTGCTTTGCGTGACCCAGCTTATGGCGCGTAGCCTTCAAGACTAACGACCCGATGATGCATTCCACTCGTTAATCTTGGAGACCCCGCTAAGAAGGAAATCAGACTAGCGCCGCCACTATCAACAGATGGCGCTGGTGCCCGCGCGCGTCTGAACCCGCTCAATTTAAACGGAGCGGCCAGATGCACATTTGATGAGTAGACTTTCAGATGCCGCTGGGGAGCAAATCATTTGCAAGATGTAAAGACAAATATTCTGAAAGGTGCAAGAAACAAGGCAGATAGGCGAGGACGGTGGGAGTTACGTTCTGTTTTGGTTCTTTCCACTCGCCTCTCGCTTGTTGCGCGATATTTGCTGCTGCCGCTAAGGAAGCCGAAGACGAGAACTTTTCCTTGAGGAAACGACCGCTCCGACATCATCTGGATATAGAGACGTTTATTCGTTTCTCTTCTTTCCTTTTTTCACTGTCCCTGCACCCCTGGTTTTATCCCCTGCCTCCCCATTCAACCACTCTTACAGTCCAATCGTAACGCACCACTCATACAGTCCAATCGGAACGCACGGATGTGTCTCTCCTCGCCACAACCTCGAAGACCCACCGCCTCTTGCCCACTCATCGGTTCTCTGCCGTCGCTCAGGTTTCTTTCACACCGGTTCCCGGAATGATCGACGACGGGCGTTGCCAGGTCGTGGAAAAGCGCCTCCGAGTAAGTTCCCACGATGCCGGGCTGACAGGCCATCAATACAATTGGCCCGTGCGCCAATGCCGTCGCCTCCGCTTATTGTCCGGCGGACGCGTACGTGTACCTTCCACGTGTACCTTCCACGTGTACCGGCCACCTGCAGCCTGGCTTGGTCTCCTGTAAGGCGCCATAATTGAACCCCTTGGGGCACGGGAGTTGTCGCGTCCTTTGTGGCCAGCAGACACTCATCGTCCCGCATTCCGGTGGCCCTGCTTCCTTGTTGGCGAGGGGTCGCCGGCCGCGGGGTGGGTAACATAAGGTATTCGGGGAACGCACGAAGTTCGAGCCCAACAGTGGGGGTTTGCCCTATTTCAGTGACACATTAGCCCGCAGTCAACTTTTTCGTCTTAATGGTCTATTGTACATAATTTTGCCTGTCTGACGCCATACATGGCCATGCTACGCTTTATTCTCCACCCACTTCTCACCCTCATCCTATTCACCCTCACTTGCTTTTATTGTACTCTACTCGCGTTGACGGGCTAGCACGCGCTGACGTTCCAATTGTGCAGCCTATTGTGGTGCCTCCTTCGCTTCTTTTTTTTCCTTTCCTTTCCAATCTCACTTGATTTTAAAGAGGGGTATGAGCGCCGCCATGTTGACTTGTTAAACTTTGCGTTTTGCATCTTTAACAACTGAATGAACAGTGTTAGGAACACACACACACACACACACACACACACACACACACACACACACACACACACACACACACACACACACACACACACACACATATATATATATATATATATATATATATATATATATATATATATATATATATACCGAAGAAGTTTTCCCAATGAGCCAAACGTACTTGGGAAGAGAAGAAACACAACTTAGCGGTTGTCTTAATTTTATTACTAACGGTTTCGACCGGTGGACCGGTCTTCGTCAGGGTTTGCGAACAAACACTGACGCAATCTCTGACGAAGACCGGTCCACCAGTCGAAACCGTTGGTAATAAAATTAACAACCGTTTAGTTGTGTTTCTTCTATATATATATATATATATATATATATATATATATATATATATATATATATATATATGAATCATTGTAACACGAAAGTGGCGTCTTTACAGAGGTATAGTTGAGCGTTTATGGTGCATTGCTTTACCAACAGCAACAAATTGCAAAATCATGTTATGAACTGTAAGCAGAAAGCACGCGCGAAATTAGCGTACACAAGACGAGAGCGTACCAACAACTGTCACAGAAAGAAAGACGCGGACAAGCGTGCACATCTGTCGCAATTTTTCCTGCGTCGTGTGTCAGCAGCGCGCTCCTTTCGTAAACGCGGCCGCGGCAGCGTGCGAAATGACCTTCGTCCTCTCTACGAGTCTGAGAAGCACGCGCGCAGGAGAGACCACGCTCCGCGGAGGCGGCGCTTCGTGGAGGCGACAACCTTTAGAGCACGCCCAACGCGAGCCTGTCGTGCCATCTCGTCACTAATAACGAAAACGCGCTAAAGTTTCGAAGCTCTGAGGACTGCCAAACGGTGTGTGGTGTGTATAAATGGCTTGCCATTAGCATCCCAGACAACGTACAATGTGGCGTAGTGGTTAGCACCGCGCGCTGAGTATCGAGAGGTTGATGGTTCGCTTCCGCGTGACAGATGCTTGTCTTGTGGGTTTTTTCTGTGTAATCTCTTTGTACATATTTTTCAACGTCACTTTTGTGACGGAAGTACGTCGGAGGAGCCGCGGTGGACCCCGGCATAAAACACTTTCGTTATAAAAAAAAAATTTAGGCTTCTTGGTTTCTCATGTTTGCACAAGTAAGCGTCATGGATTTCCGACGCAGCCTCTTTAATCATCGAAAAGCTGTGCCGAATGTAACGACGCTAGCGCGCATGCGTGTGAGCAGCCTTTAGTGGCCATTAGTGCAGGGCGTGCACTCCGTGGTGAGCCGGTCGCATATCTCCTTCAGCGATTGTACGCAGTTGTACGCATCTTCGTAGGTGTTGTACAAAGGGATTGGTGTGAATCGGAGCACCGATGGCGGTAGGAGGTCTCCCTGAAATGGGTCAACACAACGACATGGCGTTAGTTGTTTGCAGAGAGAGCAATTACTGACTACAGCAAGGTAGCAATGTATATGCACTTTAAATCTGTGTCTGCTAAGTCTGTGGTCCTTAAATGGGGGAGCTCTGCAAACACCAGGTCGTCCGTGAAGCTATTTCTGAGAGTCTGCAAAACCGATACCAAAAAAAAAAAAAAACACGTTTTTTTTTTAGGCTGTCGTGTGACAACGACCTGTTCTGAACTTTTTATGCTTTACCGCATTACACTTTTGCGATGCGGCGGAGCTGATTATGTTGCCCTCTTTGTGGGTTGGCTGCAAATAATTTGTTGAAGTTTTCAAGGACATATTCACGCGAGCATACTTGTTCAAGGCTTGCATATTTGCATTGGAGATGCAGATGAAATTTCACACGTCGTTGGGATTTACCGGGATTTCTCTTACAAAAACATTCTCGCTACAGACTTATTTATTTATTTATTTTATTTTATTGATACTGTAAGCCTTAACAGGCTCATACAGGAGTGGGAAGAAATTATACAGATTGTCATCTTCACATTAGACCACGGAACAAAAAATAGTAAAAAATGAACACGGGAAAAAATAAGAATGAACAGTACAGACTACTCTAAACAATTACAAATTACAACTGTACATCTAGTCGAAGAACCAAGAATTAAAACAGAATAAAAACACCACAGGCTAACAGGGAAGAGTTCATATTAGACACAGATCTGAGAATTGAAACATCGAGTGGCATACAAATCAAAACGTACATTCAATGAAAAGTTGCGCCATTATTCTACAACGCTGCAACTTACTGATCCAAAAACTTTTCAAGATTGGCAGTGAATGATTCGAGAGATTCTGAGGACACTATTTCACGTGGCAGGTTATTCCATATTTCTATTACTGACGGAAAGTAGGAATACTTAAATGAATTGCAACGGGAGATGAAAGGCCTGATACTCTTGTCGTGGTTTGTTCTGGCGGAGCGCTGATATGGTGGTTTCAAGTACTCGTGTTTGTTGATGTTAATGTTGTCATGATAAAGCAGATAAAGAAATTTTAATGCAGCTATGCGTCGCCGGATCGCCAGTGTTTGAATGCTTGCCCTATTGCGGAGCGCGGTTATGTTGACATCTCGAGAATACTGAGAATACACAAATCGGAGCGCTTTATTTTGTATTCCCTCCAGCTGGTTAAGAAGGTAAGTTTGATGCGGATTCCAGATTACAATGCCGTATTCGAGGATTGGTCGTACAAGGCATTTATAACTTGTTAGTCTAACTTTGGAAGGGGCTAGAGCGAGTTTCCTGCGAAGATATCCCAGCTGTCTGTACGCTTTTGTGCACGTCTGGTTAATGTGAACATCCCATTTTAATGTGTTTGTGATGGTAACGCCCAAATATTTCACCGAAGCGGCCTCTGCTACGTGTAGTCCATTTAAATGATACGCAAATTTTAAGGGTGCTCTCTTTCGGGTTATATGCATATACGAGGTTTTTCCTACGTTTATTTCCATTCCCCATTCTTGACACCATCTTGAAATGTTAGTTAGGGAGGTATTAAGCCGTAACTGATCGTCGATCGCTCGTACTGTGGTATAAATGACACAGTCGTCAGCAAACAGTCTAACTGTGACGTCAGGTTCAACATGACAATGAATGTTATTAACGAAAATTGAGAAAAGAATCGGGCCTAGCACAGACCCTTGTGGGACCCCCGAGTAAACGTCTAACTCTTCAGATTCAGCGTCGTTTACTTTAACGTGCTGACTGCGGTTTGAGAGGTATATAGGCGGCTATCCAGTGTACTATATTGGTTTCAATCCCGATAATCTTCAGCTTGTCAATTAGTTTTTGATGGGGCACCTTATCAAATGCTTTGGAGAAATCTATGAATATTGCGTCACATTGAAGTCTTGAGTTAATTACGGTAGCAAAGTCATGTGTTATTTCGAGAAGTTGGGTTATGGTAGAGAGCCCTTTTCGAAAGCCGTGTTGTTTGGAGTAAAGTAGGTTGTTATCTTCTAAGTAAGTGGTGATTGCCTTGTTGACTATATGCTCCATTAGCTTGCAACAAGAACTAGTCAGTGAAATCGGCCTGTAATTGGTCACAAGTAATTTGTTACCCCCTTTATGAATAGGAAGGACCCTGGCACGAAGCCAGTCCGTCGGCAGTGTGGCTGTTTGAAGCGATGATACGAAAATTGCATGTAGAAAGGGAGTTATTTGTACTGCGTAGCGCCGTAGAAAGGCATTTGAAAGATCGTCAGGGCCTGAACGTTTCTTGACGTCAATCTGCAGCAACAAGTTAAGTATTCCATCATGAGTTATGACTAGTTCCGACATTGATAACGCAGAATCTAGCACAGTTTTGTTTTGAGCGGACGCAGAAGTGCGTGTAAAAACCGACTGAAAGTACCTGTTAAACGTGTTGGCAATAGTGAGAGCTTCATCCGTAATAGTCCCGTTGGTATCGATTTGAGTAACGTGGTCCGCGGGCTTGGATAGATAGCGCCAAAACTTTTGTGGATGCTGTGTCATGAAACTTGTTAATGTCGTTGCAAAGAAAACGTCTCTTGCGTTCCTAATAGATGCCTTTAGCTCATCCGAAAGTCGGCGGATATCGTCAGGATTACGTTTCTTCTTTCGCATTCTTTGCAGCCTTCTTTTCAGGTGGATCACACCACGCGTAATCCATGGGTTTCTGCGTTTTGTACGTTTGAGTCGCGTGGGTACGAATGTTTCCTCACAATATTTTATTATAGCCCCGCCGTGGTGGTCTAGTGGATTCCACTTCCGGTTGCGAAAGCGTGCGGACGTGTGTATCATGAGCTCCGTTGGAGCGGCATCGGCGGCTCAGCTTAGCCGCGGTTCCAGGATTGAAATGCCCCAGGATTATGCTGTTATTTTGCCCCCTCTGCCGACTGGGTATGTGGTTCAGAACACTGTTTTTCTGCATGCGGATGTAAAAGGAAGACCTTATCACGCGGAAGACTTTCGCGAGCCACTTTTTCGACGTGTTCAGCCCACCGAGGTTCTTGCGCTCGGCGCTTATCAAATGAACCACGTGTGGGCAGTGACGTGCCGAAGCACTGAAGGTGTAAAGAAACTTTTAGCTGATCCGCAATTGACTGTGAAAGGCCTCAAATGCATGATAATCGACCCAAGCCACCGCGACGTCCGTCTGAAGCTGCATTGGTTGCTCTACCACGTACGAGAAGAGGACGTACGAAATGCACTGACCCCCTACGGGACGGTGCTTGACGTAGGAATGGATAAGTGGCGAATTGACGGCTACACCCAGCACAATACCATGACGAGAACCGTGACGCTACGGCTAAAGGCTAACGTTACGCTGGACGATATACCTCACCAGTTACGAGTTGGAGGAGAGCTCGCACTTATTGTGGCAACCGGAAGAGCGCCGCGGTGTTTGCGCTGCCAGCAGATTGGCCACATTAGGAGGGACTGTCGAGTCCCGCGGTGTGACACTTGCAAGCGTTTTGGACACGCCTCTGGGAACTGCACGAAGACGTATGCAGCTGCTGCACTGAACACCGGGAGCATGGATAAATCCGAGCTCACTATGGATGAGACCGAAGCAGAAGAATCGGTGAAATCGAAAGCGGCTTGTGAAGGAAAAACACCTAGTGCAGCAGGCATGACGCGATTGCAGAAAGAACCGCCAAGGTCAACTGACAGTGGGGGAGTGCAACCTATCGCGGATGCATTGGCGAAATCACAGGTGACTTCTGCGGAAAAAACATTCAGTACAGGAGGCGTGATGGATGTGAAAGAAGCAGGACAAACAAGTGAACCTGCGTGTATGCAAGCGGCCGCAGAATCACTGACGAGCGCAAAGGAGACTGATGTTTTAAACGACGCAACCGCTGCTACAGACGAGAGTGAAACATCTACTCAAACTGTCCAGGAAACTGCCGAGGGTGGTGCCATGGAGTGGCACGACGCCGAGGAACCTGGTACGGGAGGGAAACGACCACGAGACACAACCTCAACAGAATCAAGTGACATGAGCAATCAAGAACCGCCACCGAAAGCAGCTCTCCTTCGGAGGCAACGACTGGCAGTCAAACATAATATAACAGAAGGGGAAAAGAGGACGGGAAAACCGGCCTCTTGACAACACATTATGTGTCGCCTTCTACCAAGAAGGTGCACCGGACGACTAAATAGGCGGAGTTCGGCTAAGACAGTATGGTGAGCAGCTACTTGTTTAAAAAAAAAAAAAAATGAGCCTGAAGCTTAAAAGAGCAATGCGTTTTGCCAGCTTAAATGTACGCGGATTATCTTCAAGAAGGCGGCAGTACCAGTTGAGTAGGCTGTTTTCGGAGCATGACTTGGATGTGATTGCTGTGCAGGAAACTAAGATAGCGGCAGAGAAAGATACCAATCATATGACGTTGCCTTTTCGCTCAATGTATAACATCTGTGTATCCCATGCTGATGGCTTATCAGGAGGGTGTGCGCTCTTCATACGACGATCGATAGGCGTTGTGGAAAGAAGTGTAGCAAGCAGTGATAAAGGACGCTTCGTAGTGTGTGATTTTTCTTTCTTGAATTTCGAATGGCGTGTCATATGCGTTTATGCTCCGAACCGAGACAGTGAAAGGAAAGTTTTCTTTGAAGAAATAAGTAACTTACTGGAATGTGACAAATATGTAGTCCTTTTTGGTGATTTTAACTGTGTTTGTAGAAAGGAGGACCGTGCCAAGCCGGCCCAGTCATTTGATAAAAGCGCAGTGTTCTTAAATGAGATGATTGCAGAAAATGGCCTGGAAGATGTTGGTTTATGTATGTCTAATTGCAGTGTTCTGTTTACGCACTTTCAGGGTCTAAGCCACGCACGTTTAGACAGAGCGTACATATCACTGGACCTTATTATGTGCTGTGATGAATATGTTGTTACACCAGTGTCTTTCAGCGACCACTGTATGATTAGTTTCACACTTGGCGCTAAAGACAGGACTCCTAAATTTAACTGGCACTTGTGGAAACTAAACAGCCAAATCTTGAAAGATGAATCTTATGGTAAAGATGTAACCGAAGCCCTCACGAAACTCTACGGTAATCAAAAAGATGACTGGGAAACAAAGTGGGAATTTTTCAAACAAGAGGTTAAAATGAATGCAATAGAACGATCTACAAAAAATTAATTCGAGAAGAAACAGGCGGAAAGGAACCTGCGAAGGCAATTACAAGTGCTCTTGCAGGAAGAAACTGTGAAACCCGGCTCCTTTACCAATGAAATAACAGATACTAAAAACAAACTGGAGATTTTAGATAAAGAGAAGTATAAAGGCGCTATAATAAGAGCTAGAAGTGAAAAACTTTGGATAGGTGAGACACCCACAAAACGAGCTTTGGGTGATGAAAAAAAATACGCACAAAGAAATGAAATCAGAGAAATAGTACGCAATGACATACTGACGAATGAAAAAGATCAGATAATGGAGGCGTTTGTGGACCATTATCGCAATCTGCTCGGAAAACGAGTACCGATGGCCACGGGTTTTTGTGATGTCTTTCTTGATACGATGCCCAAGCTTGACGACGATACACGAGAAAAATTAGGGGCTCCTATCAGCGTACAGGAAATAAAAAAAGCTATTGACGACCTAAGTACAGGCAAGACGCCCGGCCCTGATGGAATCGGGGCGGAGTTTTATAAAGTTTATAAAGAAGACGCGGCAGTTGCGCTATACGAAGTTATCGTAGAAGCATACAAAAAGAAAAAACTGCCACGCTCTTACACGCAGGCGCATACTGCCTTGATTCCGAAGACAGATGATAGCAGCAAACTTCAATCTGTAACATCATATCGACCTATCAGTCTTTTGAACACTGATTATAAAATATTCATGAAGGTTTTAGCCAGGAGAATTCAGAACATCATTGAAAAGATTGTAGGGACACACCAGACATGCGGCATAAAAGGTCGCAGCATCACCACGAACATACATATAGTAAGATGTGTACTAGAGATTTGTGACGCCTTTGAAGAACGAATAGCAATCATGCAGATAGATCTACAGAAAGCTTTTGACCGTGTCTCCCATGAAGTATTGTTCAGTGTGTTGAAGCATGTGGGAGTTGGTGACGTAATTTTTGATGGTTTGAAGATGGCATATTCACAGTGTGTAACGCAGTTGATAGTCAATAAGCAGCTCAGTGAAGAAATTGAAATACTAAGTTCTATCAGACAGGGATGCCCGGCCTCAGCATTGTTATTCGCCATCTACCTAGAACCCTTTTGCTTATCAATCATTCAAAACTCAAGTGTGCAAGGCTTTCGGTTACAGAACACGGAGATAAAATTACTCGCATATGCTGACGATGTGGCAGTACTCTGCCAAGATAGACAAAGTATATGTGAAGTCGTTTACATGGCAAATAAATTTTGTGACATGACGGGCAGTGTAATTAACTGGCATAAAACAACTGCCTTTTGGTACGGCAATTGGGATGTGAGGCCTGAGGTATACCTTAACGTAAAATGGGAAAGCAAACCCCTAAAGTACCTCGGTGTACCCTTGGACAGCTATCGCGACAACGCGGATTACTGGAAAGGTGAAGCAGAAACCCTCAGACAAAAAACAAATGCCTGGGGTGGTCGGGATCTGTCTATATTCGCACGTGCAACTGTGTGCAACATGTTTTTGATATAAAAAATCTGGTATGTCATGCAAGTTATCTGTATGTCACGCGTCAATGTACAGAAGTTTCACAGGATTTTTGCTGTGTTTGTGTGGAAATCGCCGTGGGAACGTACAAGCCGGTATAATTTATTCCAGTCCGTTAGTAATGGCGGACTCGGTTTATGTCATTTATTTATTAGACAAGTTGTCTCTCGGTTTATTTTCCTTCGCGATCAAAGAAACAAATTTCTGCAAACAGTGATAAAAGTAAGGCTGTCATCACGCATCCCAGATTTTGTTGTGTCTACAAACAGTGATATGTGCCGATATGTGTCTGGTTTTTTGAGAGAAGTTATACAGTCTTTTGAGTTTTTGAAAGTGCGCTTTTCGCTGGAATATCTTGCCACTGTTAAGCGAAAAAATCTGTACAGGGATCTCCGTGATGTCTTGTTCCCAACACCTTTGTACAGATCTATGTTCAATGGAGGACCCGGACAGGATGTTTTGAAAAGGGTCAAAAAGATGAAAGTAAAAGCAGGGGCAAAAACTTTCTTTTTTAAATTGCATTCCGGGACTCTCCCCGTAAAGCAGTGGCTAGCGGACAAGGGAATCGATGTACCATGGACAACCAATTGTTTACTTTGTAAAACACCTGAGACAATAGACCATGTGTTTATTCATTGCTGGGACGCTGTCTTTCATTGGGACATCCTTCAAAGAACATTGAAAAAAGATCTCCCCATTACAAGCCATGGCATTCGTTTTCTCTGTGTGGATGAGGACGACGGCATACCATACGACATGGTTATGTTAATTAGCCTTCACAGCATCTGGCAGACCACTATGGCTTACAGACATCTTGACCAGAACATACGTCCTGTCCGGGAGAACTTCATTGCAAATATGCGGTATATCACTGAGGTGTACGCCCCGCCGCGGTGGTCTAGTGGCTAAGGTACTCGGCTGCTGACCCGCAGGGCGCGGGTTCGAATCCCGGCTGCGGCGGCTGCATTTCCGATGGAGGCGGAAATGGTGTAGGCCCGTGTGCTCAGATTTGGGTGCACGTTAAAGAACCCCAGGTGGTCGAAATTTCCGGAGCCCTCCACTACGGCGTCTCTCATAATCATATGGTGGTTTTGGGACGTTAAACCCCACATATCAATCAAATCAACAATATTTTATTATATCTTTTAGTTTAAGCCACAGATTATTCACTGTATGGTGATTTTCAATGGAAAACGTTTCCAACGCTACTTCGAGGTAGTCAATAATGCTGACATCATCAGCTCTATTGTAGTTTTTAACAGCTACGCGTGATTTAGGAACTGGTACGCTGTGACCGATAGTGATTGTTAGGAGAACAAGTTTATGATCAGATATGCCCTCTTCTAGTGTGACATCAGCTGTTAGATGGTTAGAGATAAATGCAAGGTCTAGTATTGAAAGCGTATGCCCCTTATTTTCATGTTTGTGAACAGCGGTAGGCGCCGTCGACATTACTGAGGCGCTTGTGGCGACGTCGCGGCGCGTAAGCTCCGCCCAGCCCAAAGATCGCCACTGCAGTGTATGGTCATGTGACTACTGGCACAGCAGCTGCCTCCGAGCACAGCAAATCGGGTCGGTGGCGATGTGCTCGGAAGCAGGTTTGCAGCTGCTGTGTGCCGATTCGCCGTGCTCGGAGGCAGCTGCTGTGCCAGTTGTCACGTCATCATAGAGGGCGGCGGCGAGCTTTGGGCTGGGCAGAGCCTCACCCCTGTATTCACAAACGCTCCTCGACTCGACTTTCACCCTTCACTTGACAGAGTTGAGCACTGCGCCACCACTCGGCTGAAAATGACGCTGCGCTGCTGAAAAATTGCAGCAGACTATTGCTGATGTGCAGTGACTTGCCGTACCTAGAGATGGCGCTCCCATCGGTTTTCTCGAGTGAAGGCGAAGCGCTGAGTGAAGGGAGGTTCTAGAATACGGGAGTCAGTGTTGCTACAGGCGCCTCGGTATGTCGACGGCGCCTGCCGCTGCTCACAAACACGGAATAGTTCGGCAATAACTCACGACGATGCCTCGTCGCAGGAGTTCTTGAAGCACTTGTCGGGCGTCGTAAGGTGCGGCCAGGCGCAGGCTGAACTGGCTTCCTCTGCGTCGGACGTCAGCCGGCGTTAGCAGGTGGAACGGGTGCTTAGTGTCTTTGTAGTCGTGGCGGGCACCAAGCAGGTCCGTCAACAGGAGCTCCATGTAACCGGTCATCAGGAACTGCTTGCGCAGCCGATTCGGCTCGCCAACCTCGCTGAATATCTGGCCCGCGTGGTGTGGGGAACGAACCACCCAACGAATAGTTATTATTATTATTATTATTATTATTATTATTATTATTATTATTATTATTATTATTATTATTATTATTATTCGTAGTAACATAAACAGTAACATACCGAACTAATGAAACCAACAAGATTTAGGCTAAAGAAAAGCATAGACGACGTCAGTTGTTCTTTAACTGTATTGTAATGAACTAGAAATAAATTGAAAATAATTAAAATGGACGAAAAGCAACCCATTCCCTCGGTATATAGTATCTGAATCCACAACTTTCGAATTTCGATGGTTTTGGTTTCAGCACTCATTGAACCAAATAACCCCCACTTGATACGCGTTAAGTTCAGCGTTTCTTTATATAGTGTTCACATATAACAGTTAATATACGTCAGTTGAGAGGGAAGTGATGCTGCGCCGTAAGTCAGTAGCAGCATTGTGACTGACTTGGATGATGTGCAGCTTCTTCTTCCTCAATCTCTTTACTCTCGTGCCTTTCAACTTTACTCTTCCCTGTTCAACAAGTGGCACGAATAAGGGGCACATTCTTTCAATTCATTCCCCTGCCCTTCCACTTTTTCCGCCCTCTCTTCATTTTCCGCTCTCTCTTCGTTTTCCGCTCCTTTGGTCACGTGCCAGGCGTGTGTATACTTTGGCGGTCGCCAAATCTATGCGAATCATATCCAGCCCCGCCGCCGTGGTCAAGTGACTAAGGTACCCGGCTGCTGACCCGCAGGTCGCGCGATCGAATCCCGACTGCAGCGGCTGTATTTTTGATGGAGGCAAAAGTGCTGTAGGCCCGTGTGCTCAGATTTGGGTGCACGTTAGTCTAGAACCCCAGGGGGTCGAAATTTCTGGAGCCCTTCACTACAGCGTCTCTCATAATCATATGGTGGTTTTGGGACCCCACAGATCAATCAATCAGCGAATCATATTCACTTGATGTAGATTTTACCACAACCGTTTAACTGCTTTGCAAGTCGTTGCGCGCCTTCTTGACGCTCGAAGAGGTGCTTCCGTCGGCTCACTTGTCTAGTCACAACGCATGGGTGCGTCGGACACTTACACTGAGACCCCCCCCCCCCTACTAAATTTTCTATGTGCACCAGTCACGTGTGCAAATGATTTCTTCCGTTTTCGTTATCCCCGAAACACCAGTCTTGTTCTATCTGACCTCCTATTGTATAAACAACAAACAACAAAGAGATGATTTTCGCTTTTCAAGATTACCTGTAGGCTTGTCACAATCGCCGAGATCAGGACCGCGCTGCCGACGGAGACCTTGAACATATCGGCCGACGGGGAAGGTTCGAATTCTGCATAGTTCGGGTACATTGAAGCAGTTTAATGTATTGCAGCATGATTTAGAAAAAGAAAACGAAAAAGCAAAGCGTTGTCTGCGTTGGTTCAGTCGAATATAATAGAGTTTGTCGGAGCTCATCAACCTCATTTTTTCCCTTCAGGTTGGTTGTAATGTTATTCAAAGTATCGCGATACACTAGCACATGTATTCATCGGTCGAGCGCCGCGAAAATAAAGGGAAACCGCGCCTAAAGCAGCTACAGTTTTTGTTGGAGGAATTGATGGGAACAGGAACAACCGCAGAGCTGCTATCATCGTAATAATCCTTTTCGTCATACCACGTTAATTTCTTTTACCGGATCTCCAGTTTTCTAAGGCTTTTCCTCCAGTGCTGAGTGGCAGTCTAGAGTCACAGCAGCGCATCTATCTATCTATCTATCTATCTATCTATCTATCTATCTATCTATCTATCTATCTATCTATCTATCTATCTATCTATCTATCTATCTATCTATCTATCTATCTATCTATCTATCTATCTATCTATCTATCTATCTATCTATCTATCTATCTATCTATCTATCTATCTATCTATCTATCGTCTGTCTGTCTGTCTGTCTGTCTGTCTGTCTGTCTGTCTGTCTGTCTGTCTGTCTGTCTGTCTGTCTGTCTGTCTGTCTGTCTGTCTGTCTGTCTGTCTGTCTGTCTGTCTCTCTCTCTCTCTCTCTCTCTAATATGTTGTGTTTCTCTAACCTTTTTGTATAGGTAAAGTTGCAGTATGGTTTTCGCTACACAGCACGCGAGTCTTCCTTTTGGGGTCTCGCAGCAGATATAGCAGCGTTGCCAGAAAATATACACCGGGCACTCACCCCGTCGCATCAGTAGCCGGGTTTTTGCTTCGTTGCCCCACCAGCCTCTCAGCTCCGGCAGCCGATCACGGCTTTTGCGGAACTTGTGGCTCACGTACGCCACCGCAGTGCAGCCAGGACCGCAGTTCATGTACTGTGCACGCCCCAAACGAGCAGGCGAGGAGAAAAAGTTCGCCATTCAGCAACTACATCATCGCCAAGAATGTGCGTATTTGGCACATACAGCATCCTATTCTGTGGCGAACGTAAGAAAATAAATTCCAAGGACTATTTTCCTGCCTGTTGGTGTCACGTAACAAGTGATCTTATTACGAGCTGGCAGCTGATTAATAATAATCTCTCGCATACTACCGGTTATGACGTTTCAGAGCGTTATGACGTTGCAAAAGGATTAGCTGCGATGCCTAAATAGCTATATAGGTGGTGTCAAAAATAGCCTGACAGCAATTCTTCCCTCTGAGACAGAGCCAATGATTTTAAAGGCTGTGCGTTTGGCTTCCGCGAGCGCCAGCTTCGATTGCGACGGATGTTTGGACAACTTAGCATTCAGACTCCACGAACACTGTGGGTTCGGCAATAACTGTCGTGCTGACTTAAGCTCTATGAGAAATTGTTGCTGGTCGCAGTTGGGGAATATTTGAAGACATATTGATTTTAGGCGCCAAGAAAGAAGGGACCAGATCAGAGTCAAGAGGGCGGGCGCTTCAGCTTGCAATTTAAAATGAGGCTAAGGTGAGACAATGCATTTTAGAATAATAATGTATACTGTGAAAACTCTAGTGTCGTTGATTTCAACACCATAGGTTTATTGTTAAAAATGAGAAAATCAATGTCAAACGTTTCACTTTCAAAATTTCCGTTGAAATCTCTGAATGTGACGTCTTAGATTTCAAAATGGTCTTTTCTATTTTGGCCGCATAGTCTCAATAAAATTTCTTGACCTTGGTATTGATTTGATTGATATGTGGGTTTTAACGTCCCAAAACCACTATATGATTATGAGAGACGCCGTAGTGGAGGGCTCCGGAAATTTAGACCACCTGGGGTTCTTTAACGTGCACCCAAATCTGAGCACACGGGCCTACAACATTTCCGCCTCCATCGGAAATGCAGCCGCCGCAGCCGGGATTCGAACCCGCGCCCTGCGGGTCAGCAGCCGAGTACCTTAGCCACTAGACCACCACGGCGGGGCCTTGACCTTGGTATGGTATAGTGTATATGACTCCACCGAAAGAGAATGTGTGCTTTCTTTTTCGCTGATGTAGAATTGCGTGAGCCTCCAGTAGTCCCCGTCGGGCCCTGTGATGTTACGGTGACTGGTTCGCAAACTTCACGGTTACGTCGCCACCTGCATTTTCGTTTTGCCTATTTTCTGCCTTGCCGAGTGTGTACTTGCGTGGCGTTTCTGGTATTGTGAAATAGCGCTTAATTATTACAAAAATATTTTTGTTTTTGTCTTTAGCGTCCCTTTAATGACGTCTGTTATCAAATAGCGTTACTGAACTTCATATGTTCACATTCTTATAGGATCTTTCGCGTCATCCCGTTCTCTGCTGTGAGGCAAATAAATGAATATATAGGCTGGCTAATCACTCTCTTTCTGAATGAAAAAAAAAAATGCGCTCGCGCTATACTGGACTACATTTTTCCTTATCTTTCTTCTTTAAGTTGTAGTGATACCTCAGTACGTGCACTATTGCCAATGCCATTTCTAGTAGCCGGTACAACATACCGGCTCAACTATTGGTTCGCGTCGCTCGAATTTCGGGAAAGGCGACTCAGGCTCACCTTGTACGTGCACCAGGCGGCCAGGTCTATTTCCCATTCGTTCAACCTCAGCTCCACGTTGCAGACGGCGTGAGCCAAATCCCACAGCACGATGCAACCCTGGAAAGCGGCAGCCGACGATATCGGTGAACGTCCCGAAAACAATCTGTAAACGTCTGCCGTCACTTTGCGCGCGTACGCGTATTGTGGTGAAGCCTGTTCTCGCTACTTGTGCGCGTAACTCCAATATTACCTCATGAAGCTCTACATATGCGCATGCGGCAGGACTCGAGCTTTTAGTGGCGAAGCTCCTTTCGTCATGGGTCGTACTTCCCGTGTCGTCGTAGTAGCCAGCTGGATTGCATTGCATGTCAATGAAAACGGTGTCACAGCATATCCACGGAGTGAATGATGGTGATTGGGGTGAAGCGTCCGTCAGTCCGTCCGTCGATCCGCTTCGCCCCACCCGTCATCATTCACCTCGTGCATATGGTGATATTTTTTGTTTTCGTTTTTGTTTTTAATGGCGCTCCCCCTCGCTGCTACTCGTTTCCACTTTTTTATTTATATACGAAAAAAAAACGTGGGTAGTTAGACTCCATTAGAGCCAGTAATTCCACCAACATCATAGCAGTATTGAACAGACATACAAAAACAATTGATTGATTGCTTGATTGCTTGATTGATAGATTGATTGACTGATTGATTGATTTATTGATATGTGGGGTTTAACGTCCCAAAACCACGATATGATTATGAGAGACCCCGTAGTGGAGGAATCCGGAAATTTCGACCACCTGGTGTTCTTTAGCGTGCACCAAAATCTGAGCACACGGGCCTACAACATTTCCGCCTCCTTCGGAAATGCAGCCGCCGCAGCCGGGATTCGAGCCCGCGACCTGCGGGTCAGCAGCCGAGTACCTTAGCCACTAGACCACCGCGGAGGGGCCAAACAAAAACAAGAAAAGCCAGAACGAATAAAAGATGAGAACTATAAGTAAAGGGAAGCAGGATCTACTTATAAGATATGTGGCAGTTAGCAGAGTCTAAGGGCGGAATACGATGTATACAGGCTGGTCTCGTATACATTGCTACGGATATGCGCTTCTATATCACTTGACTATGAGGTATATTCATTAATAATACGATACCATATTCAACCAAATAATGGATGCATGTATCCTTTATTGGCACTTTTCGCGACTGTTATTAACTGATAAGCGACTGTTCTTTCTTACTCTATGCATTACGAGTCTTAGGTCTGGGAACGAAACTGGAGCCAGCGTTTACTGTTCGGCAACTTTTGGTTCCAAGTCTTCACGTCCCCGTAAACTTCTGATTTGTGCAGATATCTTATGTATGACTATTCCTTTCACATATCAATTTTTGAGCTAGATGTCGCCATCACCAGCATAAATGGCTGCCACAAGAGATGAAACTGGCGGCACTAAGTGGTGACGGCGTTCGTCTTAATTTCTTCGTTTCGCATTTCGTTCCAGTGCAGTATTAATTAACGGGTACAGAGGTAGCTTAACTTAACAAGATACATCGTTAGCGAAACGATTGTCTTGTGCCGATTAGTGGGTTATCGCTGCACCGGCACGGCTTCTACATAAAACACGAAAATCTGTATGTTCGTATGTGTGTCCTGAACGAACATGCATCCCTAAAGGTGCGTAGTCCTGAGATGAAAAGGCGCGGCGAGGTCATGTCTGACGAATAAGGAATCATATAACGCGCAGCGCCGAGTGAGAAGCCCCCAGCTAGTCTCAGCACAGACGTGCACTGGGATTCCACTTAAGGCGGGGGAGGGGGGGTGTTCGTCACATCTCTCCGCTCCCCCCCCCACACGTTCACATGCGCCGGACTTGGGTCTGAGAGTGTGGCAGCACTACAAACACTATCGCCACACACTCCATGAACTTTACTAAGGGTTAGCTTTCGTGGTTGCTTAGGGACACTAAAGGCAAACATTAAGTCGACGTTGATTGTTGAAATAGCGGTGCAGAAAGCCTCGTAGTGCCAGTTCTGTGCCAAGTAAGTGCTTGTTTTGAAATTAAAATCACGTTGTAATGGTCTGCGTTAGCGCTCTTCAAATCACCCGCGCGTGAAACGGACTGTTAGGCGTCACTGTTACCGTGTCCAACGTTGCCCGCTTTTACTACGCGGCCGTCCACACCAGTAGCAGCGGACATAAAGTAGTGGGAGCCGCAGTAGCAACAACGGGCATTGAACATTTTTCTGCGGTCTCAGAGGCCATGATTCTGCTTGATTGGGTCAACTCGGCCCCGCTAGATGGCTGCACCTACGCCGCCTAACAAGCCAAAAACTGAACTTTTGAACTATACTCACGCCATGGCGGTTTACTTGTCGATTCGCTCGGAGGATTTCAAGCTGGACGGTTGTGCCCTCGCGATCTCCGACTTCAGCGTAGCTCCCGCCGACTGGTTCGCCCTCCGCGGTCTCCTGATGCCGTGCAGCTCTCGCATTGAGGCACCCCGCCCTTGGACTGCTTCGACCGGATCCCCACTTTCCTATCTCCTTCATTTTTCCTCTCGTTGGCTGGCGGCTTCTTATCCGTCTATTTTCCTTCTATTCTTTTTATCCCTCCTTCCTTCTCTCTATATCTTTTATTCCCCATATCCCATTCCTCTGCTGACCTGTTGAGGTGTCCTCGTAAGGAGAGACAGTTACGGGTCGGCACCTTTCTTTTCTTTTCTTCTGATATAACCACAATCTTTTTTACTTGTCGATCAATCAAACAGAAACGAACAGGCAGCATTATATCAGACCTTTTGATGCGCGGAACGTTTCGTTTTATTGTAACTAGTTTGATTACTAGTGATTAGTTGTAGGCGGTCACTCTCACGTCGTCGGGATCATTTCGTAAATGTCCCACTCGTGCGCGCGCACTTTGCGCGATATACATCTAGTTTAATTTCTTGGTAAGTAAGGCACTGCTGTTTATAATATTACTGTTGTAGACGTTATCACACATTGAGCTTCCACTATGACATAAATTGCTCTTTGCCTTTAGTGTCCCTTTCAGCATCCGACACGCAATAGCTCGTGTAAGACAACGTTAAAAACCCTTGCAAAAATATTTAGGCAAAGCTGGCTTTCCCGCAGTAAGAGTCGACGTGAGGGAAAGCCCGCTTCGCGTGATCACATTGTGTCATGGCAGGAGCAAGAGTGCACCAGAAAGCCAATGAAGAGGACGATCGCAATAGCACTCGTTATACGTTACACGGCGAGAACAGCATAAAGACTGAACGTGTGCTACCGGGACATTTATACGCACTTGTCGAGAACGTAACGGTAACGAAAAACGTCCGCAGAAAGCAGTTTACGAGCATGATCAACCGAAATTGAACTTCAGACTTTATATAAAGACAGGCGTAATATAATTTACGAGTTCTGATGGTAGTCTAACTAGTCACTGACGTGATGCGCAGTTAAGGTAAACTGCGCTGCGATGCCGGTCGTACCGATAGTACACCGCGGATGAATTGCAGCAAGCTTTTTTTCCTTACATGTATCATAATGCGCATACATAATACGCAAGACGTTGATCTGCGTCATACATACCGCCCCGCCGCGGTGGTCTAGTGGCTAAGGTACTCGGCTGCTGACCCGCAGGTCGCGGGTTCGATTCCCGGCTGCGGCGGCTGCATTTCCGATGGAGGCGGAAATGTTGTAGGCCCGTGTACTCAGATTTGGGTGCACGTTAAAGAACCCCAGGTGGTCAAAATTTCCGGAGCCCTCCACTACGGCGTCTCTCATAATCAAATGGTGGTTTTGGGACGTTAAACCCCACAAATCAATCAATCAATGCGTCATACATACTGTGTCATTAATAATGATTAAAGATCCTTGGTGACATCACCAGATGGCAGTTTAATTAGTATAAGTTCAATTAAATTATTGTGTCCATATTGTGGGAGTGAAAACTGGCCAAGACTTTGTTACTTTCGCAGCCGTGTTTACTATACCTTTTTGCGAGCAGCACTTGTGATTCCCCGGATGTCCAGAGCCTGGCCCGTCTGGTACTGTACTCCGCACAAGAGCAGGATTGCGATGGTGTCGCCCTCCTTGTCGATGACGTCATAGATATCCTCTTCTCTTAGCAGCTCTTCGCCCTTTTACCCCCAAAACCAGGCGGAAGCATAATTATTTTGGCTGAGCTGCGATACTGACGTTCTTGCTACGCGGCAACTTTTCATCCGTGTGCAATATTGTATATTCCATTTCACGTGCATTACTCTGAGTGCGTGTTTTGGAAAAGTTATGAACATTACAAGATGAAACAATGTGTCGTGCCATAAAGAATTCAGAATTGTAGTTATCGAAAGTAGCTCTGGAAGGAGCACTGAAAATTCTAAACTGTACTTTTATCAACTTATAGACCTTTTCCCAGTTGGCTCCCTGGAAGCCGCCATTATCCAAAAATGTACTGCCGAAATTGTGACGTCAGCCTTTGCACTACCAAGCGCAGCATAGCATAACGACGTTTTTCTCTCCCGTGAAAAGGTATATATGAAAAATCACAAGTAAGTTTTTGCTGTTAGCACAACCTTGCTAATAAAAAAAAAAAACGCCAAAACAAGCATTCGGTAGCCACAGTACTGATACATTTCGTCCCCAAACCGATAACCACAATTTGAACATATTTTGTGGCATATCGGGATGTGAACCTTTATTTACTAAAAAGGACCCTGTATTGTATGAAAAAAAGCAAGCAATAAGCGGCTATTTTTTGGTTTTTTATTCCTAAAAACAACATAAGTACGCAAAGAAAGAAAAAGAAAAAAAAACGTCGTGTTTGAGACATAGCACTCGGGAAACTGCAATCAAATATGATTGTCGTTACCTCTCTGGAGCTCAGAAGGATCAGGTTGGAGGCCACGTCGAGGCCATGGTGGCTCACCTGCGACTGCGCAGCATACTGGAAAGATTCATTTTAGTCAGGCGCCTGTAGCTAATGCCAGTCGTCATCCACTCTTTTTTCTCCCCTTTCTGTTGAACAAAATTTTATGGTCATTCTGCGCGCCCCAGCCATTTTATGTGCGTGCGCATTACACGCGCGTATTAAAAAAAAAATTTACGACATTGCCTTCCTCGACCTTTTCTATTCCACCTTCGGCTTTCCCCAGTGCGTGGTAGCGAACCAAATGCCGGCTAACTACTCTGCCTTTCTTCATTTTACTATTGCTTTCACTACCGACTTTCTGTAAGGGCGTACACGGTGACGTCACGCTCTAACGGCAACGATAATCTCTTCCCGACTTCTACATGTCTAAAGCGAAGACATTCTAGGTAGATTCTAATTGGAAGTGGTGAACGTCGGAACTGAGTGAAATTTGGCTGGCAGTTCTTAACGAGAATATACCAGAGACCGAAAGTCACAGCCGCAAGCAAAACTGAAGACAGAGAGCTTAAACCGGAAGTGAAGTTAACTTTAGAAGATTGTACTTCAAGGTCCACGACAAGGACCAAAGGCGGTTTAGCTTGTTGTCATATGACCGTGAGAAATGCTGTCAAGCGTATACTGAGTGAAATTTGGCAGGCAGTTCTTAACGAGAGTATATATACCAGTGACCGAAAGTCACAGCCGCAAGCAAAACTGAAGACAGAAAGCTTAAACCGGAAGTGAAGTTAACTTTAGAAGATTGTACTTCAAGGTCCACGACAAGGACCAAAGGTGGTTTAGCTTGTTGTCATGTGACCGTAAGAAATGCTGTCAAGTGTATACGGTGAAGGCGGGACGCAAATGCTACTTCGTCTTCATTCGCTATCAACACAATCATGGCTTGAGTTTTATGCTTTGTTTTGTTTCATCACACTCAGAATTCTTGGGCCCTGTTACACTTTTCGAGCACGGTCAGAAAACGCTGCCGGTCAGGAGCCAAAGGCTCCCGGGAACACGCGAGCCAAACTTTATACCGCAGCACGCGCGGCCTAGAATTTACCACTAATTCTGAAATTCAGCTAGCAGTATCTCCCTTTTTTTCTCAACACATGAGGCTATACACCCAAATTTCTGTCATCTCCGTGTAGCTACGTTCGCGGCGGTTGGTTGAATTGAGCATCGTGAACTGCATAGTTCCCGTAGCCGCCGCGGGATGGCAGCACGTGCTCACACACACGATTGCAATCACACTAAAAGTAAGCCACGTGTTTGAGGGAAAGCAACAAGAGGAAAAAAGGAACAGGAAGAAAATAGAAGGCAAGCAAAGGAACGCATCTTCTTGCTCCCCCGCCTCTCTTGTGTGGCTTTCAACGAGCTCGCTGGCACGAAAGATAAAGCGCTTCAAGCGTGCGACAAACATTTACGCTCGTAGCAGACGGAATCTAAAATATTTTGCAGCATGTAATTCATGAAGCGTCATGCGCTAATAATAAGACTATTACATTAAAACTCATAAAAGTCTCCCACGGTCCTATTAAGTACTAACCAAGTCTGATGAGAACGCATCGGCTTCCACGGCCACCTTGGTTCTCTTGCCTTCTGGTCTATAGTACGTCATCTGACAACGAGAAAAAAATAACACTGTAAATAGTGATTTATTGTTCTATGGGAATTTTTCGAATGAACAACAGAATAAGGTTAGTTATACACATTTTGTTTGTTAACGCATGCGTTCACGAAGAGTGTGAACTGATTTAAATGGACCTTTATGTGTTAATTTTTCTCCCTTACCATGAGCAAGTGTAGGTTGACGGTGAGGCCGTTCATGAAGACGATCTCATCACGATCGGCTCCTGCATGGCAAAAAAAAAAGGGGGGGGGGGTTGGTTTCCGCAATGATTTAATTTCTTATGGCATACATTCTGCTGCAATATTATATTGCTACACAAGCTGTTTGGTCAGAATTACTATTCACTGGACTTATAGTACAAGTGGTTATGTGAAACAAATATACCAATTCATTGTTTTAGTGATTCTCTAACAAAGTGGATTGATGATGTCACTAATTTCGTTAATAGGGAGACAAACGCTGGTCTATTTCCGAGGGCTGACGCATCGGCCCACCGAAATGCACCACGAAAGCGCGGACAATTTAGTGTTGGTCCTTTTGATGTGCTAGCGAATGCCGGCTGTGGTTCAAAGAACGAGGCGGAGTCAACACGCACTACACTGTAATCTCATCCATTAACTATCGAAGCTAACTTATGGACTAAATTTTCCCTCAAACGTATTCAGTCTAAAGTTCTTGAAACAAAGCTTGAATGCTTCTCTTCAAAGAAACACTCACTCAAAGTCCATCACCGGTTGTCGTCCCGCTGCGTCTGAGGGGAAACTCTCGCGTCGTCAACTGACCGCACTCAAATAACAAAACATTTCGCCGGTAACACGTCCGCCACTCAAGCGCTGCGACTGCAGAACACGTCTTCGCCCACTGGCGGTAAGCCCACTCTCATCTCTTGCTTGTAAGACAAGCCTTCACCCGCGGGTAGAAAACTCTCATCTTGTCAGATGCGACTCCCCCAGCTGCTGGCTTGTATGCACTAGCCGCTGGGTTCCCGAAATTTCTAGGCATTTCGTCGGCGCGCCGCACAGCCAAGGCCGTGGAAAGGGCGAAACCTTTCTCGTAACGTGACGCAACTCTGCATCACCACGTCCCTTTCCTTCGAGATGCTTCTAGATATCGTTGAGCGGTAGATGCGAGAAGGTTGGTCGGAGTGGCGGCGGTGCTTTCGAGGGGGAAAGAGGGCGCGCGCGTCGCGTCTTTTGATGCTTATTTCTTCTTTGCGCCGTCTTTTGTCGCCTCTGTCCGGCGCCTCGATCATCGCGTAGTCGTTAGGATTCGGAGGCGTGCGCTTTGTTGAGCACTCGTTTGTGTCAGATGACGACGCTTTGAATAAGTGAATTTCGAGTACCAGTGTTCATTATTTTTGAGCAGGATTCAACCTACGCCAGGCTCGGTCCGGGTTTATGTGAACTACTTCAGTGGTGAGAAATCTCAGAAGTCTAGATCATGGACGTTAGTCGTCGACATGGGGATGTGCCACTAGGCACCAACGTGGGTGCATCCACGTTTAACAGTGCGTAACACCAGTATTCATTGCGCGAGCTTGCCGTCTGTGGATTGGGGTGGCCTTTACAAATGCTTATTTGTTTCGAATCGGAATGGCCAGAAGCCCGACATGTGACAACTGTGGCTGCGCAGAGACTTTCTCCCATCTTCTCTGCGAGTGTCCCCGCTTCAGCGTGCCAAGAAAAGAACTGTCAAAAGCTTTAGATAGAATAGACAATCGCCAATTGTCGGAAGAAAGGGTATTAGGACACTGGCCGAGACCGTCCTCTGCACGCAAGGCATTGAGAGCGTTGTTGCGCTTTCTGTGGGCAAGTGGTCTTAGAGACAGACTGTAAACAGCGTCGTGGATCGTCTGATGACCTTCTCTCTCTTTTTTTACAACGTCTCTTTTCTCTCATCCTTTATCCTCCTTAACCCCTTCCCTAGTACAGTGTAGCCAGCCGGTCTGAGAACTGGCTAACCTCCCTGTCCTTCCTCATTTATTCCTCTTCCTCCTTCATACATTCATGTACAACTAAAAGTCAACCATGTGCACTCCTGCGAAGACATGCTTCGCTGTCATGTTATACCGGTTTTCGCGACGATGGAATCAACTTTTATCTTGACTAGCGTCAATTTAATCCAGCAGATAGTTGCACAGAGGTGCTAAAATAACATGAGCTCACCTACGAGTTCAGCCATGCGCTGCTTTGGGTAGAGATCAGCCGTCGAAGTGGGCAAGTATCCCTGCCGCAAGCACTGTGTACCCCTGCCGAACATGGACAGTCGCTGTCGAAGGTTTCCAAGCCATATCAGGAATGAAAGGCTCAGCCGAAACTGAGTGCACGCGTATAGTGTGCAAGTAGAGAAGAAATTGCAATCTCGTGAAGGTGTTCGGTTCTCCAAGAGACTCTATCGATTAGAACGTATTTTGTTAGTGGACATCAGTTAGCAGTATGATGACTAATGGATATAGTTTTAATATAGAATCAGTATTGAATAATAATTATTGTTAAAGTTATACGTCCCAAAACCATGATACGATTATGAGAGACGCAGTTGAGCAAGGCTACGGAAATTTGTACCACCTATAGGGTTATTCTTTAACGTACACCTAACGTGCCTCTTGCATTTCATGGCTTTTCGCTTCCATCTAAATGGGGCCGCCGAAGACAGGATTCGATCCTGCGACCTTCGAATTTGAAATCAAGCACGATAACCACGGGCACGACCTTCTTGTTTATTGCGATGAGAAATATCGTTAGTGGGCCTCATCTGGGGAAGGGCAGGGTGAAGCTGGGCGGGGGTGGTCCCTGAACGTTGGTGGACATAAAAATGACTTGCTGCCTACAAGTGTGCACACAATCCGGGACACGGTGGACGCATTTTTCATGGAGGCAGAAACTAGATGACCGTGTGCTGAGATATAGCTGCACGTTAATGAACCCCAAGTAGTCGAAACCCAGGTGAACCCAAGAAGTGGTGGGCTCTGGAACATCTTGCCGAGTTCCAGAGCCCTCCACTTCTTGGGGGGTTCCAGATCCGTACACATCGGCGTATTTCATAACTATATCATCATATCGTGGTTGTGGCCCGTCAAAACCCAGCAATTACTCATATTAAGTGTAACCACATGACACGTTGTCTTCGCTCACCTTTTCCCCCAGTCGTCCAGAACTTTCTGAACCTCATCATCTAGAGCTCTCGGCTTGGCGCCTAACAGGTGACCGCCCATGTAGATGCATTCCTGATCCAGGCACTTAATGAACTCGGCATCCACTGGAGCGGGGAACAAGAGATTAAGGCAGCGAAGTTATACGTCGCAGCACTATAAGACACAATGCAATTAGTAAATGCTATAGCTGATTCTTTATGGTTGAATATCGTGGGATGAGAGAAAACACGTTCATTGAGTGTATAGGGTGGTCGTAATTTCTGTCAGCCATGTTCGTTATTTTTTCTCATCTAGCAGGACACAGACAGACAGACAGACAGACAGACAGACAGACAGACAGACAGACAGACAGACAGACAGACAGACAGACATACAGACAGACAGACAGACAGACAGACAGACAGACAGACAGACAGACGGATAGACAGGCAGACAGACAGACAGACAGACAGACGGATAGACAGACAGATGGATAGATAGACAGACAGACAGACAGACAGACAGACAGACAGACAGACAGACAGACAGACAGACAGACAGACAGACAGATAGATAGATAGATAGATAGATAGATAGATAGATAGATAGATAGATAGATAGATAGATAGATAGATAGATAGATAGATAGATAGATAGATAGATAGATAGATAGATAGATAGATAGATAGATAGATAGATAGATAGATAGATAGATATGGAAGATTAAAAAGGCAAGAAGGTTTTTCGGAATTGCCATCCTACTTTAAGAGAAAAGGGAAAGAAAAGCCTGAGCTCATCTTGGGATAGAAAGGTAGTGGTATGGCCACTGCTCAGGAAAATGGGCGTTGGATTTCGTATGGCCGGCATCCTCTCATAAAATGGGTCAGAATGCCTGGCCGATATTTTAATTTACATTGGTCGTCGAGTTGTGTTGAGTAAAAAAAACGTGACAATATTAGTGTGTGTGGCTTCGTAGCAGAATGGCGACGCGCTTTTTCGGTGTTATATCATTTTTCCTATTCGCAACGCAGAATTACGTAGCTTGGTTGCCATGGATGCGAGTGCGTCTTACTCATTGCGCAGTGAAGTGAAACGTGCTATGCGTACCTCCCGTCAAGTCCACCATTTTGGGGATGACGAAGCGTTTGCGAAATTTCTTCAGCGGGTCCTCACGGTCGAGCCGCCGGGCAAAATCGACGGTGGTGTGTCCCAAGCCCCACGACTCGGCCAGCGACAACAGTTCCCGCCTGGGCGTCGTGCTCGCGTTGGCGATCATTTGCGTGCCGTTTTCGTGGCTGTGCAGGTGAAAGAGTCTGAGTTATCGGTACATCTGCCTATCAGCGCGCACGAGACGAATATATAGAAGCGCTCTTTATACGCGCTCTCTTTTGACGTTTGCTGGGCTCTTGCTACCTTAGTGAGGGAGATAAGGTACAGGGGATATTGAAGTCATTGACATTCACCACGTGGCGCCATAAGAAAAGCAGATAACGCATATTTTAGATATCTTATGTTTTCATACCCGTCATTGACGTAGCCTGAGCTGCTGGGATGAGAAGTCGACGCCCCCCCCCCCCCACTCACTCACCGAATCTCTTTATTTTGCATTTATGTATATACAGGCGCACGCACGAATATTCAAGCATTTATTTCCCCCCCCCCCCCCCTGTTAAATAAAAAAACTTGAGGCTCCCTAATGCCCATACCTACCAGAAAATATAGAACATATGCTCTGGCGATGCCCCTCATTACTGGGCAGGAATCAAGCCAGCCCTGCCAAGTAGCACTTCGCCACCAGAAGCCCCAACCAGGGGGATAAACTTTTGGGCTGTCCAGAGAGGGTATATACGATGTGGCAGTGAGGCTTAACATGCCCTTCCCAACGTGGAAGAAGCCCAGGGCGCGCTAGTAGCAGGACTCTATAAAATAAAGTTCCACCATCCATCCATAGAAAGAAGGTGTACGCTTCTAAAAAAAAACAACAAAAAACAACTGTTTTTTCGACGTTTCAACGGGAGACCGATCGTCATCAACAGTCTTGATCAAAGAGGTATACACCTTTTTCCTATTTGTAAAGTATAATATGAAAAGTCTGTATTCGGTTGTCGTCAACCGAAGACAGGAAACATTGCGATACCTGTCTTGCTGGTCTTGCCCCCGCGTCCCCCTTGTCAAATCGTTTAGCGAGAGTGCTGGTTGACGGTGTGATCGAGTGTTGGATGCTGATTTTCTACGTATTGCTACTATTTTCTATTGAACTTTAACAATAAAAGTAACAGCAAAAAATAACTCGCGCCTCCACGTAGCTTTGTGCTGCTTGCGCCACTCGAACTTCAGTGTGGCAGCTTGGGCTAGTTGGTATGGCATGACGATAGTTATAGCGCGAGAACAAAACGACGACACAGAGACAAGAAGGTCTTTCGTGTCCTCCTTGTCTCTGTGTCGTCGTTTTATTCTCGCGCTATAACTATCGTCGAACTTCAGACTTGAATCATATAACTTCGCAATCGTAACTTCACAAATAATAACTTGTAAAAAAGACACGGATGCAAGGATGCAAGACAGCATGAGCGCCGTCTTTAAACCACGTTTATTTTGAAACACACAAGAATATTTACTATCACAAATCACGACGACCTCACGCATCACGCTCGTATAATCTATAAGTACTAAAAATTCTTTGAACTATCGAGAAATACCATTGATACTACCAAGCAGAGAATATCGCATTAGTCGACAGAAACGATGTCCGAAGAAGCTAGAGGAAAGAAAAAAGCGCACTTTTACGAACCTGACCAACTTAGAAGTGCGGAAGTTTGGGCTAGTTGGTATGACATGCACGATAGTTATAGCGCGAGAACAGAACGACAACAAAGATACCTTCTCGTCTTTCATGTCCTTCTTGTCTCTTTGTCGTCGTTTTGTTCTCGCGCTATAACTATCATGCCGACGTTGTGTCGTTCGATCACGGCCGTCACGAAATGCGTTGGAGGGCCGTGGACTGTGCGACGTTAAAAATTTCCGGAACATGGCGTGCTTTATATCGTAGTTTTTTTTTTTTTTTGGCTCATGAAACCCCAGATACTGTTATTAGGCTAATTGCGTCAGTGTACTCCTCCACTTGGATGCAGTACGTATTAGATGGGGAAACAGTGCGCGCCGAAAAACGTTGCAACGCAATGTACCTGAGAGGAATTGTACCTGCTAGGTTGGTCTGCAGAACGCGACAGACGATGACGTCACCGCTGTGGCTCCGGGCCAGGACAGAAATATTTAGGTCGTCTCCTCCAAGTAGCGCGCACAGACACATGAAAGACGTGCATGTATATGTGAACGCACATACAAGTACAGAGAGGAAAAGAAAAAAAAAACAGTTATACGCATGAATGTATGTCAGCTCATCCTTGGACTTACTGAGCGGTTGTCCAGCTTACGTCTGGCATGCCTTGTTTTATGTTATTTTCTGGTCAATTTTCTTATCCGACGCATTGTTCGCACAGCATATGCTGTGCTTTAATCTTATCGTGTGGGGAGCTATTTTTCGAACGGCCGGCTTTTTTTTTTATGCCCCGGAACGCTGCAAGCAGAAACTGAAGTGACCCAAAATGTTCACGCCGAGGTGTATTATTCTTACAGTGGGGCGTTTTCTATTCTTGCCTTATTGCGGAGACGTGCTTCACCGTTTTTTTTTTTTTTCGTGGATGAAAGTGGCCGTGCGTACATTCGATAAAAAGGAGTGCGAAAGTGGCATGCGTCTATGCATTTAGCTACGTTGAGTAGAGTTACTGTTTTGATTTGATTGATATGTGGGGTTTAGCATCCCAAACGGCGTCTCTCATAATCGTATGGTGCTTTTGGGACGTTAAACCCCACATTTCTATCAGATTTTGTAGCAATCATTCGAGCTAATTAGAATCGGCGAGATCAATCTGAGTTGACTGTATGATTGTCATGGATTGTCACTTTCGTCGATGTCTCGCAGCTCTTCCTGTTTATGCCTTTCCACACACCATCCGATTCGTGCAATCTGCATAATAGGCACTGCGCGAAAACATTTTTACCGCCATCATTGACAGTGAAACAGAAGCGTTATATCACAGATTCGGCTCGATAATTTGCCGAGTCGGTAAGTTTCTCGCTCCGAGTAAACGTGTCGAATATTAAGGTAATGCAGCGATGATGATTACCATGTAGATGATTGTGACTATCATAAAAAGGTGAATATCAGCTGGCCACAGAATACTATGCGTTCCTTATCTCGTACATTTCCTCAGCCTTCCTTAAAAAAAAAAAAAACTAGTCCTTTCAGACGTTTCCATTGTTCGAAAAGTTGATATACATTGATTAACCACACCGAAGTCTTCGGTTATCAGTTCAGGACAATCTTGACTTAAATATTTTTCATGATTCGGGGCTGGTTATCTCAATAGCAACACCTATACTACAATGCTAAATAAAATGTGTCGGTTCCGTATTGACTAGGCATTAGCTAATCAGGTAATCTGCATCATTATAAAATGAAATAGTACGCCATGCAATTCGGGTGGTTCTCCAATTTAGACTCGAACTACACGAGTACACTAATAATCAAGTCCCGCATAAATTGCTAGATATGAGCCAGGAAGCCAGACCATTTGGTCTGCTTTCCTGGCTATATCTAGCACTTTACGAGGACGCGATGAAGAGCGCATGAAAGGAATGGGGATATGTAAGGAAATATTCAGTGCTCTAAAGCTATGGCGTAATAATATTTTAAATATAGTTGTTAACGAAAATTAATGCCACCATTGTGCCATCATCTATGTGTCTTTACCGATCAAGAAACAAGGGACACAATACAAAACAGCTAGAACCAACAAAAACGCACCTAGCTATTTGCACATTTTACAATATGTCCAAGGTTTTGCAATATACAATGCTCCCATTGGCATGACCAGGAGGCTACAGAGAGGCGGATCGGAGATTCAACTCTTCTTCCCCCGTCCCCCCCGCCCCCAAAATTTTCAATTTTGCATCCATATATGTGCACGCACACACACACACAAGCACATGCACGAACATTAGTGCATACGCGCATGAAGCTTTGCTACACCTCGCTCCCCCTCTCCAGCCAGAAAAACATTTTGGGGCTACAACGCCTTTGGATCCATATACCAGGCTAATCAGTGAATAATGTTCGCTCGTGCCAAGTGTCAATCAAGCCACTCATTTTAGGCGGGGGGGGGGGGGGGGGAGGTCAGCTAAAGTCACACCGGAGAGGGGGGCGTGGTCATGACTGTTTTTACTAGCAGAAAAACGTCTTCATAGCACAAGTACTGTTATTGTGCACTCAGAGTGTTTTCACTCATTTGTCCTAATTTGTGATAGGAGGTGGACTACGAGCACTGAATTGAGGGGGAGGGGCACTGACAAAATTTTTCGGGGGGAGGAGCAATCGCCCGTACTCCCCCCCCCCCCCCCCCCCATCTGGACCATCCAATGACTCGTGCGTGAGGGACTCCACAACACATGTTTTATCATGGGCAGTACCAGAGCACAAACTCACGGGACGAAGAGAAGAGACACAAACAAGCGCTGTTTGTGTCTCTTCTCTTCGTCTCGTGAGTTTGTGCCCTGGTACTGCTCATAATGTATCACCAACTAGCCCAACTATCAGTCCTGCTACATGTTTTATCAAATTTTGGGAAAGTCATCTAAAAATACGGAGTGTCCGACATAATGTTTTCGAGGTAACATAGAACTGATTTCGCGGCTGCTCCGATCCCGTAGACGATCGCATGCATTTTTTACGCATAAATTCATGCCGGCTGCCCGTACACTTTCTTCGACATTAAATGACAGTGAGCTACAAACGCAACGCAACGTCTATAAACACGACATATAGACCACCCACGCGGGCATACTACCACAAACCAGTCCCCGCAGTGAGCCGTGCTTACCCATTGTGTCGGCCAGGTGGACAAGCGGGCTTTTCGACTTTTCCTTCCCGTGCGACGTTTATCCCGTTGCACTGCATAGGTGTCGCGTTAAATGTGCGAGACAGACGCGTCGTGGAGCCTCTGTGTGGACACCTTACAGGCGGCTTCACGAAATTTACCTTGAACGCTGCCGACTACGTGATCTCCCTATCACTGTCCTCCCCCCCCTCCCCCTCGCTTTGCCGAGCGCGAGCCACGTAGCGGTGGTAAATTGGTGTGGCGTTCGCCTTCAACGCGATAAGTGCCGGGTTCGACTCCCATTGTCGCCGAACACCCACCGGTATTCGTCTGACGGGATAAGAAGTCCGCCACGTGGCGTCTGGTGGCGCTCATATCGATGAGGCGGTCTCCCCCTCTCTCTCCCATTTCTCACTACCCTTTCCCTTCCTCCAGACGACACTATCCACTGCGAATTTATATGGTGTCGTGTCCGGATATCAGCGTCTTTCCTAATCTCAAACCACCACTGTCAGCCGCATAACATGTCGCTCATTGTCCTCTACAACGGTTCAATGACACATTGTCTAATCTCTTTAGCGTGCCATTTGCTTTCTCGCTTATTTGTTTCTTATTTCATAACGCAAACACTGTTTGCCTAAGTCGTGAAAAACGCGCGTGTGTGTATAACCATTGGTCGACGAAAATGCGGAGCTCACTCAGGCTCGTTCATATGATATATATTTAGCCCTCTGTGCTCACTCGGATTAAAACTCACCTAAATTCTCGTCAGATGGACTGACTCTGACCCAGACTCACCAACCTTTCTTTTCTTCAATCACGTCTATAGTGGACCAAACAAAGTTGTTTCACTCACCCAACCGAACTCGCTCAAACTCACCAAAACATTACTCTCTCAGATTCACTCACGGCTCGATCTGAGTCCGAGTGAGTCGTCACGAGCCCGTTTGCGTATAGTTAGCATTCTTAACCACTATGTCAGTGCTCCTTAACTTCAGTATTTCGTATAATCAATGCTCTGATTGGCGTCTTTCGATCTCGTACTTGCAAAACACACATTATGAATAGTTGCGATCCAGTAAGGACGTTTTTTATTGAAAGAAATGACTCGCGCGAGATATTCTGAACAAGAACTTCCTGTGTCAAAGTTTGCGGGGAAGTCAAAAACTCACGCAACAGATTTATGAACATTGAGGTGGTGGCACATGAATGCTAGTGCTTTGACGTACTGTGAGTACACTCGAGTACAAACACGAACTGACATAAGGCTGATAGTTATACGCTGAAGTGGAATAGATAGGAGTGATCAGTGACATAAACGCTTTAGGACGTAACGAAAAAAATGATAACGAAAGCAAAAAAAGGGGAAAAAGATCAAGCAAGCCGGCTGGGGAGATAGTGCAGTACTGAACTGGCAAGGAGATTCAGAGAAGGGCCACAGAAACTTCGCACGGGGCTTGATTTAGAAACGGCTTACAATCACATACCAAACTGATGGCACGAAGATGTATCTGATGTATGTATGTATGTATGTATGTATGTATGTGTGTATGTATGTATGTATGTATGTATGTATGTATGTATGTATGTATGTATGTATGTATGTATGTATGTATGTATGTATGTATGTATGTATGTATGTATGTATGTATGCATGCATGCATGTATGTATGTATGTATGTATGTATGTATGTATGTATGTATGTATGTATGTATGTATGTATGTATGTATGTATGTATGTATGTATGTATGTATGTATGTATGTATGATTGATGATTGATATATGGGGTTTAACGTCCCAAAACCACCATATGATTATGAGGGACGCCGTAGTGGAGGGCTCCGGAAATTTCGACCACCTGGGGTTCTTTAACGTGCACCCAAATCTGAGCACACGGGCCTACAACAGATGTATGTATGTATGTATGTATGTATGTATGTATGTATGTATGTATGTATGCATGTATGTATGTATGTATGTATGTATGTATGTATGTATGTATGTATGTATGTATGTATGTATGTATGTTCAAACATCCCCTCCGATCTCGCATGTTCTGGAAATCAAAGGCAGCGATGTTCGGGCACGGTCTGATCAGCCTGGTGGTCGCAATTAAGTTGCATTATGCTGCAGTAACGCAGCAAATCTGCCGAGAGTGCCCACATAATTGCTATCGCAGTAATATACTTTATTACAGCGGCAAGTTAATAACAGTTTCTTCGTGCGCCGCCGTTATTAAGTTTTTTTTCATGCGTTACATTGTCTCGCGTTGTATACCCTTTAGACAGCTTTGGTACGTACAATATATATATATTTTTTGCATTGTTCTTGTCGCTTCAGCAGCAGGTGGACAGTGGCCGCGCATGTCACTCTTTTTATTGTTTGCTCGCATATCTTTCTCGCCGAAGTATAAGAGTACACCAGAACGCCGATTTTGCATATTATTGCATTTATACTACGCGGCGAGATAAGCATGACAAGTTGCAGCGTTGAGCGAAAGAGTAACAAGCGTGAACGATAAGCTACGGTAATACCCGCGCTAACAGGCAGTTTAAGAATGGCGTATACGCAAAGATAGCGTTCGCTATTTTCATCACGGGGGCCGGCAAAAAGATAGCGTACGGAGCATGCGCAGTGGCGTCAAACGCTAAGCCTTGTGTACGCTATTCTAAAGCTCCCTATAGCACGACCGCAATTTATTCACAGCCACTTGGGTGGAGGATACACCAAGTAAATCCATTGACGACCTTCCCGGTACAAAGGGCTGCTGCGAAAATTTTAATCAGAAGCTCGGAAGCGAAAAAAACAACGTATAGAGGGCCCCAGAACACATTAATAGGTTGTAGTGGTATAGTCTCACTATTAGCGCGTGACGCTTTGCAAATGGGAGGCTGCGAAATTTTCTTGAATACGTCAAGCGCGAGCAGAGTTACACGGATTTGTCGCACGCTTTAAGCGCTTTCTCTCTTATTTCGTGCCAGCGAGCGCGCTGAAAGCTTAGCAGAAGGAGGGGGGTGGGGATTATAAAGGAGCCAAGAAGATGCGTCCCTTCGTTAGCAGCGTGCGCCATTATGGTGATGTTGACGCCTTCAATATGACTCATACCCACACAGGGGGATTTTCTTTTCTTTTTTCTTGGAACACGTGGCTTACTCAGAGGAGCAGTGACACCAAATTGCAAACTCGAAATGTGGCGTCCATTCGATTGCTTGGTATGCGTGAGCTTTTTAGCGAAGTGTGAATGGCGTCCGTTGCGTAGAAGCTATTCTTCAGTAGAGTGACTAGTTGGGTGAGTTGGTTCATTCTTACGGTAGCTTTAGCGCGATATAAAGACGAGAGACAGACAAACACACGTCATCCAAAGGGAGACTTCATACATTGTGTGCGCGCGTGTGTATGAAGGCTCCCTAGAGGCGACCGCTACAGCAGCGCTGAAAATTGGCGGGCTTTGCCCCCGTTTCTAATTGGGTTCGATACTCGTCATACCAATCGATATTGCGTATGTTAATTCGCCCCTCTGTTGCATTTTAGTACCGAATCGATACTACAGGGATCTATAACTACGCATTGACGCAAAAAAAAAAAAAAAAACGCGACATGCGTCAAGCTGATGTCACTGCTCCTTTAGTAACATGGCGGCATCCCATAGCGGCCACACTGACTACGGAGCTCACGATGCTCAAATAAAAAAAAAAGGGCGCTACAAAACACAATGCTTCTCTACCAAGATCAATCCGCATCTGCTAGGTCACACTTGGAATTTTACAAACACGCGAAGTTTCACTGCAATATTCTAGTGCTTCACGAGATGTAGGCGACTTAATACCAAGCCCCAGCGACAGAACACACACATACTGCCCCAGCAACCAATGTAACATATTCTTGATATGGAAATACCCAATTTGAGAATTGCTTTCATAAAACAGAGCCCAACGTCGCTGCGCCACCAAGTAAAAGCAGCAAGACATGGAGGAAACTACCCAGTGGATTGTATGTACCATGGTACACTGGATATTGGAAGGTCCACTCATCAGTGCCATCTTGCCAGGCCACGACGGCCATACCCTGCCCAGCAATAATAACACCAACCACTTTGAAAGACAGACCCACACGTAGGTGTTCTGTGCCCCCACCATGTAATACTGAAGCGAACAAAGGATAGTACCATGTTCCCAATGAAGTTTTCAACCAACCAACGTCGCACCTCGATAACGAAACTGAAACTTCTTAACATTGACCGCAGCGCCACATGTTCGTTTCTCCTTCATGTTCACAATGCCGCTAAAAAGCATGGTTGACAGTAGGAGTTGACAAATCGACGCCTTGTGTTCAGTCAAAGTGTTCTGTGAAAGTGTTTCGTGTTTAGTTGTTACCGTGTCGCGGTCCATGCGTTGACGGTGAGGCCCGTGGTTGGTACTTCAACTAGTCACAAAGAAAACTTGTGATGGACCCGATCGGTTTATCGAGACGCTCGCCGTGTCAACGACGGTTACTGAAGGCTGCGACGGAAAAACTGCTTTGACAGACCAGCTTTGTGATAGTTGCAATCGCTGGCTTGATAATGACGCGGGTCACGAATTCCCGTCGCAACTTCGCCAAGTCCGGTGCAAGTAAAGCTGTGATACCGACGGATGACAGGTGGCTCAATTACTCTTTTATTCATTAGTCCATTTTTCTCTGTGCGTGGCTCCGCCGAATGAGTACACGTGCTTTTTCTTTGCGCCGCTACGCGCGCATACTCGTGGATGAAATCGTGCATGGAGCATATTGAAAGGCACATCAGATGTTCGTTTTTAAGCCGTTCATATTCTTCATACCCTTTCCGAGGTTCACAGCTTTCACAATCTGACGTCCACGTTTTTAGGGATTTCTGCTTGAGCTGAGAACCCAGGTGTTCGAGAGGTTCGAATTTCCAGGAGAAGATCATAAGTTTGCAGAACGTGAAAGTAAGAAGATAACGTGGTTATGGGACTCGTTTTTTGACTGACCTGATCTAGCTGTGTTGGACATTTATTTACACCGGCCTGGAAAGCCCTAAAAATCTCTGTTAGTTATTTTCGGGCATCATGAGGCTGTAAACGACCTGTTGGATGCCAAGAAAGCATCATTGCTGTAGTTAAAAAAATTGTATGCCTTTTCTCTTTTGAGCAAACACAAAAAGGATGGATCACTTTTTTAATGCACAAGGGGGGTAGGGGGGGGGGGGTTAAGACATGTTTGCCTTTGTGCAGTTGAGCATTAATGTTTACCACTTAATGCTATACACCAAGTGGTGTTTAGCTAGTTCCATAACATGGTGTATTGCCACGTTCCCGAAAGGTGCACATTTGGTCTTGATTGTAGCATCCTTGCTTGCTGGACCATCCAATCTTAATTTACTCATGTGCTCTATTATTCCCGACGTGCAGGGCAGGACTGAACCAGGAGGGACCGTCAAGCCTAGCGAGGCACATCCAGCTGCCCGAGCTACCCGTGGATGGGGATCTCGCGTTTGAGGCACAAGCTGCACTCTTTGCTGTAGTGTTACTGGTGTGCCAACAGTTGCAGCTGCACAGGGCCGGCCTGGTGGCTTCCACATGCACATCAAGACCAGGCGTTGCACTACGAACTGGTGGAACCCACATGCGGCTGCTCTAAGTCTCGCAATCATGTGCCACCCTCTGCCAGCGGCCTTGGCCAAGCGAGTTCTAGCTGCACTGTTGCCCAGCAGCTGGGAGGCACGTGCCACGGCTGTGTGCCAAGGGGCTACGTTGATAGCTACGGCTGGACTTGTGGCTTGGGCCGCGTTCCACGTGTGTTGCAAGCATGGTGCTTTCAGCGTCCTGTGCCTTGCCTACCCGTTAGTAGTGTCTTGTCTTCCTGGTGTCTGTTGTGTGCTCGATTCTTCGAGGAACCAATGTTCCGTGTAAATTATGTAATGATAAAGGGAAATCGACTGCTATCCGTTTGTGCCACGAAGCCGCAAGGAAATTCATATGGATTTTCTTGGTAACTTCCTTCTACAAACGGGTGCTTGTCCATTTCCTTTTCTTAACACTACTGCCAGTTTTGTGGGATTCCACACAACTGTTTTGCAAATGATATAATGTGAGCTGTAAATTGCCTTAGATCCTCTACATATTAACTTTAGTTCTGTGATTCTGTTTTCTCATGCCAAAACCTGGCATGTGTACGGTAGGTTCAATTGCCATACTAAAGACATTGCTCTGTTTCAATGTTTCATAACTGTTCAGCATAGTGTAAATGTTAATGAAGCACTGATGCAGTGATTACTGATGAATCTGTGCATTTATCTGAGCCGCATAGTTGAAGTCGCGTTGCATGTAGTACATATTGATCTCTATGGATATGTTCTAGTTTTACATCACCCTCTGCTGGATTGGTTCATTTTTTTCTGGCTTTTCACTGTGGCCAGCCACTAAGCTGTCGATATAATTGAAAAGTGTGACTGTTTGTTTCTTTGCTTTTGTGTTTACATGGTGCAGGGGGGTCATTCACGTAGTGCTATTTGGGCCCCGGCCAGGACTAATACGTGAGTGGCCTACACCTGTGGCACACGTATGTTCCTCAGTGCCAGCTGAGGTGAGGGCAGAGGTAGAACGCCATAAGCATGACTTCAATGAGCGACTCAAGCGCTGCCTTTTCCAGGTATGTTTACCAAGAGCCCACTAGTTATAATTTGTTATGATTGCAAAATAGATCCATAGTATTGATCAGTAAAATTTTATATTTACTGCATGACCTCTCTGGTATGATCATTGTGGAAATGTGCTAATATCAAAGGCCAAAGCACATTTACTGCACATGTACCAAATTTGCTGTAGGCAACAGAACGTCTAGGCTTCAATGCTGTAACTTGGAAACTAGTGTAGCGAGAAACTTTTCACTGAGGTTGTACTGCATGTAAAATGGTTTTTGTAAAACTAAATTTTTTTACCAATCCGGTTGGTTACTTCTCACTGTTGCTTCGTCAGCCACTGGAATAGTCTCTGCATGCTAGACTCGCATGTGCCATGTGCGTATTCCTGAGGTGTGTATTTAGTAAAGGTTCACTAATTTGGCTGTCTACTCAGTGGAATCATGTTGCCACATTATTGTCTATCACCGGGGTCTCAAACTTGTCTCAGCTACCGGGCCGCAGTCGCAAAATTTATTCCCACCGGGTCAGGGACAGAGAAAATCGTTGGAGTGGGGTGGGAGGTTTGTTTGACAAATTATCACCTTTGAGCATGCAGGTTTTGAGAAAGACATCGATACTGATTTCCACAATGAAAAAAAACATCTTTAAGCCGATTATCTGCATCTCAAAAGCAAAATAAAAAGTGTATTTCTTGCCAAGCTGCTAGCAAATGTGGCTCACAAACTCCATGTTGGACTATCTTGGTCTCTCGGAATGTCACATTATTGTAGTAGCATTCTCTTAAGTTAAAAAGATTGTTGCCGCTTGTGCAGACGAGTGCTGGTTAACATTGTTCGCTACTGCAGGCTCTGCTCGTGACGTACTATGCGGCCCTGCAACCTTGCTGCTTTGTGCCGCCATCTTTGCATCTGGAGCCCTGGGCACTCGCCCAGCATGGTCTGCTGGCTTGGCTGGCTGCCTTGACACTGCACGCTTCACGCTTGTTCCCTCCACGTTACCTGGATTCACTGCACAGGGCAGCGCTGCACTTGGGACGCTGGCGGAGGCTAGAAGCCCGTCACGTCCATGCCCCACATCACCTGTGAGTGAACATTCGAGTGCCAAATTTCGGCATTCGGTATCTGTCTAAATTTGTGCTTGAAAGGTTCCTGGCGATGCCTTTTTTATAGTGGTTTTAAAGGCACATCCCCACGAATATTATAGCGAAGCTCTCTTAGCATTTCCCCCCTAAACTGGCGCTTGTGGTCTCACAGATTAGACAGTGACATGGTCCACCATGTAAGCACAAGGATTATGGGCTCAGATCATCACTTACTCATTTTAAAGCTGCACAAAGTAAAAGTGTATTCTAGCTTTGCAATGTCCATAGCTGCAACTGAGGTCATTATGGTTTTCTCCACACGAAGGACATATCGTCAACAAGTATGTCACACGACATAATACATATATTTTATACTGCCCTGAGCACTTCCCCAATGCTAGCATTCACATAACAATGTATAAAAGCTGATTACGACGACTTCAATCCTGCTGTTTCACTTTATTTTATGGGTGATTTCACAATTCTATTGCAACACTGCATACACTTTCATGTGGATACCACATTAACAGCAGGATCAATGCACTTTTTGCTGGTGTTCAAACTCAGTGAGCGACAAGGACAGAAATGAATTTTGTAGCCTGCAGGGTTCTGGCTTGCCAGCTCAATAAAGCTTTGCTTGCATTGATGGCCTCAGTGCCTGGATCTGCGTCAGTTTCTTTGTTGTGAATTTATTTACGTGCTCTTTCATTTATTTTCAAATAATGGTAGTGTGCATTTTTCTTGTACTTTATTCTTTTCATTGTAAATATGAGTGCTAGCGAGCTGTTGCAGTTTAATATGTAAATAAATTTTATGTTTTTTTTATCTAGGCAATTGACTGAACGCATCTATAGTTGTAATGTTCTGCTGACGTTTTTGTTACGGGTTCAGTGCCAAGCCTGAGCAACTGCATTCTGATCTGGGCGAAATCCAACAACACTTTCAACATTGGACGTGCCTAAGTATAAGTCAAAATTATTCCAGAACCTTACACTGCAGCATCTCTTTTAGGCTTCACGTTACATTATGTTGAAGTCTGGAATTTCATGAGTCATTCAATCAACAGGCATTATTTTGCACTACAGGTGGTCTGACACTGTTCTGTGGCCCCAAAACAACCTGGTGAAGCACAGCCGAGAATTCTTCCGTGCGGAGGGGGTCAGCAATGCTGCAGAGCCAGGCCACCCATGGCATGGCCGTTTCTACGGTCTGTTCCGCAGCCCTGCCGTGGTGGTTGGAGGAGCGCTCGCGCTACAGGCAGCTCAGCTGCTGTTTCTACTCTACGTTCTGGCCAGTTCCTCGGAATGGCATCGGCTTCTCACTGCCAGCCTTCTAGTTTTGCTCAACTCGCTGACCCTCTTCAAACTGGCACGTCAATATCTAGTCCTTGACAAAGTGTATCATGCAGAACGCTTGCTGCACGAGCGGCTTGCCTCCTGAGTTTGTCCCATGATAGGCTAGTCTTGCAGGCCACATGTGCTTCTACTGCACCATGACCCAAGCTTGTCATCTCTTACTCGGTTTGGCCCACAAGTGCACAGAATCGTGAGAATCCACAACAAGGGAGTCTCATAGTGTGTTCACGATAAGAGGGTGTAAATATCTGCTCTTGCACAAGCTCTGGAGCAAGTGAAAGTTGAAGATCCCTATTAAAGTTTTTACGAGTATAAAATGCTTTTGGACAATGCCACATGAAGACACGGCAATATTCATATGGTCGCCTTGTGAACCGGAACATTCTAGCTTTTGGACAATGCCACATGAAGACACGGCAATATTCATATGGTCGCCTTGTGAACCGGAACATTCTAGGTACAATTTGATGAACAATCTAATGTGTTACCAATTTTATTGAATGTGTGTAAAGTTTCCCTAGCATATTTTTCCAATGGTCGGAAAAGCTGGAACTTCAGATATGTCGCACGTTGTACTTGATGCCACATTGTGCCATGTCTTTTCTGCTTATAGTTTCACTGGGGCTCAAGCATGTAGTTGTCCTAGCGCATATTGCGGCATGTGCTAAAACGCACTTTTAAGTGCCCACGAAGCTGTGTATCAAGAATATGCTGCTACTACTTTTATCTTTTCAAGACCCCATGCTATCGTGCACTGCTAAAAATAGCAGAGACTAGAACATGTCTTCATGAGCAGTTCACGAACATGGGTATTTCACAAAAACGGGGACCTATCGAGCAGCAAAATTAAACCGAAATAATGAAAGGGTGGCCAGTCAGTGATAAAAAGTTCCTACACTGGAAGGACGTGCGGTGATATTAGGCCTAGGTTTACTTATGTGGACATTCATGAAGTGTTGTTCTATCCAAGTATGGAGTGTAGTGCAAACTCGCAAACTGCCGTTTCCTCAATAGGGCAAAAGGCTCTATGTGCGAGCTTTCTGTTCGAATTTTACGTAAAAGTACGGTACATATTAGGTCAAGCTAAACTGTCACAGTTTACTGTTCCGCACTATTCAGAGCTTCGAAGACGTTCGCTGGGAATTAGGCTTTTGTATGGGAAAAAAAAAAACAAACTCGGTACATGCTTGCCCTTGCCATGTTGAGAATGTGGTAGTACCAGCTCTCAAGGTCTAAAACGTACCAGTTACGTTAAGTCATTTATCACTGTGAAATCGCAAACAATCACTTACAGTATCAACGTTACTTAGGGCTTTAGTGCGTTAAAAGCACAATTCGGACAATTTTGTTACATGTTGATTATATATATTTTTTTCACTTCCCATTCCTGTCGCCTCTTACCTTATGTTGTTTTTCTGTAGAAACCAAATCTATATTTATCATCTGGTTTCATTTCATTCTTCATTGTTTAGGAAATGCACAAGCATTGCATAAATACCTTTCTTGACTTCTTGTGCAAAGTAGGAAATAAAATTTTATTATTTGACAATGTGGTGGAATACTGTGGTGTAAAGCGATGCCGTTGACAAGGACGCAAAAACCTATTGCTAAAGAAACATCCAAACGGTGGCGGCGTCATTGTTATTGCAAAAACGTGCATTATCCACAATAAGGAACTGGACCATTGACCTTGAATGAGCATTAAAAGAAATTTAGGAGTACTCGGTATACTTTCTGGCTTTGAAATGACCCACGAATAGGGAAAAAATTTTCCCCAAACACTTTATGTTACACCATCAATATTCAATATTTCAGACACCGAACGAAAGGTAATACCCAAAGTAATTCCACATTTCTAAAATGGAGTTTCAAAAAAATGTTCTGTAATCAGCTGTTAAAGAGTTTTTCAATCGTACCACTTGTGAAACTCTGCTCCGAAATATGGGTGCACCTATAGACGAATTCGTAGAGGATAGCAAATAGACAAGCTACCCAGGAGCGAAAAACGAAAACCACACCACGTTGCCATGATCAATGCACTCTTCACTGTCATTGTGCGGGTAGCTTCTGCAAGAATTAGTAGCTCTAATAATAAAGGTTGAAGAGTTATGTGGCTGCAGTATTGTCTTCAAAACATGAGCCACAAGCATAGCCACGCTGCTCGTTTCATTATCGGGGCATCACTTTAGGGCTTGAGCACTCGAACACACAAAAGTGCGCTTTATTGTTTTAATGTCTACAGATGGCACCATAATCGGCGAACCTCCACAATTCCAACTAATAATGTGTTCAGATTGTTATACATGGAGCCTGTGGGGACTCTGGCAACTTGTAGGATTCAAGAACTTTGCTGTTAACTGCTGTGCATGATCGATGAGATTACCGCAGCAAAATAAATGTACTAGTAAATGTGTATGTACTAGTTAGCTTATATGGCGACCCATGCTTTCTTGTTAGGCAGGTTATTCGATATTGCTTGGATGTTCTAGCAGTGCACATCGATCTGTAAAACACTCAGATGTATTTACTTGTTTGGTTCGCATGCAATAAGATTAAAAACCAATGTCTGAAAATTGTCTTTGAAGCAAGTTGCTTGACTACGCCAGCTGTTTCAATAGGCACCGTCCACTGACCAGAAGGAGCTACGTTGCTCACACTGCCCCATCTCAAAGTTGCTGACATTGGCCGTTAGGGGCATGCAGAAAATAGACCGGTCCCCCGCGTATTCCGGCCACAATCCGCCCTGTGATGCAGGGCACGGGACGCGCACATCGCATTTCATTTTTGCTAACCCCGTCTCAGTGTTGCTTTTTTGATCCGCTAGGCTCTGTGTTATGGGGCTGCAGTCAGATCGGAACACTCGACTGTACAGTCCTTATGCTCAATTAAAAATGTCTGGACAAGCCTTGCTGTCAGTAATGATAAATGTTTTCTGAAATTGTTCAAACTAAAAGATGCAATTTGATTACCAAATATGTACGAAAACAGAGTTGCTGTATTTACAAGATATGCTGAAATTCCTAGAATGAAAATGCTGATGGCAACAAAAACGAGGGAGGATTGAACCATGCACTTCTGCAGCATTTTTACAGACGAACCGGAAGTTTTAATTTGCAATAAGTCGCGCACGAATGCTGTGTCCTGCAGGGCTGCATGTCACTTACTTTTCGTATACATGCTAATGTATCGGGGCATAGGTCACACCTCTGTCACATGTTTAGACAAGCTCACACACACAAGAAAGGTTCCATAAAATTTTTTGGCCACTTGCTGTGTGGTTTCTATTATATTGCACTTTCAAAAAAGTCGCCATTGTACTCTCATGGTCACATGCACTGATGTTTAAAAAAAGACCTCTGCAGAGCACGTTGCACTAGACATGCGTAGTCTTCTTTTTCCAAATGTTTTCGGTTATTGAATTGCCTGCTGCAGCTTTATGCTTAAGAACTGAAACCAATGACGTTTAATAATTAATTAGGCAGCTTGTAACCTTGGTCTTGTATTGTTGAGTAGCAGTTCAATGTCAAAAAAACGGACATCCCAGCCCTAAATTTGTCTAAATTATGCAGTTTATTGAAGTTGATGTATTTATTACTGGAGCTGTTGAACACAACAATAAAGTATGTTTTTGGAAGAATCCTTTCTCTGTGTCACATATGTGCTGGGATTGCTGTAGCTTATGTAAAATATAATTCAGTTATCTGCATCTTCAAAATTTACTTTCTTCTAGGGCTCACATTTTGTGGGCCCTTAGTTGAATGAGTGCACTTTTTTTTTTTTAAACTGCATAAGAAACATTTACTCGTGTATATATTTTGTATATTCTCGCAGTAATTTTGCTCATATGACACTACCATAGGCGTGTGTAAAATGTAAATTAAGTTATTGAGATCGATTTGGATGTAAGTAGAATGGTGCCTGAAAAATGTTCTTGCTGTAAAATGCTTTATAAGTACTTAAATTTGGAGACTAACCTGTCTTGAGGCGCCAATTGTAAAGCGAATGTTTGATTCGAAGGCACTGGACACGGAGTGCGGTTATTTAGCCAACTCTAGATATGTGCAGCTGGTCATTTTACATGATATTAAGGAAAACTTTTGAGTTACAGCACCGGATTCACCAAAAAGTGGTGGATCAGACGTGGACAAATATGCTTATTCACCGAGAAGATTAGGAGAAGGCTTCATTGCACAGGAAAGCGCGATTCTTGCCAATTCTTGCCGAAACAAACAAACAAACGGTTTCGCTTTGCAAACTTTTACCGATCTCTGAGGCCAAAGTGCATTTTGAAGCAGAGCACGGAAGTCGCGACGTGATTCAAGATCATGAAGGTAAGCGCATGTTCAAGATTATTCTTTTTAATATTGCAAGATACTTGTTGAATTCGTCTCACAAAAGCTGCTGGTGGGTATATGTTACGACGGGCTCTGGTTTTTCTACGTGCCATGTTAACGCGCAGTAGCCGCATCGGCCATCATCGGCATTGTCAACAAGCCATGTGCTTTTTCTGGCGAGATCGCGATGTAAACACGCGAAACTTGCGTTGTGATCGGCTCCTTTTCACTTAGGTGCAGATATGGTGTCGGCCCTTCGGCGCAAGATTGCAGAACAGGTATTTATGGCGCAGTTGTTCCGAGGTCGTCCACTAACGCAATCTCGCAGATATGCCAGACGGCGACACGCCTGGCGAGGTGTCGCGATGAGCCCTCCGCCCATCGCTTTCTTCCGCTCGTGAAATTGAAGACGGACAAGAGGTAGGCGTCCAACGTGCAGTAGAAGTTAACGTTGTTTTTCTCTAATGTGCGACTATCTGTTTAATTGAAGCTGCAGCGCGCCGTTCCTGGCCATTTCTGAATCGGAACTTGGTGGGGCGCTTGGAATCGGCGCCGAAGAGCTTAGAGGATCACTGAAAACAGACTTGGAAAATGTGGTAAGCCTGTGCTTGCGTACGACTAGTTCGCTGCTGTGTTGCTGACATTGTAGTGTCTTAACCGAATATACGCGTTTAAGCGAACACGCTAGTTTAGGATATAAGATACGAGCACCGAAATTGCTGTTAGCAAAAGCTAGTCGCGGCAGCTGTCATAAGAAAAAAAAAAAAAAAAAGGCTAATGGTCCTCTAAATTCACACATCTTTTGCGAAGCGAACGGTTTCTACTGGACAAGCAGTTGACGCAATCAACGGGTCATCACAGTTATTTTCATATGACTATGACGAGTGTTCGAAGAGTTTTCGAAACCACGAGACATGAATGTTCACATTTCCACACGTACGCAAAGGAATAACTCTGCTACCTTGACTTGGAGGCTATCATATGGGGCCCGTTTGCAGCTTTCATGAACTCGAAGCAGATGACCAGCAAATGATGTAGTCACGACTCCAGTTACCATGTTGTCCACTGGCTATTCGAGTCCGAGCGTGAGGCATACCCAATGTGAATTGAAGCCACTAGAATTGAGAAAGACAGCCCGTGTGGCTATCTCGGCTTGAAATATATATTCGCGTGGTCTTCTTTGGCAGCTATCCAAGGCCGTTTTGTCTGAGGCAGGAGAGCTGTCCGTGCACCTTGACCGTGCCACCTTTCTCCAGGTGAGTGGGCACTTACCCACATATTGCAGACCCCTCGGCAACGTATTGCTGCTGAGAAACCCCCTACTGCTTATGTGTTTGCATCCGTATTTGTGAACTTCATAAGAGCTGATAGTTAACTACTTTGGTAGGCAAATACTGTGGCATTTAAAGAGGCACTAAAGGCAAATATTAAAGCAATGTGGATTGTTGAAAAAAAAATTTCAGAAACAATGTAGTGCATTTTTCATGCCTGAGAATGCTTAGCTTGAAATAAAATAATGTTTTATTTTTTCCCATACCGGCATCACAATTCAAACTGCCTGTTTGTGAGAGTGGCTTTTTGATGTAGTATATGACATGCCTGCACTTGCCTGATTGCCAATGCTTCGGTGCAAGGGTATTTAGTAGGATAAAGCATGTCAATGACGGAACTGGTGTCGTTCTCAAGGGTACTGTCGAGTTCTTTTTTTTTTTGCATGGACCACATTTAAATTTTTGGTTTAATGCATATGCAATCAGATGTTTGTTTTTGTCATGGTAGTTTCAGTACTTGTGGTTAATTCTACTGAGGCTCTATTACATCCCTGAGCTCGTGTTCCGGAATGTCCCACTGGTAACACAAATCTTCTCATACATTTATTACCTTAATTTCTCTGTTACTAAAGTGTTGCTTTGTACAACGATATTGGCATTTTAGACATTCTCAAGCATTATGTTCATCTCCAGGTGTGCCACATACTTGTTGAACGAATGTAGTGGTGAGTTTTCAGTTGCCCTGTCTCTTTATATTGTCAGCTCCATTTGCATAGTTTTGATGTCCAAGTACGATATGGCATGCCCATCTTCGTGCGATGTCAACCTGCAGCTTTCGGTGCAGGAATCTCTCTCCAAAGCTGGCTGCCCACCGTGCCTCGTGCCTTCTCTGCGCTTTGTGGTGGACTTCAGCTCTCCCAATGTGGCCAAGCCATTCCACGTCGGCCACTTGCGCTCCACTGTGCTGGGCCACAGCCTCTGCAACCTGTTGAGCTTTGCTGGGCACCATGTCACTCGGCTCAACTACCTCGGAGACTGGGGCACCCAGTGCGGTGTGTGCTGTTCGATTTTGGTGCAGGATGCAACGTTACAAAGACAGTTCTACAAGTGTTGTATTATAAGAATGAAACCTAGTGAACAAAATGAAGAAACTTGGTAAGGATGAGAGAATCGTGAAACAAGGGATTGAAAGGACTGTAATGTTATGACTGGAATAGGGCATTATGAACATTGGAGGAAACATGGGTGCATGATGGGCTAATTAGTATTAAGAAAAAAAGTGGGCTGGGGATGATCATAGTGCAAGTAACTAGTGGTCTGTTAAAATGTCGAAATACTGTATGTGCTAAGGGAACGATATTGAAATTGCAGATTGTAGCTGAATAGGTAGTGCGATAAAATTACGAAGTATGCAATGTTAGTGGCTAACACAGAAAAGGGGAGGTCACTTAAACGAGTAAAGGCCATAATTTTGTGGACATAAAAGTATGTAGTCTGTGGGATGTGTTGTGCCCTCAGTTTGCTTTCTTGACATGGCTGTATTCACTCGGTCACTTTGTTCTTTCTGGGGTACTTCCAAGAAATGCCTTTCTTTTTTCATGCATAAGTTAATACTTCTGCCCTTTTGATGTGTTGCTTTAGCTCAAGAAAACAGCATTGTGACACAGGACACAAGTGTTGTACTAGCAGTCAGGAATCTATATGAAGACCAGGTTTATCTGTGCGAGTCCTGTGTACACTACATGTTTCCTAGCCCTGTTCTGTTCCCACTTTTACAGGTCTTCTAATAGCCGGTTTCAGAAAATATGGCAGTAATGAGGAGCTCATTAAGGATCCACTCAAACACCTTCTTTCAGTAAGTGTTCTCCGGAAAGATGTCATTTTTTGCTTTGCATATCCCAAACAGTATTTGCATTTACAAGGTTTGATTGTTACTGTGGTTGTGAATTTGTCCAAAACAGCAGGATTGGGATGTAGAGTCTTGTCCTGTTCTGTTTTGTTAGCAGTGAATAGTTCTGGACATGGTATACATTTGAATGAGCTATTTATGCTTACAGTCTCAGATACGAGCCTTTGTGCAAAAGTACATATTAGTCCCACTTTTCCATGTGCAGGAAAACTTTTCACCCACATTAGCTGTTTCAGTTATAGCGCAACACTAAGTTACTCATATCTTGCCGAAGTCTTTGTAATCTCAAGGAAAATTCTTTTACCATATTTTCGAAGGTTGAATGTAGTGTTTAATGGTGTTGGATTTCGGTAAATATTTTTAGCTTCTGAATTTTCCTCTTCTTCAGTTTCGTAGAACTTGCCAATCAAAATGCCGTAGAATTTCCTATTTTTTTTTTATTTTTCAGAGAGGAGACTTGAGTTTTCAGTCATCACGTGTTTTTGTAAACTTGCACAATAACTTGACTGATGAATGCATTGGAACAATCCCCTGCCTAATTTCCCCGCTCATCTCTGAGCGCCTTTGTGCATGTTGGTGCATGGAATTTTTTTCTTTATATGAGGTACCTCTTGAAAAGTTTGCACATATTCAGGGACAACTGCTGTACTAGCAAGTTAAGACGGCAAAAGCAAGGACAGAAAAGTGAACAAGAATGGTTGTTGCATGCGGAGAAGTTAGCTTTACAGGAATAGACCACAAGAGACGCAACTGCGGGTGATCTGCTGAAATGAAGTCCACACAACTTTCCTTCTCACATCTTGAGAAGTCATACTCGGCAGTTCCACCTCCTTCGGCTGTTTTATTCCAAATACCTGTTAATGCAATCGCGAAGCGGTGCCTTCATGAGACTATGGGACAGTATTTTCCCACTTTTTTTAAAACACTCTCACGAGCTTTTATCAGCAAGCTACTAGCTTGATTGTGATGAAATTTGTTTGAAACTATTTCTTTGTAGTTTATATGACTATACGACAGCTGGTTTTTATATAATCGGGCAAACCTACAAATGATGATTAAGTTGTTAGCTTAATGCAGTATAAACTGTTGGAAGTACAAAAAATGATGTTACTAGCCTGAAGATTCCAGCCTTCAAATTGGGTTTGCCGTACATTCAAAAATATGAGTTCTTATATGCAAGAGAATATTTTAGCGTATCCTTTCAAGATTAGTAAACCGTGTGTAGTTGCTTTCTCTCCTATATAGTTACTGAGAAACTACTGGCACTGGTTAGAATGAGCTAACTGTGTCTAGTTTTAACTAACCATAACTGTATAATCACTGGTGGTTGCTCACTAATTGTGCATGTCGGCAAATGTTGCAATAGCTTGGCTAAATTACAACCAGTGTTAGGTAATGTCAACACGGCTTTTATTCAGTCTTCATTCAGTGACGATTTCCCATACATGCAAATGACAGTCTGAGTCGGTACTGGCTGAATTCATTTTATTTCATGGCTGACTAGGTCTATGTTGCTGCCAATGCAGAAGCAGAGAAGAACCCTGGATTTCGTGCTGAAGCTCTTGAGAATTTTGCCAACCTTGAAGCTGGTAAGTGTTTCCAGAGTTCATAACAGTGAGGACCAAAGGCTCGTTACCCTTTTGTGACGCGTGATTCGCAGGTCAACCTGAGGTGCTTGATCAGTGGCAGAAATGGCGGCAGCTGAGCTTGGACAGCTATGACCTGCAGTACAAGGTGAAGAGGTGTTTGCTGTGGTCAGATTCTGCTGCAGAGGAGCCGTGAAACATTGTAATTTTGTTATGAGCAGCTGAACATGTTTGTGCAATAATGTACGAATGACAACATCATTGAAGCGACAGAGTTTATTTGGTATACAAACTGAAATTTACATCTGTGCTGAAAAGTTTACATCTGTGCTGAATCTGTGTGAAACAGGTTTGAGCAACCTGTTTTTAATTTTAAATTACATGTGTATGCAGTGAAAAAAAAAAATCAATTCTATCTTGCAATCCTTTGTTTCTGTACACTTTTTGTGAAAGGAGGAATGCGTGTTTATCAGATGGTGAACGATTAAGTTGATATTTAGATACGTGAATTATTTTTTGGATCATGTGGCGATAGCTTGCAAGGAAGTAGAAAAAATTACTTTAAAAAGTACTGTAGTGAAAGCCATGTGTTCAAAGCATTTCTGACATAACAATCATCAGCAGGAAAGTTTGTGACCCCTTTACAGAATGAAGTGTTCCACTATCTCCCTTTCTAGAAGCGTATCAGCAGGTACCTTTTTCTTTAAGTGGAGACAGAGTGCAGGCAAGTGTAGTTTGATTTGAGCAGTTTGCTCTTAGCTGGTAAACTGACTATAGTTCTATTATATTGTTACTGATTAAAAACGGTGGTATGCATGTAAAATGTGGTTACTTGCAAGCACATTTCACTGTTTTCATCTCACGATGATTTTCCTTGATTGTACTTTCTATGATATCACAATGCAGCGCTTGGGTGTCTCCTTCGATGTGCTGGATTCAGAATCCAGGCATAGCCATGCTGCTCTTCAACTATTGGACAGGCTGCACTCAGAAAACAGGCTCGCTTCTCGAGGGTTTGTTCATCTCTTAAATATATTTAAGTATCCATAATATAGATGAGTGGGAAATAGTGATGTGCCAATTACTTTTACTACGCTGTCTTTATGACTTACATATTTCGCCGTGGATGTATTGCTTGTCAACTCTCTCCATGCTAAGAAGCTGTTATGCAGAACTTTGTCCCAAAATGACCATGTTTATGCCAAAAGATGCTAAAATGACAATTAACGTAGACATACATGTTGCTTCTTCCCCACCTCACTTCAACTTCTGATTAGCACAACCTTTTGGTATTGAAGTCACTAGGTGTGCCACTGTTAGCTTTCTCCTCACTTTTCAGTGACAAACTAAGTCCATGAGGAAGCTCGTTGTCTTCTTCGCTTGACAAGCTGAATAATTTATGTTCCGAGTCACTCAATTGACTACTGCTTTTCTCCTCTGCGATGTATCCAACTAAACTAAAGCTGCCTACTGTTTGTGAAATGTGTGCCACTATCTACAGTAAGGTAGGAGATACATCCTTGATGAACATCAAACAAGTTCAATAAAAACCCAAGGCTGTACCAAAACAAAGGAATGAGCTCTGACAATATCCTTCTTTCATTCTCGAGCTAGATGAAGCACTCGGTCAGAATCAGCTCATGTAATGGTACCGAAAAAAAAAAAGGGCACTGTTGATGAACCTACAGCTCATCCTTTGGCTGTTCTTACCAGGAACCATTCTTACCAACTTGTACATGGTCTCATGAGAAGTAAAAACAGCTTGAGGTTGATTATGTCTTGTGAGATAATTTACTTCTTCAATAGTAATGAATCAAAGTTATGGAATATGAATGCTGGAAGGTATGTCGTTATAAAGTATTCACGCATGTGTAAAAATCATTGGTTGATATGTGGGGTTTAATGCCCCAAAACCACTATGTGATTATGAGACACGCCGTGGTGGAGGGCTCCGGAAGTTTCGACCACCTGGGGTTCTTTAACGTGCACCCAAATCCGAGCACACGGGTCTATAGCATTTTCGCCTCCATCCGCCGCAGCCAGGATTCGAACCCGCGACCTTCGGGTCAGCATCCGAGTACCTTAGCCACTAGACCACCGTGGCGGGGCACGCATGTGACAAAAGGCAACGCTGCAATGAATGACATGATGCTAGCCACTCGTGCAGGCTTGCTGTGCACTTTTTCATAATGTAATTGTCTTTGTTAGAGACTTAATCAAGAGGCATACTTGTGAAGTTTTTGTCTTCTCGATTTGATTGATATGTGGGCTTTGACATCCCAAAACCACCATAGGATTATGATAGACGCCGTAGTGGAGGGCTCTGGAAATTTCGACCTCCTGGGGGTTCTTTATTGTGCACCCAAATCTGAGCACAGGGGCCTACAGCACTTTTGCCTCCATCAAAAGTTTTTGTCTCCTTGTTGGAGACAAAAAATACAGCAGCATGCATCAGAATTTTAATCTGCTTTCATGTTGTCTGCACTTTTTATGCGTTTATGTCCCGCGAAATCTCATTGTTCATAGCGAAAGCCTCTGTAGTGATGTCCAATGCATTGTGGCTTGGCTAGTTACTTTATGTGTATATAATAATATTTGCATATTGCATTGGCAGCAGCCGTTTGGCTGGCATTATGATTAGTAGCATGGGACTAATACCAGTGTTACGATGTTATAAAAATGTGAGCATGTGACACGGCACTCAAACCCAACTTTTTGTCATCACCTGCACTTAATGCAACTTGCAGAGATGGAGTCCTGGGCATCGGTTGTGACGAGTTTGTCCCGCTTGCAAAGAGTTCTGGAGCGAGCCTTTATCTGACCAGGTGTGTGATAATTGATCGTTGCCTTTGAGGGTTTGGTGCTTGAATAGGTTTTTACTTCATATTCATTGCCACATATCTGCCAAACTCTGTTTCAATTCTATCTCACTGCCAAAACCATAGTAGTTGAAAGCATACTTGAGGTTGTGCGAGAAAATGACCACATTAAAATATCCTCTCTCATTTTCTGCGTTGGCCTTTTACAAAGCACTTTCTCATTCAGTGCACATAAGCAGGTAAACACTTGCTTGTTCTTTCTATACTTTATGTTCTGACAAGGCTTTGCTACAACAATTTTATTGTACTTGCAAAACATGTTAGAAGTTAAAAGCTGTTCACATCAGTATAGTAAGCATGTATGGTCTTGTAACAGCGATGTAACCTGATGTTGTCTTATGAATATTGTTAGAGTTGTGCATTAGCCTTTGTTATTCATGCTGTGCAACATCGCAGTCAAGTTATTATGTTAAAGATCTTTTCTTTCACCCGAACTGTCGTGGGGTCTCTGGCCGACACTTGCTTTCCCCCCAGAAAAAGTTGGGTAGTTAAAATACCTGTGTGTATGTTCTGGAAACGAGATGATGGACAGGCTCGTACTGCCCCTTGCTTAATCAAGCATTGTGGTTAACAAGAGCAAGAGAGGTCGAGAAAGTGACCAGCGCAGGGCACTCGGCGCCTGAGCAGAGGCAAAAGACATTCGCACAACGAAGGACAAAAGACCCTCAGCTCCCTAACCCAGCTGAAAATATGTAAAATAAACCTCCTGTGGCGCTTAGCAACCTCAGCATTATGAAATTATTTATAACAAACCCTTTTATAACAGCTTTAAAGTTGTGTTCTGCATATAAACATCAGCAGAGACTATTTCAAAGGACCGCACTGTGGGCAGGTAAAAGTAGAAACAGATGAGTAAGTTAGATTGTGAGGGAAAGCATGAACGCAGTTGATGTCAGGAACAGCAGTACTTATTGTGGCTTCTGTGATCAGCTAATGCACGGCAGTCCTGGACATTGCATTTCCGATGAATTTTGCATGATCTTTTACAACATGGTGTTACATCAAAACAATGCATAATGATTGTTTTGGGGAACCTACAATAATAAAAAAAAGCTAAAATTCTGCACCCTTCTTGTAACCAGTGGCCCATTTTTAGCATCCTTTCTTTTCAGACATTTTTCCTTGAGCGTAAAGCATCTGCAGTCTCTTACACAAGTCTTCATAGAAAGAAGGCAGTCAAGGTCCGCGAGTGTTGAGGGCCACGGCATTCTGTCGCTAAATAGTTGCTGCCTTTATTTAAATGCCACTCGAAGAATGTAGTGTCGAAATGTTCTTAGAGGCTGCGGCTCAGTAAAGCCGTCTATGAAATCCTTTAGTGGAACTGAAATGCAAGAATGCATGTGTACTTGGATCTAAGTGGGCATTACAGAAACCGAGTTGAGTTGGGTTAAAATAGAACCTCGGTTTCTTACAGCATGGACGTTGCTTTGGATCATTATACTATATCATATCATAAATAAAAGAAAAAAAAGAAGGTTCTATTGAGACATGCCATGGTTTAGTATGGCAATAAAATTGTATAACTACTGTACTGCTTGTTTTTATCTTAACTTTAATTGCACTGTTGCTTCTGCTTCTTCCACACTTTTGTGGTACAGGGATCTATAAATGCAGTCTCAAGCATTTTTCAAGCATTCTTGAAAATTCTTGCATGTACTTCTTCTTTAGTCATGAGATAGCATCATACAGTGCTTGTATTTTTTTTATCCAGGGATGTGGGGGCTGCCTTGGAAAGAAAGGAGAGGTACAACTTTGACTGGGCTTATTATGTGGTAGGTACCTGGGAATGCTGTGAGGATTCTTGTATGCATACCATATGGGCTCAGTGTTCAGTGGACTGTGAGCAACACCAAGCAGTAGGACATTCGCAATTTACTTCTAAACCTACACCTGATGGCGTACACAATAGGAGTAAAGGTTTCAGTATGTGTTGAAAAACTGGTGTGGCAGTGCGATAGGAGCACTAAATGTGGTTGGCAGCTTTGGCTTGTAAGTCATTGTTTCGTACATTGAATGCTTTGTTTAGTGTTAAAAAAAAAGCTATATTGTACCACTTCACTCAAGGTGATTCTCGCTGGACAAGAAGAGCTGTGCCCTTGCAGCTACCACCATTTGTGTGACACTGCCAGTGGCCCTGCAGATCTGAAACATCAATTGTGGGTGAAATGAGACTGAAGAAAAATTTGTTTTATTTAATACATACTGCGGACGCCATGAAGTCTATGCAGGGTAGGTAGAACATAATAGGTTAACAAAAGTAACTCGTCAGTCAGTAATCAGTTACATATTACATAACATAAACTTGGCATGTACTTCTTAGACGAACTAATACTCACAGGAGCTCAGCAGGAAAGCTACTGTGTTTACATTATGCACGTGCAACTCTCATTTTGACGGCAGTAGACAGAGCACTGTCTTTAACACTACATCTGTGAGCTGTGCATAGGCTATCCGTGACACAGCACGACAACACCAGTGGTGCTGATAGCACGAAGGCGGCTGCCCTGTCAGTACAAATGCTTGTCTCAATAAAAGACCAATGGTGTTATATACAACTCAAGATTAGTATGTCCTCGTTATGCCTTGGACGTAGTATTGTAGCTGTACACTTTAGTGGAGACTGCTGCTCAATTTACAGGGTGGGAATCCAGGCTTGCTGAATTTAAACTTTACCATAGACACAAGGGATCCACGAACTTTTGAAAATCCCAGACTTGCGTGGAGCACCCAGCACAGTTACAGCGAAGGCTGGAGAAGTGGCCTTTCTAGAGCCTCTTATGAACGTTCTTGAGGTGGCTACATCAAAAACAGTTATGAGTTGGAGTACCCCAACACATCGTAAATTATCATAATTTTTTAAAGTAAGGAAACACCCACAATGCCATTGATCATCATTCTGTAAAGAAGCGATGCATCCTCTAAGGCATTATCTGCAATTTCTTGATACTCTTTGATACTATCGGTGATGACGATGAAGAATTTCGTGAAGTGGATGACGGCTTTAAGCCACCGACTCGTTACGCATTTGGCATTGTGTGACGCCTGGTGATATTTTACTCCTCTACTGCAAAGTATTATATCTGTTAATGTGACTCTGAGTTCGACATGATGCGTGCTTGAGGTCTTTTTGCAAAAGAGCTTCTAGTATTGGCATCAATCTATGGTAGAATTCTCGACTGCCATAGGGTGTGCCCAGGTTCGAACTTTGCTTTATCGAGGATTTTTTTTTTCTCATTGACCACAGTAGCAGTTAGGGATACCGGCAGTGATGACAGATGACAAATTCACCAAAATTAACTGTTGTGATCTCATAACAGCTTCTATTTTAAAATAACTGCCTTTTGAAGCTTGCGAAGATTTCATGTAATTGGTTGCTAGTGTGTGTCCTCATGATGGATTGTGTGTGCAGGTGGATCGCTCGCAGGCAGAGCACTTCCGACGGCTGGCACTTGTGCTGAAGCAGCTGGGTGTAGAGTGGTCTGACCGAGTGCAGCATGTGTCTTTTGGTCGCATACGGGGCGTCAGCAGTCGCAAAGGGGTTGGCGAGGGAATGTTGCTGGACGACTTGCTGAATGAAGCTGTGCATCGTGCACGTCATTCCATGGATCAGGCACCCAGTAGGTAGCCTTTTCAAATGATCAGTCGGCACGGGGGCCCAGTTATGTGCAAGGTTGTGGTTAGCATTGCTGCGAGACATAATGATAACACTTGATGAAGTTCTGTCCAGTGAGCTTAAATTATTACTGCACCAAACTGTTTGCCTTCGTTTTCTTCATATTCTATGTGCGAAATGCTGACTGCATTGTCAAAATTTTTATCTAAATAACACCGGATTTCGTATATATTCATGCTTCCAATAAAGAGGTGATCATTTGAGCAAAGCAACAGAGCTCAAGAAACAGCCATGCAATGTTGTGCCTTTGCACTTTAGAATTGTGTGCTTCTTTTTACCGCAACATGAACCACTTGGCAGATTGGCAATCACTGCCAAGTCGAAGTGAAAGGTTCGTTATGGTGTTTTGCGCAGCAACACGAGTGCAAGACGAGACATCTGCCCAACTTGTGGCTGAGCAGCTTGGGCTGGCAGCCGTTGTGGTAAACTTTCTTCGTGGTCGGCGAAACCGGGACATCACTTTTGACTGGCATCAGGCGCTGCACGCAGCCGGCGATTCGGGCGTCTCGCTTCAGTATGCACATGCCAGGCTGTGCAGGTAAGACATGTTACAGTTTAGTACACGTTACAACCTGGAAGAACCTCTGCAAAATGTCAGGCCTACGTCAAAACCATTGTCTTCACTAGTTGCTGCTAGCTTATGCAAGTTTTACTTCCTTTTTATTTACTGTAGTTCAATTACCATTTACACCAGGCCTTCTGCCTTGCATTCGTCATGTTACAGGGTGTAGCCAGTACCTTATCACTGGGCTGTCTGAACCTTCTTTATGCGCGTGCATGCATATATTTGAAGCGTGGAAGCTTGGGCAAGTTGGTAGGACATAACGGAATGCAGGAACAGCGCAACCTAGAAGTAGTTACTTCGTAACTACGGAAGCGAAAAAACAAGGACAGAAAAGAGCGCTGTCCTTGTTTTTTCGCTTCCGTAGTTACGAAGTAACTACTTCTAGGTTGCGCTGTTCCTCCATTCCGTTATGCATATATTTGTAGGTGTAGATACAAACAAACTGAAAATCCTAAAAGGGGATATCTCAACTCTAAAAGCGAAATTTTCTCAATTTCGCATTTTAACATGCTGCAAGCTTAGCTGCTCAGCAGCTAAGTACTGCGGGGAAGCCGCTTCATTTTTGGAACAATTCTCTTGTTATCGGGCGCACAAAGGTCACTGCAATCATTGCAGTCGCAGTCTCCGTTTGCGAAAAGCGCGCGCTTTTCAGACACAGCAAAGTAACAACTGAGACGCTCATTCGCGTGCGTTCGTATCTGTGAGTACGTTTCGTGCGTGAGAAATGTGGGGCACGTTTTCATCTGCTTTCGATTTTGCACGTGACTTTCCAATTTGTTGCTGTCGCGTTCATTGCTTCGCCTTTGTGGCAATGCTGTGACTTTTTTTGCTAAATGCTTCAATCTCTCTTGGACTACATATTTGCAGACTTCATTTACTCTTTTAACAGTGCTTTAGATTTTGCCGACCTGTTAAAATTGTTCTTTTATTGTATTATTTTTGTTATCACTTTCATGTGAAAAGTAGTTGCTGTTACCATTGTAGGGGACTAAACCTCTTTCTTGTATTTCATTTGAATAAATACGGTAACAAAAAAAAGCAATGCATTAGCAGACTATTTGTTATCATTACAAATGCCCAAGTGAATGCACCGGCCGATTCTCACTGACACACGTAGCTTTCTAGCCAGTGGCATAGCAACGGGGTGGCACTCCAGGCCTGTGCCCCCCCTTCCCCCTCCATTCGAAGTTTTCTCGGCCTGCATACATAGCGCAAAATTAGCATTTGCCTGTCTGGCCCCCACTTTAGATCAAGAAGGTGCCCCCACCCACCCCTCCACTCTTCAAAAGAATTTCTGCATACAGCCCTGCTTCCTAGCCACACATCATGCTGTACTGGGCCATATTCACTTCTGCAATTGTAAAAATAATCATAATGTCTTGCTTAATTTCCTGGGCTGAGAAAAGTCGCTGTTCATGCTATGCTAGTCAGCGCATTGTCAATTTTTTGCTCCTTGTACCCATGTAATTACAGTATACTATAACCTTTCTCTCTCTCTCTCCCTTGTATAGCTCGGGCTGCCCACAATGAGGTAGCTGATTGATGCCATATTCTGAGTGAAAGGCTTCTTTGCAGTGTAGCACAGAATCCGCTGGGTCGGCAAGTTCTGTGCATCTTGTTTGATAGTGTGCTCATTTGACTGACACAAGGGCTGTAAATTCACACGGTATGCTTCCTGGAAGTTTATGCAGCCAGAGCGGGCCCTTTGTAATGTGATTCGTGGAACATCTGCACTATCCTACTGATAAACCATACATTTGTTTCCTCTTAAAAGCTGGAAACCATCATTAGAGAAGGCATGTTACCTTTCTAAACTTAATTTATGTCTAATCAAAGTGACAATGCATCGTTATGGTTAAAGAACCCCAGGTGGTCGAAATTTCCGGAGCCCTCTACTACGGCGTCTCTCATAATCATATGGTGGTTTTGGGACGTTAAACCCCACATATCAATCAATCAATGCATCGTTATGCAAGTGCAGCAGCTATCAGCAGTAATATTAGCAGTAATAGCAGCTAAAAGTTATCCAATTATTTTGCAATATATCTGAACATTCAATGGAGTCCATGAAATGCTGTACTATACAACTGTAGCAACCTGACAAATACGCCCATTTTTCCAGTCTCGAGGATAAGGCTGGTTTGTCCGTGGAGAGGGAAGTTGCAGTGGATCTCTTGCAAGAGCCTTGCGCACTTGCTCTGGCTGTCCAAGTAGCCAGGTGAGGTCTGCACCTCTTCATCCATGAATTTGTCAAGGTTGCAATACATGCTTTAGACATTAGCTTCTTGGGCCATACTATGTTGAAACATTACAAGAGTGCTTTCTGCAATGCCTACTACACATAAGGCATCAGCTTGTAGCGAGGTACCTGCAGTTCACCTGGTATATTGACGGTGAACTTCTTCTTTGGTGTGTGACATAGAAAATATTTTAAAGGGACGCTCAAGAGAAAAACCGTGTTTCTCCTATTAAAATATTACTCTTTTACACTACCAAAATTATAACGCTTGTCGCAAAAAGACACTCGGTCAGCAAAAAACACATGAGAAAGGAAAATTTAGGTGGTGATGCCACCTTGAAGTTTTGGCACTAATTGCCTTGATGTTACAGCTTTTGACGGCATCTTCTAGTTTCAGTGCCTACATAGTTCCCAATCGATTAATACAAAGTACATTGTCCTTCGAAGGGACCAGAGACTTTGCAAATCAAGTTGCAGGAAAGTTTGTTGAACCAATGTGGCCAAAATATATATTCGTAATGTCACGTGCACATCACATTATGCTTAGCAACAGATATCTTTGAGATGATTACAAGAGTGCCTTCTTTGCTCACTGTAGTCTTCCAGCTGCAGATATCTGAATAGAGCCTGTTAGAAATGCATCTTCGGTGTATATGCAAGCCTGATAGTGACTGTACGTCAGGTGCATCTAAAGCCTGACCCATATGGAGTGCTTTTACCTGCATCTCGCGGCATCATGACACAAAGGTGACCCAAAAGGGCTACTAACCGCACTAGAAGTGCTCAGACCAGCATCTGCCCTGGGTCGCACAACGTGACCAGATAGATTAAACCTGAAACCTCCTAAAGCTGTGTGTAATATGAATCTGTAGAGCAATAAGATGTATTATTGTTTATTAGAGGTGTACGAATATTAAAAATTTCAAATATTTTTTAAATGGTTTTTGCTATTCGATTCGATTCACACTGGAGTTTTTATTATTCAAACCACTCGAACTTCCCAAAGACACATACAGTCAACGCCGATTGGCAGTAGCCCCTTCAGTAGCCCCTTCGAATATTGTGGCAAAGCTGCCTTCCAGGTTCTGGTATGGTCTCAAATGTATTGACTAAGAAAATGCTGGTTCCAATATGGAGATGATAGATTTAACAGAGGTGGAAGCTAAATTAATGCTGTTTTAAATCTTTAATATGGCCAACACTTTGATTTCACCAAATCACGTGCATCAGTACAATTCGGCTTCTGCATTGCCTTATTCTTGATAAGACAACTATGAAACGCCAACCCACCATCGCTTAAATCAACCTAGCCAAAAGAAACACTGTCATGTTGCTATCTCATAAGAATATGCCTAAGAATCTTGTCAAACTTTCATTTTTTTTTCTGCAATATCGCTTCAAAGTATTAGAAAAACATTCGAGAAATATTGAAGGAATATTCATAAAATATTCAATTCAATTTGCACTCACACTTCAATATTCGAATTCACGTCGCATCTAAAGTTTTGCTATTCAGACAGCTCTACTGTTTGTATAACTTTTGTGCCTTATTTCTTCTTCGGTGGATAAGATATTCAAGGTACTGCAAAAGACCTGATCAGCGCATATTTCTTTCACTTCTGGTATTATCTATGCAAATTAAAAAGAACCTGCTAATTAGTAATCTGTGGCCTCTAAAGTTCCAGCAGGACACATTGCCTGCTGCACTTACCACTGTAACATATTCTGACGTTACGTGCAGCCAATGCAGCCACTTTTGCTAAGTCTAAATTGTAAAAAAAACTTGAGAATGGTTCTCAAAAACAGTGAAAAATGGTCACAAGTACTTTGCTGTCAAAGTGCCCAGTCACAAATTTAAAGCAAACATCGGTGTAAATTAAGAATTGGTGGACCATGCTGTGCTTAACAATGTCTTAATAGATTCGAGGCAAACAGCAATGTGCTTGCGAAAATCACTGAGAGCAGCATGTTGATTGGTATACTTGCTAATCCAGCTATTTTCAGTGGTGGCGTGGTTCTCTGGAATGCCCAGAGCTCACCGTTTCATCACATCATTGACAGCGAGTGTTGGTGCCGAGTGGTTCAAAGGAAGGCAATACCACAAAGCGCCATAAAAGTGCTCTGTGTGGGTGGGACCCAATGTTGCATTTAACGATGTGATAAAATTCTGGAGAAGTGTGTAGGGTTCTTGTACCACCACCATCACCACTGTTCTAATAGGCAGGGCCGTACCCAGGAATTTTTTTCGGGGGGGGGGGGGGGGGGGGGGGGGGTTTGCGTGTAGAACGGCTGCCATTTTTTAAGATTTATACTGGCTTATTTTCGTGAATAAAACAAGTACATCGCTTACTTGTAATAATTCGATGGTACTTTTCAATTATTTGTACCCAAATAAAGAAATTGGTATGTCAACCTCAAATTCTGGTTAAAGCAAGAAATAAGTTTGGACAATAGCACCACCAAAGCCGGGGACACCGCGATCAACGGCTCCTGATGAAGTAACAAAATGTAACCGTGGTACAAAAACGGTATGTATGTGTTACAAGCTGCCACTCTAGCGTCGCCAGCGCGAAGTCGGCGACGGGAATGGCAGCAGGTTAGGTCGTTCCATACGTAAGCAGAGACAGTGAAGAGATCAGAGACGTATGTGGGGAAAAACAAAACTCTAGTGATATTGCAGCACTGCAGAGGAATCTAGGAATATTGCAGAGGAATCTAGTACAACACTTAATACCAACTAACAAAATACATATAAAATCAATAAATCAGCTTACAAGAGAGAAGTATTACAAACTACACAAAACTAACCAACAATAAAACTACAGATGAGAAAGTCCGAAGGTATAAACAGGTGAAGGGATACCTGTGATGACCGGCAGCATTGAGTCCACGACGATCGGATGCGAGAAGTCGGAGAGAGTTCTGGCACAACTGCGATGTCGGCGGTGTTGCAGCGCTGGTGTTTCCGGGAGGCTAGTGCTTGAAGCCGATCTCAGGCAGGTTGAGCTTACTCGAGATTCAAGTACCGATGCCTACGTTACAGACGTTAATTTCGCGTCACAACTAGACGAATGGCTAAGTTTAGGTGGCCAGCCGACACGGAGCCACAACCACTTAAGGGATACTTCTTGATCTCCTTCTACACCATGTTAGTCAGCAACTAGACTGCTTAGCAAGGCGAAATCCTGCTCTTAAATTGACCTCCGTGTCCCCTGATTCTCGTCCTGGGGGAAAAGAGACCTCTACATGGGTCCAATCATGCACGTTTCATTGTTAGAAACTCCACCCTAAAAATATATTGACCACGTCCCTTTTTAATTAGGAGAGGGTCCTCAACTGAGCGAGAGTGACAACCTGTTGGGGTTCTCTCATACGGCTTGTCCACAAGCAGTTTTGCCCGTGGGAATGGTCAGTTTCCTTGGTTTCAGCCGGTGCGTCTTGCAGTCTACAGCTAGTTCGGGGTGCATTGCGGCCTTTGACGACCCTGCTGACGCCGCCGTAGGTATAAAGGATCAAACATCGGCGACTAACGTTTGCGTTTGAAGAAGAACACCCCATTCAGTACTTCCCGGCCAGTCTTTTCATGAGCGAACGGTTCCACCGGTCAGCGGGGGAGTGTGGCGCCCGTTAATTTGCCATTACGCCGGGTCGCAAAAATGGCAGTTCGTGACAGCATGTATGCAAGCAAACAAACAAGTCGCCCGACATTCCGATCTTCTTGTTACCGTTCCACATTCTGCTTGCTGGATAGTTTCCTCGTAATTGCGAAAAAATAGAAGGGTTGAAGCTTGGGCTAGCTGGGTTTAGCTTTTAATCGACTTTTGAAACATAGAGGGAAGTTTAAACGAGGAAGTTTTTCCTTCTCGGCAACTTGCAAAATTCTGTGAGGACTTGTTCTGGGGTCACTTGAAGTTCTCGATGGATGCTGAGCAGTGCTAGTCCGGTCAATCTGTCGTTGTTCATTTGATTTCGAAGGTAGCTCTTCAGCCTTCTCAGTGTGGAAAAAGTCCGTTCCGGGGTCGACGTCGACACGGGTAAAGTCGCCAGGATAGAAAGTAGGCTGTGGATGTTCGGAAAAAAGTCACGGTTGCACATCTCTAAGGCCTGTAAAGCACAAGCTGGGCGATTCTTTTCTTCGATCTGGCAGCATTTGTTCACCCACAGTGTGAACTCTGCTTCGATGACATTAGCCGAAGGAATGTCGCCAAGGTAAAACTTCACTGCATCATCAATATCAGAAAGGCTAGCCGATGCGCAGAATTTCGGCAGCAGCATGTTAAGGCCAACCACGACCTTCTTATGGGCATCGAACCGGTCTCTCAATTGATTTTCGAAGTCAGCCAGCAAAGGCAAATACACATTCCTCCGGTAGTACTCTTCGGGAGTAGCAGAAGGTACGTTGCTTCTTTGCATCTGCCTTCCAGTGATGCGTGGTAGGGCCATCTCAACATTTGTGATCTTCAGCAAAGAGAGCGACTTCAGAAAAATCTTATTAAATTCCGTTTCCGCACTAGCCCTTTTTGTGGAAAGAACATCTATAACATTCTTTACGTGATCGCACGCTTGAGCCAAGTCACAGTCAATTGCAAGAAACTTGCAAAGTGGCAGTGTCAAAGAGAAGAGGTCGCTACAGATCTGAAGCGAAACGACAAACTCGGGCTTCGTAATGGCATTGAGCAGTTGAGAAGCTTTTGATGAAGTATCAGATGACGTGGCCTCTTCTTCCAAATATTCGAGGAGTTGTACAATAGGCACGTACAGTTCAAGGAAACGCTGAAGTGCATCGTGACTCTCTACCCACCTTGTTTGGCAAAAGGAGAGAACTGATTTTCTTTTTTCTTGTGTTAAATCTTCTACTTTGTCTCGCAGTTGGTTCGTCCTCTGTGGCGAAGCTCTCACAAACGTACAGGTTGAGGATACAGTTCCCAAACAGTTGGGGATGCTGGGGAGTTTGCATGCGTGAAGCAGAGCAAGGTTCAACGAGTGGGCGCTACAATGCACGTACAACACTTTGGGCGCTGTTTGATGAATTAAGGCTTGAACACCGTTAAGGTGGCCGCTCGTTGATGCCGCACCGTCGTATCCTTGCCCGCAAAGTAGGTTCAGGTCAAAGCCATGGCCTCTAAGGCTGTTCAGGATTGTGCTCGCCAGCGCCTTGCCAGTGAGATCCTACACGGGAACGAAATCTACAAAATTTTCTTTAAGAATGGGCACTCCCGACGTGTCGTGTCCAACGTACCTTACACATAGGGAAATGTGGGCGGTGCGAGATATATCAGTGGCCTCGTCAGCTAGAACTGAAAAACACGAACCTGAGTTGACGTTTTCCACTATCTTTCTTTGTATGATTTTACCACAGAGGGTGATCAACTCATTTTGAATTTTCGGGCTCGTGTACAGCGCATTCGCCGGAGATGTTTCCATGTGAGCTCTCAAGGCGGCATCTCCACATTTTGCTCTCATCCTAAGCAGTGCGCGGAAATTTCCATCATTTTTGAATGGCAGCACTTCAGACATATTTATCGGACCAGGGTCGTCTGTGCCGCGAAGCGGTACTTCTTGCCTGCCACAGAAAAGGATTGTTTCTATTATTGGCAGCAAGTTCTTGCGGTTTTCTTCCGCCTGCTTTTTAAGGCCGTGGTCAAGTTGTGTTAAGATGTCATGCTGTGAGCGGGACTGGACTGCTAAAAAGTTCTCCGATAGCGTTGTTGACATGGCGTGATAACTGCTGGATGCGTGGCTCTTAAAGGCGTCCATGGCTTTCTTGTAATTGGTGAACTCCTTAATTACAAAACAGCCCAAGCGCTGGTGCTCCCCTTTTCCTGCACACTCGCTTGCAAAGACTACGCAATATTTGCATAATGCTCCTTGAAGCTTCTCTGAATAAACAAGCCATGGGTAACGATCTACCCAGTGAGGTTGGAACTTCAGATTCCTTTTCCCTGTGGCTGGATAATCATAGTTAGCCGGAGGGGTCCACGGATTGAGCAGCGGCTTCTCCATCGTCTCTGGATCATTTACATTATTGCTTTTCGAGACAAACAGTCCCAAGTCGAAAATATTCGCACTTGTCGCACAGAGGGGAGGCGAACCAGAATGTGTAGGTGCCATGCCACTCACCTTCCTTGGGCATTGCCCAGTGGTAAAGGCGTCACTTTGCCCAGCATTGACTGTAGAACAAAGATCACTTGGAGTTGCACTGTGGCCACCATCATTTCCCAGCGGCGCATAAGTGTCCTGCTTGTGTTCGTTCTCAGGTGATTCATATAAACCGGTGCATTCTCCTGAGTCACTACAGAAGTTCGGACGCGCTTGGCTTTCCACCAGTGCTGAGGAGGGCGAAGTTTTATCCTTCGAAGGAGGCAGTTTATCCTTCCCCTTCCGCTTCATCGGTTTGAACTTTCTTGAAGTAAGACGCAAGACTCCTTTGCTTCGTTGTTGCAGAGTGTCTTTTCATTTTGCTGCCGCAATCCTGTGCACGCACACAGAAATGGCCAGTGGCTCCAAAAAGACGTTTGCGACTGCTTCGACTGCCTGGCGTGAACGGCGGGCGATGTTTTCTTTCTCTCTTATCCACTTTACAGGGGCTAGAATGTAGAAGTGTGATGAACACGCTGGCTCCCGCGTGGCGCATGTGTTTTCTGAACGCCGCTACAGCTGGTGTGCATGCTGGCCCATTATTGTACTCCAGCTGCAGCAAACTGGATTAACGCTACTTAAAGACCTTTTCACAGAAGACTCCATGGGCACTGCATACTCCCCTTAATATACGTGAACCCCCAAGAATGCACTGCCGAGACATTTGCACTCCCGTGGTACAGTCCAGAAAGGAGCTGTAGCTCCGTTCCTGTGAAAAAGTCACCTTTTCACAGACGGCTCCCTGGGCGCCTGCATAATTCTCTCTGGGCTGCGCTAATTAAATAGCCGTGACCCCCCCCCCAAAAATGCACTTTGTAGGCTGTGACGTCAGCCTCTACTCCCGCGCGCAGCCCAGCTTGGCGGCGGTTTCTTTTCTCCTGTGAAAGTTGACCGCTGATGCCGGATTGTGTGCCGACTGTATCCTTGCTTTGTGCGCTTTGTAGGGAGGCGCATATACCTTCTGTGTACAGAAGAGGTAGATTTCCTTGTGAGTGGTTAAGGTTGTTTGAAGTTGCTCGGATATGCCAGTCTTTCAGTAGATGTCATCTTCGATGATTCGTTTCGGTGGCGAGGACTACAGTTTGAGAAAAGTTTGCCCTGCAGCCTGCGTCCTCGGAATGCGCCGCTGAGTTTTTCCGCTTAGGAGTTTCGTTCCCTGGCAAATTTGCGCACGTCGTGTTGGTGTTGCCCTTGCTGTCGAACTGTTTACCTTCACAGAAGTAGACGCGCTTTTCATAGGAACCCAAAGCCGTGCGGTCCGCACAGACGAATACCCTTTCCAGCGGCAATGCACAAGGAAAACATCTGGAATCAATAAAGGAGCTGCTACAGTGTGAAAGACGAAAAAAAAAAAAAGACTCGAAGGAACGCGAGGGCGAAGTGCAAAGCTGTACAAATAGGGCAGGTGCGCGTGCGGCGGAGGGAGCGCTGAGGTGTTCTGGTAAAAGGGTAGGTTTGAAGAAAGGAAGAAGAGGGAAGCAATGCCAGGAAAGTTGCAGTGTAACTTTGGCAGCTGGTGGTCGCTGTGAAGGCGTGTAAATATTGTAGTATCACCCTAAAAGTTAAAGCATCAAAAAAATTTCGGGGAGGGGGGGGGGGGGTCAGAACTCCCTCAATTCCCCCTAGTTACGGGCCTGCTAATAGGAAATACCTGATAGAAGTGGGCAGGAGCTTTGGGTAGTTCGAAACTTTGAGCCAAGCCCGGCCCACAGGCCGGACTAAGGTGGGCCGACGTCTTCTAATCTCGAGCTGTAGCTACATTCTTTTCCGTCGGGCAGGCTGGGCCAGATGCAAAGCCCGAATCAAGCCTGAAAAATATACGTGCCGGAACTCTTTCTCACTGCATGGCACCTTCTCTGCGACCGCTGCCCACCTCTTTAGCCGCTTTAAATGTGAGGGAAAATGGGTGAAGTCAGACAAGGTGAGCTTTGAGATTACTTATGCTCAGAGTAATTCCCTCTTCTACTTCTGAGGTTCTGAACTTCTCGAATAACAAACAGCCTAAATATTGCAAGCTTGTTATGCTGTCAAAAAAGATGTTGGTCATTCCAGCAACCAGTGCAAGTAGCGAATGGGCCTTCGGTTGGGCGAGACGTGTAATGCAGGAGTGCTGCACTTCACTTCACTTCAAATCGCTAGACACAACTTCTAATCGTTGCATATAGTGACCGTCATGTGTCATTTACTTATGTATCACTTGGATATGTTGAATAAGCCCCATTATCGAAAAACGGCATCTTGTCTCTGCAGTAAAGGTCCATAATGTCGGGCCTGACCGTGCCAGGCTTATCCTTTTGTTTTTGTACGTTGGGCTAGCCTGGGTGGACCCTCGGCGCAGTCAGCAGGCCAGGAAGGCTGGGACTCTATAATTGAACCTCGTGCGCAGCTCTAATATCTCATGACTTTTCTGCAGGTTTGAAGAAGTGGTGTGCAGTGCAGTTCACCAGCTGGAGCCCTGCATTGTGACGCAGTACCTGTTTGTCCTTAGGTCGGTATTCCATTCTGTATTTTTGTCTCTTAATGCTCTTTTGCGGATGAACATGACATCAGATGAACTAAGTCAACTGTCACGTCTCAAATTAAGGGCGACAGTGCAAGTTCAAAGGAACACTTAGATTTTGCAGCTCTTCCAGCTAATAGTATCAGCCATGTCTGTTTGCAAGCATGCATTTCAGTTCAGTCAGCAATTTCAATCATATCGGAAATAATTGTTGCCTGGCTTAGACATTTTGCTGTCTGAACACAATCCACTATATGGAGCCTCATTAAAGCACACTTCAAAAATTTGACAGGCCATTCTTGTAAGTTTGATCTCTCTGTATTATATTAATGTAGTAAATATAACTTTCAACAGGATCTGCATTGCCCAGCTGAGCATAATTTTGGGCAAAAATAATTTAGATGAGGCATATATAATATCTCTTACATCAATGATCCTTTTCTTATTTTTTATTTTTTGCCTTTGTAGCATTTACAGCACAGGGCTACTGTACCTTTTCTGATGCAGCTTAAATGAAGGCCAAAGTCAGCGCTTTTGTTACAGGGCTATTTTTTTTTTGTCAATTTTATGAAAACTACTAGATATAGGAATTCCAAATCACGAATTCAGTGGTTGTGGGCTTGAACACCACCAGAATTCACGTCCTTTTTTTCCATGCCCATTGATTATCTTGTGACGGCTATGCTTCAGCTAAAAACTACAAGTTACGCCCCCTGTGCTTTTCTTGGCGGCATAGTCATGTCTAGTGAAAAAATTGATTCATTCACCTTTGTTCGTTAATGGTCACTAAGACCATACTAAGGACAGAAGAATGAGCCTACAGTCTTTATTTGTACTTGCTGTGATAACAGAAAAGGTCTGTCTCGCATGTGTGCTTATACATTACACCTCTTCCATTACCGTATTCACTTGATCGTAACGCGACTACAATCGCAACGTTACGGGCGACCTTTCATTGCATCCAGGAAGAAAAAATAGTATTTGTCATAGCCGAGCATTGCTACACGCTGTCTAACAAGGAGCCAACATAACTCCGAACCATTTATTCCAGCAAAGTGCTGGCCATGAAATGATACACGCTTGTGTCCGCGCACACAGTCACAGTGTTGCCTTTCACCACACACATGGCTCTCTGCGTGCCTGCCGCACGGCATCTCCATGGGTGGCGGTCCACTACAGTATTTTAGTATTTGATTGTAATGCCAGAGATGAACTTTAGGCTGCAAAAATCTGGAAGAAAATTCGCATTGTATTTGAGTAAGGATGGTGTATATACAGGTGCACGAAAGGCTTTGTCCTCTCTTTTCAGCTACAATGTACCGCTGTGGTGGGGCTTTGCAAACTTTCATGCAAATGTAATGTTCATTTTCTTTATACGCTAAGCCATAGACCCTCGTCAAAAACCATTGTTGCCTTCTTGATATTGTGCAGCCATGCCATCGGACGAGCCGCCAAGGAGCTTCCTGTCAAGAATCAAGCAGTGCCCTTGGCACAGGTGATGCACCTATCAACTGTTGGACAGCACTTTCACGTGTCCAGACTAAGAGCTTGTAGCAGCAGAATTGTCGTTTTAGAATCAGCGTGGAGCTGCAGTAGCACATCACGAACCTTGGCTTCCTCGCATGTGTACATGACAAAATTACCAGTTTTGTAAAAAGGGACACAAGCTTATCATACTTTTTGTGCTGATTAGGTAAAATAAAAAGTATTGTGTGCTAAAGCTTAAGCAAACACTGTATATTAGAACACAGTTTGCAAAAAGTTGGACTGCTCTGCAGTGGTTTGGGAAGGCCCAGTGGCATCCCCACAATGCCTGCATTGCTATAGTATTGCCACTCCTCATCATTTCACCTTTTCTTGCACGTCTCTTTCACCTAATTGTTCCCATTGTGACGCCGTCACTTGGATGCAACTTGCATGTCCTGTATGTCTAAATTCCTGTGCAGGATCCCAATTCTATTATCAGATCAGAAGTGTCTAGTCAGATTGCTCGCATTATGCAGATAGTTACATACTATGTTAAACATAATGAGTACTGGTGATTACTCAGGAATTACTCAGGAATGTATGATGTGGTATGTGTAAGTAATGAGTGGACTTAGGGTATCGGTTAATTTCGATGACTGCCAACTCTGTATAGTGCTGTTCTCACTTTTGCTTTCAGCCAAAAGATTGATGATTTTTCCCTCTTCCTTGTGTTTTTGCATTTTCACAGATTTGTATCATCACAACGTAACTGGCATATTAAACTGTTTTGCATGTCGAATTAAATACGCGATGACGTAAATGTTGTTCTTGTCATGACTAATTACTAGACTTGTGTGAATAGTGAAGTTTAGGTTCTAACCGAATTCAAAGTGAATAGTGATTTGGTTCAAATAATTTTGAGTAGAGTGGTATATATATCACATTTTTAACCCACCTATCCTGGACAATATTTTTTAAAATTAATATTAGTGCAAACGTCTTTTTGTTGTTCAAAAGAAGGGGAATTCATAGCTGGTCGAAGTAAACAGCGCAAAAAACGAAGACAGGGTAAAGGAAGGACACAAGATGAGCGCTCTGTCTTCTTTTTCTTTTGCACTGTTTACCTCGACCAGCTATGAATTATTACGAACTTGTCCAGTTTTCAATAGTACTAAGGAAGTGGAAACGATGAAGCAAGATCTGACTTTTGGTAAAATGTGAGTGATAACCTTCAAAATATGTTGTTTTAAAATTTACCGCATGTTTTAAAGTTTACTAAACTTGGAGAATACACGCCAGTATAACAGGCTTTTAAACTTGAAAAATGATGAATCGATGTGAGGGGACTATGTTCATTCAACTTAGAAGTTGGCCTTTAAGGCAGTGCGGGCTTCTTTTGGATAGGTGCTTTCATGGCGTAGCTGCTCTACTGCAGTGAAACCACCTTTACAATGGGTCCCATGCGGATTATATACACTTATTCATTCATTTTGAATACTTCATAATTAGAAATAATTTAAAGTCGAGTCAAAGTGAATACTGTACTATTCATTTAGATATTTGCACAAGTATCTAATCACAACAGTTTATTCATTTGCACGACAGAGGTGCACTCAAACCTCAATATAATGAAGCTGGATGTAACGAAATATTGGTTATATTGCAGTAATTTAGGAATAGTCTTGCAATAAATATAGTGCTAGGAGTCTATCTTTATAACGAATTTTTGTATGTGACAAACTTACTTTGCTGCAAGGTGCAGCTTTGTTATATTGAGGTCTGAGTGTAGTTTCGATATGGAGTAAAAATAGCCTGTTTTAGAGGAATTAACCATACACTTGCCTACTCAAAAAGCATGCTGCTTCTTCATTATTGAATATTGAATATCAAAAGTTGTGTGCGCCATTTCTTTTCCTATCAGTCTGCTTGTCTAGTGCACTGTTATATTGGAATATGAATAATTGTTTGTTTGCACCTTCTTGGTTATAGCAGACTTCTCTTGCAGGCGAGGCTTCTACTTTTCCACGCTGCAAGAGTGACACTTGCACAAGGGATGCGGCTTCTAGGTGTTGAGCCACTGAAAGCCATGTAGATATTTTATTAAAGTTCACATGTTCAACTCACGGCAGCTCGGTGTGACTTTTGAGACTTCATTGTGGTGTATATTGCGAAAATAAACGTACAAAATTCCCATAAACATGAAAAGGAATCGAATGCATGTGAATTTTTGTTGTGTCTAAAACAACCACCGAGGATGCTCGTGTCTTAGGAGACTACCGCAGCTTTTACAGCACACTTTTTTGTCTCTGTGAAAAAGATAATTTGATGAGAGGTGCAGGGAACTTATCCATTGTGTTATACGTTTCATCTCGGCGGGGCGCAAAGAATGGGTAGGGAGAGAATTTGGAGAGAGTTGGAGAGGGGCTACTGCACCTCCAAACCCCCGCTGGGCTGCCCCTGCTGTGAAATCTGGCATGCTTGGCTAATGTGCTAGGACAGCAACAGGACGACAAGTCACACTATGCATAGTTTTAGACAGTTTTAGCGATGTAAGTGCTGTGCAGTGTGCTTGGGACACATGAAGAAATCCTAAAAAGAAACACTTACAAAGCAATTAGCACTGTTACAGTATTATTAAAGCAGAGCTTCATTAAAGCTAACAAGCTTTCATAGTATTAATATGCAGAGCAAGTGCCATAATTTTTCAACAAAATATTACTGTTACAATTCATGACATGCAACAAACTGCAGCTATGCAAACTGGACACCCATGAGTGTACTCGGGGGTTCTCTTAGGAGGGGGGGCAAAGGTTCTTCCTTAGCACCACCTCTTCCTATCATAACGTATTGGGCCGACTTTAAACCCCCTCTCTATAATGTTAATGTACGGGGCTGGCTTCGCCCCCCCCCCCCCCCTCCTGTGTGCACACCTTCGTGGACAGTTTTGACAAAAAGTTGGAGAGCGGTCATCAAGGACATCTTCTGATTCTTAATATTTTTGACTAGAATGTATGAATGCATGGATTGTGCTATCCAGCCCCGAAAATCGAATGCATGAAGCATCAATTGGTCTTAACCAGAGATATATTAGTTGTGCATCGTACACACTATTTACTGCAAAAGTCGAAATGATGGGGCGAAAATTAATAGGCAGAAATTCATTTTTGGCAGCCTTAATTGTACAAGCAATTTGGTGTGCCCTAACTGTTGCGTCCTAATTGCTGATTGCGTAAGCATTGTACCAAAAATCGGGAATCCTGTTCGCAAATGACATTTACAGAACGGGACGCCGGCAAGGACAAGTTCAAGATGTCGAATCACGAGGAATATGTTTGTAGCGATCCTTCGTAGTACCCGATGCACAAGTAGCGCGTGGTCCACCGCGCGCCACCGCAGCGCCCCTTGCGCCAGACAAATAACACAACAAGCAAAATCCTGCGAAAGAACGCGTATCGCTTGTGTGCAGCTCCGCAGATGCTCTTGTGGATGTATTGATCGAAGCTAAATATTTCGTGCGGGCATCAGGGCGCGCTTCTGGCCGAAGCAACAACCGTTTCTCGAGTTCATATTTGCTTTCCTCGAGCCACGTAGCCAACGAGCATAACAGTTGTTGAAATAATTTCACTCAGCGCGAATGTGCGGTTGACATCCGCGAAGCCAGAACCTGGCCGCCTTGTTTTGGTTTTCAAATTGTGGCGCCCTTTCTGTCGGTGAGTTGCGGTACCTTGTGCTTCAACTCGCACTTACCTGGTGCGCCTCAAACCTCATCGCACTTGCGCATTTGTTGCGGCGTGGAGTTGGTGGCCAGATACTTCGGTAAGCACTCTTGTTTTGTGTTGTTCGCCGTGTTTGCGACTTGCGGCCTGAGCAAGCAAAACGTTGCACAGGCGACTGTGAACATCACCATTGGTCAGCGCAGACCATGAGGCTGTAGTGACGTCATGTGGTGACGTGAACGGTTTTTCTCTCGTTGCCCACCGCTTGGTGTGTGTGTGTGCGTGAGTGTGTTTGGGACCTAGGAGGAGAGCTGTGCCAGCCGCAGGGGCAACACTCTTGTGTCGCAGGGCTGTCTTGCGGGTCCGTCTCCGTAGCCCGGTTCGCCAGCGCCGATGTCGAAGATGTCCGGCCAGAGCCTCAACGATCGGCTGATGGCAGCCCGGCACACCATAGCGGGTCAAGGCCTCGCCCGGGTGGTCTGCAAAGCGACCACCGAGGAAGTGATCGGTCCCAAGAAGAAACACCTCGACTGTAAGTGGGCCGCCTTGCACCTCTGCCTGTCGCTCACGCTTGTTGGCCGGTCGGCGCTCGCCCAAACGTGGGCCCCGAGCTGTAAGCCTAACAGTGCGCTCCGCCGAGGGGCCACCGCCGCGCTGTCACCGCCCCCGTTACTCGGCTCCCGGTCCCAGCTGCGTACTGCTGCATGACACCCTCCTGCTTGCAGCCTACCACTGCAGGCTCAAATGTCGCGTGTGCGCGACCGCCTCCCTCCGCCGCCGCCGGTACACATCGGCCAGAGGGTGTTTTCTCCTGGAACACCCCCGAAAATCCCTCGCTGGTCGTCGCCCGCTTGTGCAGCGGCTTTCGGAAGGCCCCTTCACCCTTGCACTGTTATCCCATTGCTTTGTATGCACTTTTTGCTACCTGCTGGTCGCAAGTTTCGCCCCATTTCTAACAAGCTGCAACTGCTCCTCCGGCAGACAGCTGCTAAAGTCCCTGTGGCCCGTGTCTGTGATAGCTCTTTCGTGTTTCCTTTTCTGACAGACTTGCTTAGGTTCCCTGGCATGCGAACATGCATTGTTGATAGCGCACAAGGCACAGTGGTATGCTCTGTAATGGTCACAGGCATACGTTGCAATCTCTTGGGCCGACTGCAGCAGACTTCAGCTTGGCCATAAACCATCAACCTCACTGGCTTCTCATTCTAACTGCAGTTTAACAGCGGTTCCTAAAGTTTGCCAAAATATTCTTGCTTATTTCTTATTAGAGTTCAAGTTTAATCACGAAGCTGATAAAGAATTCTCGTCCACATTTTTGTGAGAGCTCATGCTATTTATATTAACATAGAATCGAAATTTATAGTGGGTATTTTGAGAAAAACCTGAATTTCCTTTGCAGTCAGTGGCAGCAGTTAGCAACACCGCTCACCGATAGCAAGCATAAGTACTCCACTGCATGAGTATTCAAATATTTTGCAAATACTTTACACTGTAAACCTTTCGTAGCTTGTAGTGCAACGTGGGAAAGTGGTAGTGGGTAGTTGCAGGCACATTATCTTTTACTTATGAGGTGTTTTTGTACTCTAAATATTCTATTACTGTTGTGCTCTCGTTTCAGTGCAGAGAAGTTTCTTTCTCTATTTCTGCTGTGCTGCGTAGAGTAACAAGTCATCCATTGTTCATGGTTTTCAGACCTGCTACACTGCACGAACGAGCCCAATGTCTCGATCCCGCAACTGGCCAATCTATTGATTGAACGTGCCCAGAACACCAACTGGGTTGTTGTCTTCAAATCCCTGGTCACTGTGCACCACCTGATGTGTTATGGCAACGAGGTGTGTTGTGCCTGGGCTGATGCTAGTGGGAATTTGCCTTGATCGCTGCTTTCTTCGCAGAGGTTCACCCAATACTTGGCATCGAGCAACTGTACGTTCCAGCTGGGTACCTTTGTGGACAAGACTGGCGTCCAGGGTGAGTTTTCTGCTCTGCATTGCACATAGTAGTTGCCCTGCTGCGGTGGTCTAGTGGCTAAGGTACTCAGGATGCTGACCCGCAGGTCGTGGGATCGAATCTCGGCTGCAGCAGCTGAATTTTCTATGGAGGCGAAAAATCTGTAGGCCCGTGTGCTCAGATTTGGGTGCACGTTAACCCCAATTGGTTGAAATTTCTGGAGCCCTTCATTATGGTGTCTCTCATAATCATATGGTGGTTTTGGGTAGTTAAACCTCGCATATCAATCAATTTGCATATAGTGAGATTGTTGTAGCGACAAGTGCAACTGACTGGATGGAGCTTCCTGAGAAGTGGTTGACACTTCATCATGTAATTGTTTGAAAGCTGCCCCTTACCAAGTTACATGTAACTTGTCGTATGTACTCTGCCTGGATAGTGTATTTCTAGCCGTACATCTTCTATTTATCACATAGTTAATCACACCACATTCGTATCTGACTTCTTGGTCGTAGCTGCCTTCATTCTGTGGCTTGCAGCAGGAAACCAGTTATGATTTGAGAAATTCACTCCTGATTCTGCATTATTGGTATTAGTAGTGTATAGTGCAGCTTGAGGCGCATGAAGCACACTGAATTCAATGAAATAGATGCGTAGCCTGTTTATGCATTTCTGGTAGATATAGCTAGGTATGTTGACTATATTCTTGAACTCCTAGTCATGCCATGGATGAGTTTTCACCTCTATACTTTTGGTAACTGGCAAAGTACAATAAATTGGACAAAGGTAGCAGGAGCGAGTTTATTCCACTGAAGGAAGCAATAACAAACATCTGCAGCTGCAGTCGTAAAACCATTTGGCTATTCTTATTGGGGGTTTGGCATAGTAGCATGACACGCAGGAAGTTAACGTTGCGCAGCACCATTTGGCAACACTGGAGAGCATTTATCTAAGCGATGCTCTCATTGTTAGTGGCCGCAGTCGTCAGTGGGCAGATGCCTAGGCCATTGTTGCACTTTATGGCCTGATACTACCTGTATGTTCTTAGTGGAAATTGGAGACTGCTCAGAGTTTATAGCTTGCTTGGAAATTTCACTATTGCTTACTGTCGGTGCATGTAGATTGCTATGACCAGTGTTTAGTAAAAGAGGCCTGATCACAGATCACCTCTTGCTTCTCTGGCAGCAATTGGTCCAGCTTCTTACCCCGGTAAGGTATTAATGCCTTGCAGTGGGCATCACACTGCCAGTGTTACGCACAGGCCCAACGTCAAAGTTGGCGCAAATATTGCCCAGTCTTTTTTAAGTGGCATCGCATTTGCCTAACGGTGTGCTTTCCTTTCATTTCCTACAGCATCTGGCGATATGGGTTTGTTGTTGCACACATTTCTCACACATTTTTTAAAAACTGGGTGCTGAATGAACTTTTGCATTTATACGTGGTATACCCATTTGTGTGTTCCCAGCTGGCTTTGACATGTCAACATTCATCAGACGCTATGCCAAGTACCTGACAGAGAAGGCGGTCTCCTACCGCACTGTGGCGTTTGACTTCTGCAAGGTGAAAAGGGGGTGAGTTAGCCATTCAAGTTTTTTTTTTTCTTGGCCCTCTTTCTTTGTATATGGGAAGAGAAACAGTGGAGTAATTTCAAACAAAAACATAAAACTCCCATGTAGTTGCACTTTAGGCGGTTTCCATAGCAATATACAGTTAGAATTTTTAAGAACACTGTCACCTTTTGTTTGGAACTGCCTGGAGAGCTATGTCATCGTGACCTGATTTTTTATCCTAGCAACTTTTACTTACTAAACTGCTTCTTTTGGAAGCCCCCCCCCCCCACTTCTGTGTGCCTCTTAACCATTTCGTGGTTTTGGCAAGTAAACAAAACTTGACAGCTGGTGAAAAGAGATTTGTCTAGCGTCCTCTTGCATGATTCTTGGCAACTTTTATTTTGTAGCAAAGAAGACGGAACCCTGCGCACCATGCCGACTGACAAGGTGAGCTTGGGCTGCATTTCCAGCTCTTAATTAAGGACTACTGATAAGTACAAAAACTGTCAACTGTACAATGTACTTTAGGTAAAAAAAGTTTTATCTCTGTATGCTTATCAGTAGGGTTGATGTTTGGTTAATTGTAGGGAGAATGGTCATGCTTATAGTTGGTTGTACCAGTTGGAAAAAAAAATTGCACCTGTCACTGTTTTCTTGATAAAATTTTCTAATGGCATTGCATTTTTAAGTTAGCATTGTGTAAAAGGAACACTTGTCCTGTTCACTTGTGCGTGGCGTCACCCGAATGACCACGAAATTGCCTCTTTGACTAAATGAACAGCTTTGTACATCGGCCAGACCACTGACTCACCGACCATTGGGTTCGTGACCTTGGTCTAGAGTGCACACCCATAGGTGAAGGCGCACATTCATCAGTCTTTGAGAAGTAAATGCAGCTCCTTTGCAAAGTTGTAGCCAAATATAGTTTGGCTATTAAGGAACAGGAAAATGTTAGGATTAACCAATCGAGACAACTTTCGTTGAATGACAGACAGAAACGTGTGCATTCTTACCACAACAGCTTTAGTTGCAACGAAATGGTGTCAACTGCAAAACATTGTTGGTTTCATTAAAGATGGCTGGACGCTAATGTTAAAAGAGGTTTAGTGTGTTAGGTCAAGAGGTTTTTTTAACGTCACTATTCATCTTCTGCGTGGGGCTGAAAACTAGTGAGCATGTCTAAATTGTGTGCTTATTTTAAGTGTATGGTTAATTTTTGTTTAGGTGCATTGTGCAGCTTGTCCTTCAAACTTGTGCAGAATTTTTAAGCTGACCTCCTACTTTATGGTACTCAGAGCAGTAAGATTGATGTGTTTGTTGATACCCTATTCAGTGAAATTTGAGAAAGTGATTTTTCAAAGGTTTCGAGAAAGGCGTGCATAGAAATAAAAACTAAACTGAATTCAACTTAGTATTGATAGTGAACAGATTGCAGCACCTATACTTTTCAACATCATGACTACGGAATATTCAGGGTTTCGGAAAATTACCGTCTATGACCAAACTCATTAGCATACCTTCTTTGGAAACACCTGGAGAAGTGTTCATTATATCTCTCGTTCTCTTGCACACAGCTGCTGAAGACAGTGCCTGCGCTGCAAAGTCAACTGGACGCCCTGCTCGAGTTTGATGTGAGTGTGTTAAACTTTCTGCTGAAGGCATTGTTGGGCCGACAGGGAGCCGAGCAAGTCCTTTTTTTATTTTTTTCAGTGCACAGCGAACGATCTGACCAACGGGGTGATCAGCTCGGCCTTCATGCTTCTGTTTCGAGACCTGATTCGTCTTTTTGCTTGCTACAACGACGGGATCATTAATCTGCTCGGTGTGTGCGGGTATACTTTGTATTTTGCCTCTATTGCTCGTGATCACAGTTCACAGCTTCGTATTATCCCAAGGAATCAAGGTAAAGCCTAAGATGGCGAGAGCATCAGTTTTTGCAACACAGCACATACAAAATGTACATGTGCACAGCGCGACTTCGAGGGACTATTTGTGTACACCCACATTCCAGTACACTCGCCAGCACCAGTCTTTTTTTTTTACCAATTATGCCATCGCTGCCACCGAAATCTAATTTGTAGAAGCTTTACTTTAAAGGATGATAGCAGAATTTAGTGGTTACTGCTGCATCTGTACTGCCATTAGAATATTGATGCAAAGACACGTCACTTGAAAGAGGTAGAAAGAATCCCCCTATAGCACGCATTGTTAATAAACCGTCCCTGTTTCTGTATGTTTAACGGTCCTTGTTAGATGCAACGATTACTGACTAGTCTGGCTTTTCAATTGCTGCATGGCCTCGTAGCAGGATTACACCACAGAAATTTGAAAGCTAGAAACTGCTCCTTACGGTAAGGCTTCACAATTTTTGAACTAGCATAGGAACACAAGTACAGGAGCAGAAAGTGTTAATTTAAGTCTCTTTTTTTTCCCTAGTGTATGTCGTTATAGTAGCGCAAAAAGATTGATCCTAAACCCCTGTGCCGAAATTGGTGAATAATCTCCATTACACATTACAAGTTGGCCATGCAACGTTTTGTTTGTTGCATATGTCTTGAGGGTTGCTTCTGCGTAAATTTGTGTGCACCTTTTCTGTTTGGATTTGTGTGAAAGTATAGAAACTTTGTCAATTTTAAGTTACCCTAGTGTCATTTAGGTCAGCCTAAGTGCCGGAGTCTTTAATAGGAACACTTACAGATTTCTTTACTGTTCGTCATTTCTGCATGCTAAGAGATTCGAAACATTCTGAAGTGATAATGGGGTGGTAAAGCCCACTCTGTTTTGAGATAGTCGTACGCATACTTGCTGCATGCTATGAACTTTCATTGCCCTGAATCTATTTTAAAGCTCGTTGCACGCTGTGTCGAAATTGTGCAGAAAAATATTTCGACATGAATAAGAAGCACTGCCGCGAGGCCTTGGACATCTACAAAAAGTTCCTCATCCGTATGGATCGGGTAGCGGAGTTCCTCAAGGTTGCCGAGGTGAGTTGCCCTTCGCCTGGGCTCTAAAACTATTTTTTGTTTTGCATGATACATATTCGTGGACACCCATCCGTAGGACACAGTGCCTTAGGACCCCACTGGACCTGTAATCACTGAACCGCACAATGTGAAACCGATGCTGGCAGTGTGCATGTGCACCCACAAGTCCCAAACGAGTGCATACCTCTGTGGAAAATCATGTGCAATCTGTGTTGTGCTTACACACAGTTGGATGGCGCCTTAATTTTCTCTTTTTAATGTCCCAAGACAGTTACAGTAGGGCAAATTGACAAGCCTGCGGCATTTCCTGCTCGGAGGCACGCACCAATAAGTGCGAGTTTATGGGTGTGTGTCTGTATGTGTGCGCTCCTAAATGAAAGCACTGATAGTATGATTGATGTCATAAGCAAGATGGTCAGGTGGCCCCCTTGTTCGGAGAATATTGCATTGGGTACGAGTTGGAGTATTTCAGTCATGTATGCCACCGGTGGCCGCTTTTCACTCATTAGGGAAGTACCTGCCCTAGTTTCTTAAGCTGTACGTAATTGCAGTATGTTTCAGTTCGTATATACCATTGCAGTTTACCCAGACCTGCTTGTTCATCTCTGCACTGAGCTGCCGCTGTGGTCTAGTCAGTTATGCCTGCCTGATTGCTGATCAGAAGGTTGTGCAATTGAATTTCGGCTGCCACAGCTGTTTCTTTTTTCTTTTTTTATTCAGAGCTGTTCTGTACATTTTTTATACAAATTGTATTCAACCGGTCACTAGCCACTTATGGCTATCGGTCCAAAGATTCTTTGTAGTTTTATTCTTTTCATAGCAAAATAAAGTTCTCTTGATTGATTGATTTAAATGGCGGGAATACGCTCGAAGCCCATGTGCTTAGATTTAAGTGCACGTTAAGGACCCCAGTTGATTGAAATTTCCGGAGTCCTCCACTACGGTCTCTCATAATCATCGTGGTTTTGGGACGTAAAACTGTACTAATATACATATGTCTGTTTTTATTATTGTGTTGTATTTGTAACTATTTTATTCTATATTGTATGCATTTTCTAATGATCAATTTTTGTATGGGTACTTTTATTTCTGCATCTGTCCGTTGCTCAGCCAAGCAGAATCCATCAATACTATCACCCTTAAAAGTGGTCAGTGTATTGAAAGGTTGTCTAATTTTCTCCTCGCCCCCCCACCCCCCTCACTATTTTCAGACGGTTGGTATTGACAAAGGTGACATCCCCGACCTCACCAAGGTAAGCATGCCCAAAGACTTCAGTAGACAGTGGGGTCAGGTCGCGGGCCGCGGCGCGTCTCTGCTCTTTTTACAGTACTTTGAAGTGTTCCTAATAAGCTTTGCCAATAGGACATCAGAGGTAAGGGGCAAAAAGTAAGGACGCTGTTTTCCCGTGTGCTGTGGGTTCCCGCGTTTTGTTCTGCACGGAGCTTTGGTTCACGCGATTTTCTATTTGGCGCGTCTCTGATTTTTTTCAGGCTCCAAGCAGTTTGCTGGATGCCCTGGAGCAGCACCTGGCTGCTTTGGAGGGGCGTAAAGGAGCTACTTCGGCCGCCTCTGCGACCAGGTCAGTCATGGCACCTGCCCTTTTTCTGCTTAAGTACTTGAGCAGGGATTCCCAACATGAATTCTTTAGGCATTTCAGCTTCGTATTAGCAGTGCTTTTGTGTTTAGCGCTTGCATAGTTGCATCCACTAAGTCTTGAATCGTCCAACCCCTCTTCTGGGAAGTTGTACTACCAACAAGAACCACGTGGTGTGTTCTCTCATCTTCATAATTTTTATCAAACGAAAAAAGTTCCTTTGCCAGACAAACAAGAAAAAAAAATTAGTTCTCGTTGCACTCATTTTCACTTCTGCTCGTGCTAGAGTGATAAATGTTAAAACATGGTTCGCTGCCAGTCTGTCAAACTTTCAAGACATGATTGGATCAGGGTTGTCACTTAGCTCGAGCTGTGCAGCATTTTTTTCGCTTTGTGTCTGAGCTCTGCCTTTTTTCTTCACCCGTGTTTGGTAGGTTGGCAAAGTTTGCACTATATGCAAGAGTTCCCATGCCCAAGTAGTCAGGTGCTTAAGCCAGCTTTACTACCTCGTCTTCTACAACAAAAGTAAAGTGACACGGCCTGGAAAATGGATATCTCGCCGCTGTTCATTACTTCCTCCCGAGAGGAGGTGGCAAAATGGTTCTGCATCTATACTCGCTGAGCATAGTGCGGCCAACTTGGCAGCGAGCCTATAGACGTGCGCTTAAGTTGAGGGATTAAGTACTGGGCTTGCATAATTCTGCTTCGAAAATTATACCCATACCTCATTGATCATTTTGACACTTAAACAAAGTTGCATTAGCCACTGTTCTACAGTGTCAGGGTGAATACTTTGTTGCTTCAGAAAGTCCGTTGGCTGTGCCAAAGTGCAATTATACTTGAGACTTGCCTCAAGTTTAGTTGTAACCAAATACCAGCTTTTTGTAGGAATGAACTACACTCAAACCTTGTTAAAACAAAGTTGCGTCTTACACGAAAATAAGTTCGTTATATGCAAAAGTTTCTCATAAATGTATATGCTAATGCTGTATTTATTGCAAGACTATCTGTCACTTACTTCGTTATAACTGATATGTCGTTATACCCTGGTTTGAGTGTAAATTCATTGTACGTCCTCAGCAGCATAAGTGTGACCTCTCAGCTCGTAAATGTTGCGTGGCACTGAGGTGCCCTGAGCTTTCATCACTCGTGTCGTACATAAGCTTTGTGCGAGCACAGCAGAATGCAGTGTTCGCTCACTTCAATTCTGGGAACCTCTGCTCTCGGGACTCTTGTGGCTTAGGGTGACACTCCCCTCTCCACCAGTCGTGCAGTTTTTGTTCACCCCCTTGTTTTACCTGCAACCAGCCTTTGAAAGCTCCGTAACGGGCTTTCAGTCTTGCTGCTTTATATTTTGCCTTTTGTTCAAAATTTTGATACATGGAGCACTTTTGTTTTGAAAGCTGCACGAGAATGCCCATTCCTTTATTTATGCAGCGGTATCGCCTTCGCATTGTTGCTGGTTTTTGAACCACTGATTTATTTTCGTCTCGTGGAAATCTTGCCTTCTGTTAGCCCACTAGTCAGAAGTGCACCATACGCGTCTCTCATAATCATATGGTGGTTTTGGGACGTTAAACCCCACAAATCTAGAAGTGCACCATAGGTGTTTCAAGGACTGCCACAAGTCTGCCTGTTTGACCTTCTGTTGTGAGTTAGTCTGTGAGCCTCTGGTTATATTTTTTTGCTTGTTTTGCAAAGGCCCATTGAAGCCCCTTCAGGTGCCATCTGCAGTTGCACAAAAGAAATCAACCTTAAAATTCCAGTTTTTAACATTGTCAGGTGCCATCTGCAGTTACACAAAGAAAAGTAACCTTAAATTTACACTTTTGAAGAATGTTAGTGTATTGAATTCATGTCAAGTCTTCTGATCAGACCTGTGCCAGATGATCTGTCGGTGCACTCGATTTCAAAAATGAGAAAGCTTGTCAGTGGCTTTAGTTTTTCACACTGAAATGCTTTGCAAGTTGTTTTTATGTTGGATGGGTGGCATAACCCTGCGTGAAACGGTGCATAAAAGGTGACTGCACTGTCTGGTGTTCTTTAACATCTTAAACGTCCTTGAAAGTACACTTGCACACTTAGATGCAGCAGCACCTATGTGCAGTAGTGTTACCCGAATTCCACATTTATGGTGATTGAAGACAATAATTTGAAGGCTTTAGTATTTGGAAGTAGTGAGCAGCTGAAGGGGTTACTGCAACAGCAGTGCATGCTGCTGCCAGCGCTGTGCACGCGGCATGGCTTGTGTTTTGTCGTGGCTGCATGCATGCCTCTTCTCCTCCTCCTTCCCTCCACCCTTGCCCCCTCACTACGCGGATCGAACAGGGTGAGCAGCAACGTGCAGAGTGCGGTGTCGGCGCTCTCTTGCACGAGCAGTGCCTTTGGTTCGGCCGGAGGCACAGGCGCCGAGATCAACGGTGTGCGCGTGGACGAGGCCAGCGTGCGCAGGGCCCTCGAGGAAGAAGCAGCAGCCATGAATCAGCTCAAGGTTGGTGCTCGGTCTCGCTTTCCACGTCTTATTTGATTAGTTGAATTCGGAACAATGGGGCTAGAAGCTTATCTGTTCGCTGGTGTGCTTCACAACCTTGAGTACTTTGTTTTTCTTTTTCTTCGAACGGGTGGCTTACTTTCAATGTGATGTAAGCGCATGAGCATGTTGTGACATCCTGTGGTAGCCTCATTATACTGTTCTGCTCATGATGCTCAAATCTTCTTATGACCGTGTACTTGGGGCTTACGGCATAATTTCTAGAGCCACGAGGGAGCAGTTTTCAGCAGACTTTAAGCAAACTATAAGTTCCAGGCCATGGGCTGCATTATTTGGCTCACATGTTCTCCGAGGCCTTTACTGCCGATACGCAGCATTTTCTGACCATGCTAGAAAAGTGGTCCTGGGCCCCTTTTATTCTTGATTTAGGTGTTCCAGTGGGTGCATTACGTGTTCCCGAGATTTGCATGGCTAACTTAGGTAGTCTGGGATGCAGTTTAGTGCCACTGCCTGCGATTATGCAGACATTTAGTGTAAAGTCATTATGTGGATGCTGCTTGCAGAAATCTCGAAACATGCAACAGTGGCATACCATTTGAAAATTTTAGATGTTTAATGGACCCTTTATCATCGACTTAAAACTAATGGGCACTTCTATTGTTGCTGCTGAAATGTGCTTGACACATTGATTTATCTTTCGCATAAAACAGGAACGCTTTGCTTCCTCTTTGTTCCTTATCTGATGGTACTTATCAGAGGGGCATATCAGTATAATGCTGCCAGACATAGATGTGTGTCTATTTCTCTTTGTCTGAAATGGCATGCACTATGCTGGCTTGAGCGTTGTATCGCTATAGATCGAGCTAGATTAGAAAATTGGATAGGTGAAGGACGCTTTAGCATCGATTCATACTTGGAAAAAGCATAAAAAAAAACCCTATCACGGAAGACTGTCTAAAACGTCCTTTTGATTATTGCTGTTGTCAGTCTGCTGACAATGCACAAGTGTACTTACTAAAGCTCAAAAGCTAAATTGTTTTGACACTTAGTCATTTGCTCATGTTCCAGCTCTAATTATTCAGCCATCCTATGGTGTCAGAAGTAGTCAGAGCTGTTATATATTAACGTTTTTTAGCACCATCCCAAAATTTTTATATCGCACAGTGTCGAGGAACTTGCATGTTTAAAAAAAGTAGTCTGTGAAGTTGTTTCAGTGTGTTTTTTTTTTTCAAAGCCTATGAACATCAAGATAATGTTGTTTGAATAATTAATCGGTTAAGTGCTAATTGTTCTGAATGTCAGGCACAGAGTTGAACACTGATTTTGCATTTTGCAAGTTATGTTATTATTATTATTACAGCCCCCTTCATCTGTAATATCAATGAAGCTGTAAAAATACTAGTCACTGGGCACTAGTCACTGGAGTTACTAGACACTGGACAAGCCATGCCGAAGTCTGGGAAATGTACTTTTCATTTAACTGTTGCCACATGCCTTTTCAATTTACGGTTTTTCTAGCATTCCAAACACACTTGTGAAGAAAAACCTTGCTAGCACTTATTTCCGAGGTGTACCTGAACATCTATTGTAAGAGCATTATGTGAATGCAAGGCAAAACTAGCACTATCCGTCGCAGTAAGCTTTCCTGGTTTCGTGAATTTGATCACTACGAAACGTTACTGTCTCGCTGCTAGGTATTAATGAAACCACTCTCGTTCCAAGCAGCATACGAACATGCAGTGTGTAAACATGCCTGCATAGGTAGCATGAACACCTGACTAGAGTGTGGGCTACACTTCTTCATAGCCGTGCAGTATTGAAATGCAAATGTTATGAAAATTGCTGCTTACAAAGAAAGCTGAAATTGCTGCTTACAAAGAAAGCTGGTACTAAGAATTTGTCATGTCCGACTGGTGTTTGAGGTTAAGTTTACGAACGCGAGCACTTGCGTTAAATGTGGTGTGAGCCAAAATGGACTGTGAAACGCAGTTTCTATTCATGAATCGGGTACACAGCATGGACTAAAAGTGCTGTTAGAGCAAATGCACACAACTCCACATACATAGGCTGTTACACAACACTCGTGAGGAAAAAGAGCGTGCAGCACGTCGGCACGGAGTGTCAACTGAGGCACATCAGCCTACACTTGTGTGTGTCTGACGTGTGCATGTCTCGTTTCAGCCAGCTTTGGGCAGTGCTGAGGTGAGAAGCATGGCTGTGTCGAGTGCATGCCACGGCTCACGGTTCCATGCTGGTGTTAGCAGCTGGGGGCATGGTGTGTGCGACTGCAGGAGCGGCACCTGAAGGAGACAGAGGCCAGCACCAATCCGTTCCTGTCGGCGTCGCCTGAGCCCCCTGCAGCTTCGGCTACCGCCAGCAGTGGCGAGCCTGTGCTGGACCTGTTCTCTGCCGCCCCGGCCAGTGATGACCTGCTCTGCCTCGGGAACCCGTTTGCCGAGCCCAGCCCAGCGCCACCACCACCTACGGTGCAGAGCCCACAGCAGCAGCAACAGCAGCAGCAACTAGCCTTTGCACATTTCACTGCTAATGGTTAGTCATATGAAGTATTCTGCTGAGAATGTTTCCTTGGTATTGAACAAAGAAGGGGGGTAGGTGGGCTTGACAAATAAACTTTGAATTCTCTGCTGTAGCTTATCATTGCACCTCGTGGGATGTCGAAATGAGGCAACACTCTCTGAGCGAATGGACACAGTAGACGCGGTCGGAGCAAACCAAACACACATTTGTTGAATTACTTTTTCCAAGGGTGACATTTTCAGCCAAATCAAAATACATCAGCTGTCATCAACACTCTAAAGCAACCATACTCAGTATTCCAAAACGCTCAACATAACACAAGGTGGCGGCGCTAACGCTCGCCTCTCCACGAGGGCCCGCAAGCAACAACCCACGGTGCCGTCCTCACGGGCCCACTGCGAGAGACGACTGCTTGCTCCACCACACACCAAAGACGACCACTCATCTCTCATGTGATGCCAGGCATGACTGCCTGCACTATCACGCTAACCATGATGATGGTGGTGATAAACGCTCGCCACCTACCGCTCAATAGTTGTGAACCCTGAATGCGGCCTAGGTGTGAGACACATGCGCCACGAGGCGCAAATGACTTTACAAAGGGGTGTTAGCGCCCCCACAGCCTGTGTTGCTTTAGGACATTGGCCTGTATTAATCCATGAGGCGCACAGGAAGCTCGCCCATAAGGGTTCTCTGGCAACTCTGTCATCTGTCTATTGTAAATCTATGTTTGAATTACCACTTGCTTATTGAGCAGTGTAGCAGAGCTCGGTAGTCTTTGCTTCCCTTCCCCTCCTCTCCCTAATGCCAGGAAAGAGCAACTGCTCTCTAATGTCTCTTGGATAATCTATAATGTCCGACTTTTAGTTCCATCCATGGTGCTATGATCTAGATTCATGCATGTCATACCATAGTGATAGCTTAAAAAGTTGAAAGTTGTGGTCGTTTGTGGCATTGCGATTTTCTTTGAGTACTAGGGCAGCAGCCCTTTTTGTCACAGATATCGTGCTTGCTTTTATTTGATTTCCATTGTCCTGTTTACAGCTGATTATCAAGCAGCCTAGTGTGGATGCATTTTTCTCACCCTTTCATGTCATTGCAGAATGAAACAAGCTGAATTGAATTGGATCCTCAACTTCTCTTTTGCAGGGTTCATGTCCCAACCAGTCTCTACACCCTCGACCACCTTTGCATCAGATGCCTCATTCGCCGCAGCCTTTGGTTCAGTCCCGCCTGCGGCTGCCTCTGGTAAGAGTTTTGGTAAGAGACTCTGGGACGTCAGTTTTGACGGAGCTGCAATAATAACCTTTTGCATGCCTAAAAATTGAAGTGCATATTTCAGATGAAGTGAGGAAAAAAAGAGAAATAAATAAGCAAGCAGTGGTTTTGTTGTCAACCGTCACCCCTGTTGGTTTGCTATTATGATATTGTGATCATGTATTTTTTAAATTTTTATTCAGTCTTGTTGGTTAGCAGACATGCACACAGCTGTTGTTACTATGTAACTAGCTCTGGGTAGTTAGAGGCCATTCAGTATGGGTGTGAGTTTGCAGTCATAGTTTGCAAAAATGTGCACTGCTCGACATTTTACTCAAGTCTGCAAGCAGGAAGTTTGATAATACAGTTAAACCTGCTGATAACGAATCTCCATACAACGAATTTCTCGATACAAAGTTTTTCTATTCCCTGCCATTACTCTGTAGAAGCACATGTGTTTGCGACCTCTACGCAACAAAGTAACAGAAGAAGACAACCTTGATATAACAAATTTTTGCCACTGACAATCTGAAATTTTGCCCCGGATTTTGTCATTTTGGCACAAGCATGTGTTTTTCATGGGTACCGCATGTGCAGATGTGTCCCCCTCCAAACCAAAAACATAAAAGAAAACTAATTTTGCATTGACAGTGCCATGCTTTTAGCTAGCGCCACATGTGGGGGTGTACTGCATATGGAGGGTGCTTTACTGAACAGTTTTCAGCGGTATCCATGTCCGCTCTTCGTTTTTGACGCTGTGCACGTGTGCATGGTTTCAATGTGTGCAAATGGAGTGGCGCCCGACGAAGTTCAGCTTTGCTTTTTCTTTCATTTTTGTTGCAAACAGCCAAGTCATCACTACTGAGGTGATGTCAGATTAGGCGCTCATGGAAACTCTCAGAGGCAATGTTGACAACAACGCAACAACACGACCGCGCTTTAAATGCAATGCGAGGAATGCGATAGCAACAAATTGTAATGTTATATGAAGTAACGCTGGTAGCCAACTCTTTTGGATCAGATATCGCGGAACTCGAACAAAACGCTGGTGTAAGCGAATACGGCCGCTCAGGGAAAGTGCTCTTTTCACACAGTCACTTCGAAAGCGCACTGATGCTTGCCAAGATAGTGTGTGCCAGTGATCGCGACCATGCCCTTTTGCTACTCAAATGACCTCTCCCCCCCACCTCCCCTGTGTTTTTTCATGCTCATTCAAGGGGCGTTGTTTCCTTTCTGTTTGAGCATTCAACATCAGTCTTAATACACGGGGGATGTTATCGTATGCGCCCTCCAGGCGATAGAGATGGGACGGCTCATTTGATCTCTGCTTTGGCAGCGCTCGCGCACTTTTACCTGCTTGTAAAAGTTGCGGTGCGTGGGGGGCATGTTATCAATTTGTACTTGTTACGGAACATGGCGTGCAGCGGTGGCAAAAACCCACCGAGGGTGTCTACACAATAGTAATGCAGTCTTTTACTGCTGAATAGGTGTTTTGGGTCAGCTCTGCCTTCAGTTTCCCTTTTGTTTAGTTTGTGCGTTTCTTGTTCGAATTTTCGTGCCAAACCTGCACAAAATGAAATCCTCTTCAAAATCAATTTTTTCAAGAATTTGTCACTTTTGTTATATCCAGGTTTAACTGCAGCAACAAAACAGAAAACTAGCAGTGTTGGTACAGATTCATCATTACTGTAGAGAACATGCTTAGATGGTAGTGCAGGAAAGAACACTGCACAAATGCTTGCGTTGCATTCATTCATCTTTTATCACTGTATTGAGTGCATGCTCTCCAATAATGACACTAGCAGCTCAAACCAGACATTAGCTCTCAGATGGGGAAGTTAGGGAGCTGAGGGCCTTGCTAGAGCCATCATCTCTCCAGATGAGGAGGAGGAGGTGCGCCCTGCTGCGGGTGGGCTGACGCTGCCCACTCTTGAGCCTCCACCACCACGTTCCTCATCACCATCACCCACGGCAGAGTTGATGCGAGGTGCCGGCACCACTCCCATCCTGGCGCATATGCCAGAGCCTGGCTTTGGCGATCTGGACACCTCGGAGGAGCCCTGGCCTAGTGAGCCCTTCGAGTCAGCTAAGACTGGAGCGATGACCAGCAGCGCTGCTTCGTCTGGCTGGGTGGGCTTCGACCAGGGCCGGCCACAGGAGACCACATCCACCGCAGTGTCCAAGCCAGCGATGGCGAAGACGGTGGTATCTGGACCAGCAATGCCTGGTGCAACGATGCCCGTTTCGGCGATGCCTGGCACAGCGATGGCCAGTTCGACAATGCCCGGTGCAGTGATGCCTGGCACGGCGATGGCCACTTCGACAATGCCTGGCGCAGCGATGCCTGGTGTGGCGATTCCCAGTTCGGTGGCGATGCCTGGCACAGCGATTCCCAGTTCTATGGTGATGCCCGGGGCTGCAATGGCTAGTCCAGTGGTGCCCCCTGCGGCAGTGGGTGCACCCATACCTGGCTCAGCCATGTCCAAGCCACCGGCCAGACCAGCTTCGGCTCTGGATGACCTCAACTTTGCCATTCAGCAAGCCATGGGCGGCGTCCCTTCGCCTGCTCACAGTGCAGCTCCATCAGGTGGCGCAGTGTTGCGCTTGTACCCTTGGTTGGCATGAAAGCCTTGGTTACGTTCCTTTTGGTTCTCTTTTGTTGAGTTTGCACGTGAAGTTAATTGGTGTTGAAACATTAAGCTTGTAGGCACCTTGACAGCTCTTCCTGTGCTCCCGACTGCAGGTCTTGACTCATTTGGAGACGTACTGCAGCCTCGGCCACTCATGAGTGGACTGTCCAGCCCTGCAACCAGTGTGCCCACAGCTTCAGAAGCGCCACTGACAGCCTCAAAGCCTCCAGCTACGACGGGGGGTGGCCTGCTGAAGGGCGACTTAGACGCTACACTAGCTAGTCTTGCACAAAACCTAGACATCAATGGTCCCAAGCAGGCTGTGGCACGCAAGTAAGTCTGTAAATGGTCTTTCTCTTCTGATTTTTTAATAGTCAGCTTTGGTAAGAAAATCACTCCCAACATCTTTTTACAATAGTGTTCACAACTTTTGTGCCTTAGTCTGCCTTGCTAAATGTTCCTTGCTGTCACTAGTGAATGTGTGTAGAGAATGTGCTTTCTTACCAAAGACTTTCGCTATGCTAAGTAATGCTACATAAAAAAAATAAAATGAGGCGAAGCACGAGGACGCATAAATGCATTTTTTAAATGCCTAGCTCGAATATGTTGAAGAGATGTTACCTTCTTTGAACTGATTGCTGGTTTGCAAATCTCTGGTGCTCCACAGCGAAAGATGAGAAGGCAACAAACAAGGAGTGGCTCTGGGGCCAATGTTTCGGCAAAATAACTTGTATTCATTGGGGCAGTAACTTTCAAACATATCACTCTTGGCTCAAAACTGCTTTTTGCATTAGAGCTCCTCTACAGTGCCATTGAGACAGTTTATGCTGCACAGAATTTCGGTATTGATCATGTCGCTCCATTGTGTTGAGGGGTTCACCGGAGTTCCGGAATTCGCTATCATAGTGGGGACGTGCGCACTGAATTTCCATGCATGTGCAGGACATCCGGTGGAGGCCACCAGTGGGGGTCACCTAAGCCAGCTGGCAAGACCGGTGGCACTAACTGGACTCCTGTTGGTGCAGCATGGGCTGGTAGTGGATCCCCGCAGCACCTCTTCCAGCCACAACCACAACCGGTGAGGCCACTGTTGAGAAATACTTTGCTCGGAAAGAAAATGTTAAAACCAGTGTTTTAGCTCTAGTGGTTGTTAGCAGAGACTGGATTATGAGCAGATGCCTATTTTGTTCGTTGCGTTATTCCTCTTCCAGCCACAACCACAACCGGTGAGGCCACTGTTGAGAAATACTTTGCTCGGAAAGAAAATGTTAAAACCAGTGTTTTACCTCTAGTGGTTGTTAGGCATCTGCTCATAATCCAGTCTCTGCTATTTTGTTTGTTGCGTTATTGTGCCATTTTGAGTTATTAGCATGAATCAGAGGTTAAGGAGGGCCTTTATAGTGTTTTTATAGTGCCTATAAATGCCTATTTTCAGCATTTGTGCCTAAATGCATGGAAGTCCCGATAAGTGCCTGTCAATACCTATTTTCAAAATTAGTACCTGTATGAGCACTACTAGACCAAGTTTTTCTTTTTCTTTTTTTTTTTCGAGTGCAGTTTGAGATCATTAGTCATGTTACTGGTCAATATTGGCTGTTCAAAACTCTGAGGCTCAACATAGTCCGCTAGTTCAAGGAACTTCTGAAGACCAGCTGCTTGCAGCAGTGAAATGGGATGTGGCAGCCACCACGAAAGGGCTGCAAATGCGAAACCATAGAGAGCATTTAGGGGAGAAGAGTGTTAAGCAATAGAAATAAAAGCATCATGTGCACATCATTTGTTTTGTTAGTAGTTTACTTCCTAAGGGGGGAGGTGGCGTTGAAAAAAACGTTTTTGTTTGTTGACCTAGAGCAATGAAATTTGGCAATGCATACTCGTAAGTGTATTGAATATGGAAATGTGCAGTTTCATTGTGATACCTTGAGTAGTTCTGAAGTTACATCATGCTGCGTGGTTCGATTCGTATGGTCTGCTCATGGAAAGGCTAGAGCTGTAACAAAACATACCAGGAAGCTGCAAGTGGTATTGATCTTTGCTCAGAAGAAGACTATAGGGTATGATAATTTGAGAATTTTTATATCACTTAGGGGAGAACTCCCTTTAATTTGAGCGCGTTAGTATGCACAATGATCAACTTGAACTGGGAGCCCCTGATTTTCATCGCCTCTCGCAGAAGTTGACCAGAGGTGATCACAAGGTGTTGCAGAAACCAACCGAACCAAATTCACTAAAGGCAAAACAATGATACAGCAGCATTTCTCAGTAGATGAGAATTTGGACACTACACTGGAGTTCTTAAGCAAGCTGCAAACGATGCTCATGGAGTCGCAACAGAAAAAAAATGCAACCAAATGCAAATTACTGATTACATTTAGTTTTCATTACATTAACCCTGCCATGTGACTGAATGTCTTTTGGAGCATAAATAGTGTCATATATTTCAAATTAAAAGGCTTGCAGGTCACACGAAAGCGTGTTGGTACTTGTTACTGGCGTACCACTAATTGTCTTCGCCATTATAGCTCTATGAACATAATCTACGAAATCACTTACCACGAGCATGTAGTATTGCACAATTGGCGATTCCAGGGGTCCACTTCTTTGGGTTCAGCCCGTGCAGTGTGGTGCGATGTCTATTCATTTTCACGCCTGCCTGCTGATTCGAACTCCGCTAGAGTTTTCTAGTCCCCTTCAAGTTCGAATTAATGAGCTTTTACTGTATGGGGGAGCCTGTTGAAGGGGGACATCAGCTTCGCTGTTTCGACAATGTTAGGAAAGTGGAGCTGGCCGCACTTTTTGTTTATTTTTGTTGGGAATGCAAGTGATAATCGTCATAATTAAATATGCGCTCCTTTGTTGGACTTAAACACTGTGTGCTATTTTATTAGAAATGAAACACTGTTTGCCAAGCACATCTACAAGGTTGTTTTGGCTCTTAGAGAAAGACTTCTATCCAAGGTCAGCATAATCGGTATTGCTATGTATACAGCATCATGCAGTTCCAGGCAATTTCCCAATAGGTAATTGTAACTATGCCCTGGCCCTTCACGAAGCACCTTCAGTAACTGCAAGCCTCCTGATCTGTCCTTGTAGTGTGTGGGTCCTACGGTACCGGCGGCCCCCGTGGCAGGTGCACAGTGGGGACCCATGGGGGGTGTTTTTGGGTCCACTCCTCTGGTGCCATTCCGGCCACCGCAGATGGGAGCACAGCCCCCCATGATGGCTGCGGCGGCACCTGGCATGTTCGGTGCCCCGGCACCTGCACCGAGCAGCCAGCCAGCTGTCAACGACCCTTTTGGCGCCCTCTGAAGCTTCAGGTATGTGGCAGAACGTCGTTCAGACGGATGTCTCCTTGGAACCTGTCAGCATCTCACAGCTGCATGGAAGTTCCAGCCGTGGTGTTCCTGGCTTTTAAAATTCAGTTTACCTCAGCTTTCATGTATAGCACACCCCCCCCCCACTTTTTTTTTTGCTTAAGTGTGTTGCACTGTTTAAAACATGGAATGCCTTCTTTTTTTTCCCACTTTTGATCAGCACTGTCGCATATATTTTAATAAAGCCTTATAATAACTAAAAAGAAAAACAAAAGAAAAGGCGGGGAGGTTAGCAAAGCTATGGCTTTGTTGGCTACCCTACACGTGGGGCAAGGGAGAGAGGATAACAGATAAGATACAGAACAAGAGATATGTGCTTTTCGCCATTCAAGGACCTGCCTACAGGCATTGGTGTCGCGTCCACTATGTAACATGCTTTGACACGCAGGGTGTGCGCAGCGGTCTGGCACGGGGCCACAATGACATAGCGTCGCCGTTGGTTGGTGCGGGGAATCCTTTGACGGGCCGCTTTTTTTCTTGAGCTGTACTTGGGTATAGAGTTTTCTTTGTGCGCATTTCTTACTTTCCTCTACAGTGACCTGCATCTTAACTCTTCTATTTCAAGATGCTATCGCATTCTAACACCAAAGTTGTAGACATTAGACATAATACCCCCAGCCAAGCAGAGATAATTTCTACAACCAGCAGTATAAATGTGGATTAAAGAGCCTGTTAAATATTCAGAAATGAGGCTTCAGACCACTTTTACTAAGCTAGTCTATGAAAGCACAAGGTGCAAATATTGTCAGCACTCCTTCAAATTGTTCTATTTTACTGGAGATGCAGTATGGTGTACGTAAACCCAATCATCTTTTTTGTTGAAAACGTTTGCAGATCACAAAACATACTGGTAAGCCACATTTTCAAGGCAGCAATGGTAAGGCTGTCTAACCAAAATGCTTTACTAATAAGTTAGGCTTTTTTTACTGTGCTATGGTATCTCCCCATTAGATGCGGGCATCTGCTGTTGCCATTATCTCATTCATTGGACAGGTGATATTCCTTGTTGTAGATGTTCGTATACAAGTTTTGTTCCATGAATCACAGCAACTAAACCAACTCAGTTTGCACTTGTTATTGCTTACTGATATTGTCCATGGAAGCCATGCCATGGGTTTGTTTCCTGTCCCTACTCATCAGTTATTCAAATTTCCTCAATGCACTGTCCATAGATGCCTCAATTGTCATGCGTAAACACTTATTGTGGTGTTAAAACGCAGGGGTGGAAGTCCTGCACCATTCTGTGCCAAGCTGACCTGCTGCGCCTAAACGGCAATTAGCGTGTGCGATGCCAAGTTTAGCATAGTCTTATGATTGACCGAGTAAATCATGTTAGATGCACAAAGGATGCAGATGAAACCGTATTTCGTGTAGTTCGGTCGCATCTTATTTTGGTTCATGTATGATGCTCGCACTATGTGTGAACTTAACACTATGCATGAATCTTGCACCACGTGAACGAAATGCACGAACCTTGTTAAGGTGGCGTTTGTGTGCAGACCTCATTATGCTAGTTTCTTTTAACAACGAAGCTATTAGATAGCAGTGGTGTTGCAAAAAACTCCCTGTGCCGTCAAATCATAAAAACTGAAAAAATAAAACTGTTTCCCCGGCAAAGTGATGGATGCAGTGGTAATGCCATACACGCTTCTTTCTTTCTATTTTTACTGCCCCAATATATGTGTAACACTGGCTAGCACAAAACCGTGTGGAAATGATTGGGAACCATCAACATAATCTATCTGTCTTAGTACACGCACAACGTGTACACTAGTTCGTTCTGGAACTTGACGTGGTCACTAGCGATAACGCTGGAATCTTCATTGGTGCGCCAACGCGCTTCACTGCTTGGACGATTGACGGCCGACTCTGTTTCCTGCTTGTAGAGTGACGTTTCAACTTCCAGGCTCACGTTCGCCGAGATAAAAAAAAGTCCAGTCATCAAAACTGTGACTGCTGCCTTCATCAGCATCACTACCACGTTAAAATATGAAATAAAACTGATGGCCAACTCTTTTGGAATCGCGTAACTTAAGGAAACGCGTGGTGTATGCTCTTATCGCACAATCTCTTTCCGTTGAAAGCGCGCCACGTAGAAGGGTGTAAAAACCATGCGCTAGTGTTTGCCGAGATAGCACTCGCAACTGTACCCTTGGAATCTTTTTACAGCTGCTGCTCGAGTGACCCCTGCTCCTCCCCCCCCCCCCCCCCTTCGCATTTTTTTAATGCTCATTCAAGACTGGTGGTGTTTTCTCTTTGCTTGATCATTCGATAGCAAGACTAACACGTGGTGGGATGCTATCGTGTGTGCCTTTTGAGTGGTGGATATCGGCTGGTTCGTTTAATCTCTGAGCAGCACTCATCACCCGTGCTTGCGCTATTTTACCCGCCAAGAACATACGACGAACGGAGGATGTTGCCAACTCGGAGTTTACGCAGAACATGGCGGCAATGGCTATAAACCTGTCTAGTGTCTATTAAAAAAAGCTTTTCGCACGATCGCCTAGTAGTGGTGCAGCGAGCGCGAACTAATCTTCCTTGCGATTCTCATGTCGGTTCTGGTGCTTCAATGACAAAAACTACTCGAGTTTCTATATCTAAAATTCATTTTTTAGGTTTATCGGGTTCAAAATGAAGATAAATGTTATTAGCTCATCTCTAGTCTTGAGCTGCGGCTCATATTGGATACGGCATTTTTGTCCCATTTTTAACCATGCAACATTTTAACATTAAGGTTTTTATTTTTCTGAGGTCTAGTCTAAAGCATCACTTCTCTCTTTTCTTTGAATTGCTGTGCTTTCAGCTTTGTTGTTGTAAACGTTACGCATACATGCACACACGTGCATACACACACTTCGTCATAAGTCTTGTCGCTTCATCTGCGTTGAATGTTCAGATTAAAAAAACCACTGAAATCTTGTGTTTACCAGAAAGAAAAAATTTTAATTAACAGTGAGGTCTCACCCTAGAAATCTGCTCAAAAACTAAATTTCATTGCTCCAAAACTGCATTGTGCCTGCTTCCCGAGCTGCTGCCAATGACTGAAGCCCACTTAAACCCCTGAAACATCGTCGATGATCAATTGGCGTTACATTTCTGTCAGTGTTTCAGGTTTTAAGTGCAGGATTGAGTTATTGATCCATCAACTAAGCGAGTGCACGGTGAAGCCTCCCTGTATCATTTAGTGTCTCATTCCCAAAATAACTCCTTCATTCAGTTCAATCTTTCAATCACTGCCATCGTTCTCGTGCACAGTCTAGTTCGCCGTTAAATTGTTCATTTTGGCATGCATGGCACCATTTGTTCTTCAAGTTGGTGGCACTTTAGCTGCAACATTTTAAACAAGAACCTGACCTTCTCAACTTGCGTAGAGATTAATTCTTTGTTTGGTAGTTGATGGAGGGCTGCCTTGCATGCAGGTGCGGACCGTCCGGCCCGAGAGGAGCAACAGACGGCTAGTCCCCGCAGTATTCCCTCCCCCAGAGGTTATTTATGTGTGAGAGAGGGCGCGTGTTTGCGCAGGAGGCTGCGGAGTGTTTGTGCATGCTGTACATTTTGTTTTTCTGCACATGCCCCCCGTGATGGCCAGAGATGACACATTCCACAGTGTTGCTCTCCCTGGACCCGTGGAGCAGCCCGGCTTTAGGAGTCCTCCCCTCCGGCTGTTTAGCAAGCTAGGCCACCCCCCTGCTGTGATGTACTTGTGGAGCATGCCAAAATAAATTTGTTGCCTTATTACAGCACCAGGCTCATCCTTCCTTGGTTGCAGTCACTCAGTGACGTGCGCTGGAAAAACGAAAGAAAAAAAAATTGCCTCCGCAGTCTGCACCGCCCCCTCTCACAGCACACGAGAGGGTCACAAGTGTCTTTTTAAAGGGATACCAAAGGCAAATATTGAGTCAAGCTAAGGTGATAACAGTTCCCAAGTGCACAAAGGCGTCACTTACTGGAAACACCATTCACAAGTGACAAAATGGCTTTAGCAAAGAACAGCATTGGCGCTGCCTTTGCGGACATGAAGCACAAAATTCTTTAATCTCATCCTCTTTGCAATATATGAATTGTAGTCGACCACTGCGAACAAATGGCAAATTGTCTTTAAAACTTCAAATAAATGTAGTTCTTCCACATAAATTAGAACATTTTACAGAAATTTTTTCTGCTGTTTTTTTACTGTTCTTTTGGTGCATGCTCTGTGCATATGACTCAACGCAGCAAGAGTACCGGGCAGCGAATGACCATGGAAATCACCAGTGCGCCTATGCAAGCGATTCATTCTGTCATGGACTATAATTGTGAATGACTCGTTCGATTGTGAAAGTTGTCTGTGACCCCTTTGTTCGCAATTTTTTGTGTGAGTGAATCTCTTGAGACAAATGTGAAATTTTCAGGATGTTTGATTCTAGATTGATTCAATGTTTGCGTATAGTGTCCCCTTAATGATAGACTGTGCATTGTTGTGGGCAGGCTGCCAGCATTTATGCCTAGCTGTTTTGTTAATAGCTTAGAACTTTTGAGTGCCTAATAAAGACTCGAGCTGTTGAACATCATACTGTGTCGAGAGGTGAATTCATTCATCTGCTTTGATCACACTGGCTACACCACACATCCCACCCTGGGCAAATATCTAATGTCTGTTGTCAGGGCCACGTATTTCCTATTCTAACAGATTGGGCTGGGCAGACTACTATGGCAAACGTGGTAGTGTCGTACTTTCATCATATGCGAATTCCTTGCTGTTGGTTCTGTGCACGCCAGAATGTTTCCACTATGCCACTGAAGCTCGGTGCATGTGTAACTTTCTGGTAAGCAGGAGGTTGTGGGTTTGACTTCCATGCCCCAGTTTCCATTATGGGCATAAATGCAGCATGTACTGTACCCATACATCTGCAAAATGAATAGAATTCGCTCAGACTAACTAACCAGAACTTTGCTGAAGCAGACTCTCTTGAAATCGCGTGCGAAATCTCTCCGACCGAACTTGCTCAGTCTTGCTCTCTAAACTTCTCAAAGAAACTCGCTCAGGCTCGCCAAAATGTTCAAGCGGACTTGCTTGGACTCTGGACTTTCCAAAGTAAAACTTGGTTGGACTCTCTCGGACTCCCCAAAATATTGCTCAGCCAGATGCGCTCAGACTCTAGAGTATATAACAAATTCAACACTGCCGGACTCTCATTCTCCAAAATTTTTCTGAAGTGGACTCGCTCAAACTCGGGGACACTCGAAACGTTTTCTTGAATACCTGAACTTAGTCGGACTGAAAATTGGCAATATATGATTTGGCCTGGCTCATACAATTAAACATCGAAGGAACACCATAAAAGAATGCTTATAAAGAATAACACATGTAAAAGATTTGAAAGTGCCAGGCAATATAAAAAATGATTTATTTCAACATACAAAAAGTTATTTGCCGTGCATCTTAATATCGGTAGTAAAGAAAAATTCAACATTACATGCAATTTTTGCGACAGGTATGTGCACAATAACAGCATTGAATACAATGGTGACCACGTGAATTGGCTGCTGTGAATACTGGTGCTATTTTGAAATTTGGTGACACCGTGCTGGTCAATACATACCAATGCTTGTCTTTCGGTCGTTAGCCGGAATGTTGCAATATAAATCTAATATAAATGTCGACGAAAAAAGCTGAAAATTATGCCTTGACAGCATCGCGTTCTTTAAAAAGACCATTACCTGTCTCGAATTTTGAGTCGGGCAAGGGTCATTCATAGTTGAAAGGTTAAGTTTCCTTGCAAAAAGCAGCGAGAAAAACTGGTCTTCATTGTATTCACTGGTGTCTGTGCACGTGTGTGCGTTATTCTACATAAGCAGGGTCTTCCGACAATAAATCTGTCGCAGTAGAGTGGTTGTATTTGTTTTTTTTTTTATGTGGGCATGATTGTGTTCTTTTGTGCTCTGCTTCATCAGAGAAAAAGTGAGTCATTAGCTACCTGTTGCAACAAAAAAAGCAAAAATGTTTGCATTGGTGCTTCTTTAATTCCCCTCCGCGGGTGGCGGCAGGATTATTCTTCTGGGTGGGCACCGATAATTGTGTTTTGTCTGGGAGGCACAGAACTTGTGCGTTGTGATTTGACTATGCTTGCTCTGGAGGGAGATGAGGGCAGAAGAAGGGAAGGTGAGAATTTTGGAGCGCTCCAGTCCACCCGTGCCCCCCAAGGAACTACGAGTGTCAAGAAGGGGGCTCTTTATGACTGTGCACCTGTTGTCCCTTGTGATGTTTCAAGAGCGAATGTTAGAGGGGCGAGGTTGTAATGTACGACTGGAAGTGGTGATGATGGTTGTAAAGGAAAGGCTTGTGGCAATTACTTTAGCAATGCCCCATTGGGGCCGAAGGATGTGCTCAGCAGCTCTGTGTGCGGCGAGTTTCAGCAAACCCCACCAGCCTCCCAAATCGGTTACTGCAAGTGTCTTCTGAAAAGCAACCCCATACGTATGTACATATCCATAGTCATTCCCATGAGCAAAAATGTTCAAAATCACCTTTCTTCGGCAAGAATACAGAGAATTAGCAAAAAGAGACCCCCCCCCAAAAAAAAAAAAAAATCATTCAACCACCGATCATCACCACAGTGGCGGAAGGAAGGGAGAATATAATCCGTGACTTTGGAACCAACAGCTATAAAAGGGTGTTCATTCGCAGAGCTACCCTTAAGAGATAAGACTGGGGAGGACGTGACACCAATGATGCCGCAACGCCATGCATCAATCCAAAGCATAGGACATAGTGTGCCAGATTGCATGCACCAACTGCCCCGCTTTTCGTGCAAGCAACAACTTCCACGAAAGATAGCGGAAGCTGTGGTCTGTGGTCTCTCTGCATTCCTTGAAGTGCACAAATAGCACAAAAGCTTACCTACAAGAAACTTGAGCGTGGGAAACGCCCATGCCATGAAGCTTTTTGCAGTGTGGACTAGACGAACACGATGAAGGCTGAGGGACCACCAAAAGTCCTTCCGTACTTCGAAGATGACTATGAGTGGAAAGGTGTTTAAAAAGGAATGAAAAGTTAAAAAAAAAAAGACGAGCGCTGCTGTGTTGTGTTGGTATGACTGAACTGCAGGCCTGTTTGGAAAATATGGCAGCAATATCTTGAAAGACTCGAATTTGAAGAGGTCATTAAATTTTGCAAGTCCCTCGAACTGCCGAGGGGTAACAGATTTCTTCAACCACATTACAGCTTGAGGAAATTTGATCTTGCATGAACAGCAAGTTTCTACCCCATTCCTTTAAAATCTGGCCGTGACAACTTTAAAGGCAGCCAAAATCACGCAGCCACTGTTTAATTAGTAGCGAATAACATGACAAAAGCCAATGGTCTGTGTCATTGCTACATTTTAACCAAACTTCAAATTTGATGACATGGTGCATAGCTATCGGGAAACTTTGAGCGAAATTCAGTGCCTTCGCAAAGAGTTCACAAGCACTCGTCCTGTATCTCTCATTTTTGTGAATATGTTTGGTGCTCATAAAATCCCCAATCGTCACATTTATTCATGAAAAAACTGAGTCAGTATCTGAGGGGATAAGCAATTCAATGCAGCAGAAAGTGAAGGGGTGCTCTATGCTAGCGAATCATGCTGCTTTGTCATCTTTGAAGCCACATGAATGATGAAGCCAGAAAATTACACTCATTCTCTATTGATTAGGTACATAATTGTAGATCAAACTCAATGTGGATCAAGATGTCTCGTAATAAAGCTGGCCTGGAATTTGCCTGTGTCGAAACATGCTGCACAGCCCACTTTTTGTAATTTTTTGTAATTTAAATATTTGTGATCGTAGGTCGGCAAAATAAATGGAGCCCGCACAGACTCGCTCAATAAATTTGTTCTTCGCTTAGGACTCACAAGAGCCCAGACTAACAGAAATTTTGCTGGTGCAAACTCGCTCTAACTCAAATTCATGAATACTTTCATCAACCAGAATCACTAGGAAATGCACATGCCAAAATTTTTTGCAAGCGGGCTCACGTGGACTTGCACTCGTGAAGATATAACTTGGCTGGACTCGCTCGGACTCGGATTTATGAACATTTTCGTCAACCGGACTCACTCAGACTCGTACTCGCCTAACAAAATTTTTCTCAAGCGAACTTACTATGACTATCACCTAAGTATAAGTCCACTGGCCCCACTCAGAATCACTCGTCAAAGTATAACTCGGCCGGACTCCTGCCCCAATCCGAATCGGACTAAGTCGACTTGGTGAGTTGGCCGACCTATGAATGTATCACACCAAAAAGTAACTCGGGCCCCGCTGCGGTGGTCTGGTAGCTAAAGTACTCGGCTGCTGACCGACAGGGCGCGGGATCGCATCCCGGCTATGGCGGCTGCATTTTAGATGAAGGCAGAAATGCTGTAGGCCCGTGGGCTCAGATTTGGGCGCACATTAAAGAATCCCAGATGGTTGAAATTTCTGGAGCCCTCCACTACAGCATTTCTCATAATCATATGGTGTTCTTAGGATGTTGAACCCCACATATTAATCGAATCAATCGTCAATCACCAAGAAAGTATCTTGGAGACATTCAAAATTTGTAGCACACCGCTGTAATATGAAACTGATTAAAAAAAAATCCTTTGAGACCCTTCCTAGTAGAACAGTGTCTCACAACTTGCAGTGTTGAATAAATATGTATAGTGAAGGGCCCTTTAATATTCTCCCAGTCCTAGACAAAATTGGATTTGATATGCTTAATATGATTTACTTGTGGTGCTGCCACTAGTACTTTTGATTCATAGATGACATTTGACGATCTTTCGTTTGCGGTCATTTTAACCCACCCGGTTGTATGCTCGTGAACAAAAGATATCAGATTCAATTCCAATGGAAACATTACACTAAGGAAGACCCTTACAGAGGTATGCTAGTGTGAAACTAGCAAGCTCCTTTGTTATATGTACCTTGCTAAAGCAAATTCATTAACATGCACCTAAATATTGAAAGTAAAAGCAACACTTTCAATTTGTTACATTTTATTTGGAGTAATCAATAAAAAATTTGCATGAGATTATTTTTTATTTTCAGTGCTGGGCACAGATCAATGAGTTAACTATCCTCTTGCCATGAACCGCTCCTCCAGTTTCCACTTTTGTAGAGCACTGTAAATCCACTAAATCAGCATAATTAACAAAGGTCCACAGGTTGTCTTAATGAGATGATTACATCAGTGACAAATAACACTGGAGCATAAAAATGAAACGGTGTGCATCGCCAACAGTTGTACATTTCCCTGGCATTTTTTATGCTCGACAAATTATCCCCAAAATAGACTGCTAATTTTCTGATGGAGGCTTCAACTCGGAATTTTAAGAAAGAATTGGGCAATACAAATTATCTTGAAGAGCCCACAGGGTGAAGTAATCTTTTTCAGTTAGTCTAGAAAAGTGAATAGTTTGCATGCGTACCACCTACAGTGTTGAAATCTTTCAAACACTCCATAACATCCACGGTTATTTACTACTCATTTGCTCTATGGCTAAAGAAAAAAAATGTTCACTACGACAAATCATATAACAAAGTACATACAACTACAGACAAGCACAAATGTGATACTATCTACATTTTGGTTCAATAGATAATTTGCCTCTGAAAAAGATTCGTAAAACTGCACCCGTAACCTATTGCAAGCAGGCTATCGCAGCGTGGTTTGATTCTACGCGCACAAAGTCCCCGTCATATTAGAAGATGGCAAGCTAGGAACTCAAGATGGCACCTGATGTGAAATGCACTGACCGGCACACACTATGCATGGTGTTCCCGACGACGAGTGTGGACGTACATGGATGCTTAGCAGTTCCACGAAACACAGCTGCGCAGAAGTTGGCCGCAAAACAGATTGCACTACATGTAAACCCGAGCACGTTAAGTCCCGTTGTTGCCACACCTCTTTGACAGGCACGCAAGTGACGAATAAGTTTTTTTCAAGGTTGCGGTGGGCGTCGTTATTTGGTCAGTTCGCTGTAACAGTTATCACACACTCTGACGGGCTTCCTGGACGACGCGGTGGCTGCACTTTTTGCCGAGCACTCGTTGCAGAAAATGTTGCCGCAGTTTCGGCAGTGGTGCTGCAAGATACAGAGCACGGGATGCAGTGACCAGTCATTGGGACGCAGTACACTTGTTTGTATATAATACCGAAAAAGTGCAGCGCGATCTTATCAGCCTATAGCTAGTGTTCCGGTAAAAAGTTAGTTACGAAAGCATATAACTAAATTGTATTACTTGAAATATTGTATTACTTGAAATACTTGAAAATTGTATTACTTGAAAAGTAAATTGTATTACTTGAAAAAGTGGACATTACTAGCACTTCGATATGCACTGACTAATTGACAAAACTTTATTAGCCTAGAGCTAGAGTTCTTGTTGACAAGTACTAACAGATTGAATTACTGGTAAACGTGGATGCTACTAGCACTTTTGAATGCACTAATCAACAAAACTTTTGTAATTAGGCTTTCAACTATTGCATTGACATACATATCACAATTTACTAACTGGTGATTTTGCCAAGAGCATTCACTATGATACAATTCTGAAACTACCATCACCTGATAAGTCAAGCTATAGAAGAAAATGTGAGTTCTTCCACTTTTTGTTTGGCATGTCATTTCATGCACGATAGGTCCCACTAAATGTAACTGGAAAACCAATGCATCTTATTTAACATTTTGGGAATGCAATATCAATCTGGTGTCATCCTCACAATTTGTTCCAAGGGGACATAACAAGTACCATAACAAGGTGGTAATCGATAACTACACACCTTGCGGATAGTGACAGTGAACAGCTTCTCGCACCCAGTGCAGTGAGTAACTTGCGAGTCATCGGCCCACTTCCTGCCTTGGTGCTTGGCATTGTCCACTGCGAGTGACATGACGTATGTGTTTTGAACACGAGCCTTTTCAGTATAAGGACAACCTAGGCAGTACTCTCAGGCAAGAACTTGCAGTGACATTACAACACTCGCGAGATTTCATACAACAACTTGGCAACAGATGTGCCGAAGAACAGCTGACAGCATACCCTGGCATCGTGCAGAGATAGCAATCTTAGCATGCTGCCAGAAACACAATCATGATATGTGCCAATGGATTTGGACCCAACTTTTTGTGACCGTGATGGCACACTAATGTCGGTACATCGAAAAAGCTCTCTGTACACTAAAAACAGTGTTAAGTAAGAGAGGTATAATGATGCCTATTAAAACAAACCAATTATAACAGACATCGTAGACCCTCCACTCACAACCCATCCATATTTTGAGGCTACCACCTTGTTCATTTTTACGCCAGTGGATATCATTCCCTTCAGATTTAATGGCTTCTTTTGCAGCATCTGTTTAAACAGTTGTTTCATGGGCGAGCTCATTTCTAAAGACATGCAAAGTCATCACAGTACCAATCTTGCGCACTGACAAAGTTGCAACACGGCATTCAATGTATCAAAAGTGGTGGTGAAGATTTGCAATACATGTTTAACACAATGCTATGCTTTTACATGAGATCTTCGAGGAGGTGCTATGGCTTTTTTTACATATATGTACAATGATATGATATACCTTGGTTTCGTATAAGCAGAATAAGTTGTACTGCATAGGTACAATTAGCACTACTTAACATGGAAATTAACAGTTTAGGATGAGTAGTTTGTCAAGCAGTGAAACAAGTGAAACTCTGATGATTGCTGTCAAAGCGTGGCTGCTTCAACGCACCTGCAGCAGCTGGTTCTCTCGTCCCAGCTCGTGCAAAGCGGCCAAAGAGTCGTCCAGTCGACGTCTCAAGTCTGCAGCATTGGTTCTTAACGTTTCAGCTTCACCCTCACTACGCAGACATCGATCCAGCAGGGCCCTCCGTTCATCCAGTGCATTTTCCAACTTTGCCTCTAGCTCTGCACAGTGACATGAGTAGAAGGTCATGAGCATGGGACTGAGGAAAAAAACACGAATGCCTAATACACTACTGTAGTTACCACTTTTAGTAACAAACTTGTCATTATCTGTTTTTTAGTGACTTCCATTACACTTATGAGTACTAGGTATAGCCAGTAAAAAGCCTGGAAACAATATTAAAAAACTGAAATAGTGAACTTCACATGCCAAAAACACAGAATGATCGTGAGGCATACCGTAGTACAAGATTTACTTTGACAACCAATATCCCATTTCCTACATCAGGTGCAACACTGTGGAAGGTATGCAGGAAGCTCGGCCAGAAAAATATGTACTTCTGCGCATCTCGCGTTCAGATTTCATCAATGAAAATGTGGCCTTTGAAAGTGGCTCTGGTTTTGTGCTACCAGAGCTAGTCACAGAGGCCGTTATCCAAAAACGAAAAGAGGTGCTAAGAAATCCAAAACAACCTACTTAAAACTGCATAAATGACGGTGCTTCTATGTTTCTAGGGCACAAAGCATCATCATTTTTCACTTGGCCTAAAAACAAACAAAAAATCACATCACAGGTGTTAAATCTATTGAGCTAGTTTTTCGTTTGCACACATCTGCAAGAAGTTTAGTTAGCATTCATAGCATTTAACTTGATATATAAAAATGAGTGTGGTGCTCTTTGACGTGCCCCTAAATACACTCAAACTGCTTTATCACAATGTTGCATCTTGCACAAAAATAAGTTCGTTATAATCAAAAATGCGTTAGAAAGGTATATTCCTAACACTATATTTAATGCAAGACTGTTTCTCATTTACTTCATTATAGCCATTATTTTATTATATCGAGGTTTGAGTGTAGAAGCATACAGGCATTTTTATAATTCACCTTATTGAAATGCGGCTGCCGCGGCCGAGAATTGTATGTGAACGATCGGCAACAGCTCAGCCACTAAGCCTCTACACGCGGTGGCACTACATCTCTAGAAAGACTGTTTTTAATTTACTCCATTATAACCAATATTTTGTTATATCCGGGTTTGTTATATCGAGGTTTGAGTGTACAAGCAGAAAGGTGTTTTTGTATTTCACTGCCGTTGAAATGCAGCTCCCATGGCCAAGAATCGAATGTTTACCTTCGGCAACAGCTCAACCACTAAGCCTCTACACTAAGTGGCCAAAGTGTCGCTACACACACCTAGCTTGTCTCCTTGGGCTGAGTCAAGCTGAGTCTGGGCAGTTTGACGACTGGCCTGCTCGGATGCTAGCTGCTCCCGTAAGGCCTCCAGAGCTGCCTCTTGTCGGGCACTGCGCTGCTGCTCCACTTCCTGCAAGGGATTTACCTTCAGGAACACTAGCAATATGATTTCGTGAAGGCCTATGCTTACTGAGTGTCCACACACAGTAAGTGCATGCTTCCACACACTTCTTAGCTGGCACAGCTGAGGACATACAAACACAAACAAACAATACACTCTAAACGCTTTCTACAGCTATTCTCCTTCACTCACTTCCATTTTTTATCTATTACACTACTCTGTTACAACCCAGCAAAAAATGTCAGCTCTGGCCACAGAACCACGGAATACCTGTCCTTCACTTGCGAAAGATAGTCATCCTACCTGGCTTCCACTCAAACCATCAGTACTTTTTCTCAGCTCATGTAAATACTACGTATAAAAGAGTTGAAAGTTCGTTGCCATTAACTAAAACATTACAGTTGGCTAAGCAGTGATGTTGGAATCCCCAACAAAATTAAATTAACCAGGAGACGCAAGTACCCAACCTAAAGCTAGTGACACAAACACCTGTCTGTATGAGAAGGTCAACTATGTGAAATGTACGATGACATCACGAAAACGAATAAGTGTTATTAAATGGAGCATTTACGCATGCTCTTTGATGGAGCATTTATGCAAATTCTGAGAGGGAGAAAGTGTTGGCTGTGGGTGGATCTGACATTTTTTCATAAGGTGCAACTGAGTATACCAACAGTGCCGTCGTGATGAGGACAGTTTGCGCAAGGGATTATCTATCTGTAAAAAGAACGGCACAAATTGTTTTGGTACAATGCAAAGGCAGAATCGTGGCCTCGTTCTGGATAGTGCTATGAAAACACAGTAAAAAAAGGGGCACAGTTGGAGATGTTGCCAGCCTTTTAAAAAATGCAACGAGGTATTGTTTGGATATTTTATATTCATAGGCACAGCACGCACTCACTGTCTGAGCAATTAAGAGTCTAGAGAAGGAAGAAGAAAGGAAAGTCAGCCTGTCACAGAGTTTCACTAAGCGAATATACCGGACCAAAAAAAAAGCTAAAGGGAACTCGCAGTTAGATTCAAACTTCTGCACATAAGTGCAATCAGGCCATGTGGGAAGCAGATATGTTGACAGTTTGAATGTATTGAGCAGACAACACACAACGGGGTCCTTCCCTTCATCTTGCATGGCAAAATCTCGTTGACAACCAACACATCCCAATGACCACGATGGCAGGCTTCCCCTTAGCAGTGATTGTAATTTGTTTTGTTTTTTTCACACATTTCGTCCACTCAAGACAGTGTGACAGTATAAAATCGCCAGGCAGTGGTAAGGGAAACATATGCTTGTCTGGCAGGTTTTGTCACAGCGATATTAAAACAAAAATCGAATCAATCGAAAAACAGGTGATAGCAGCGTGATTCCAGCTTGTTTTGCTAAAGTGTAAAGATGCTGCTTCTTACAAAATAAGTATGTCTGAATAAGCACAAGAGCTAGAACGTGCATTTCTAAAACAAGGAAAAACAGGTATGCACATTGGCAAGTGCAAGAACTTTGGAATATTAGCACCAGGGTGTCATTCGACACCACTTCTATGATTTGAGGTAGGTGAAATTTTGACTCTGTGGCTTCGTTGGCAAGTCAACACAAAGATGTACTGTCGGCACATATCAGTTGCAGCCCAAATTTCCTTACTTTCATTTTCTTTTTGAGAAATTTGCCTGAAAACTAGGAGTGTGCAAATATTTGAACTTCTGAATATTTTCCGAACTGTGTTTGCTGTTTGATTCAGTTCGCACTGGAATTTCACTATTTGAACTCCCCGAACACGAATACAGTCAACGTCCAAATATGGCACCTTCAGAATTTTAATATGCTTCATCCCATCACACATTGCGGCAAAGCGGCCTTCCAGGCTCTGCCACGGTCGCAAATCTATTGACTCAACAAAATGCTAATTCCAACATGGTGGTGATAGATGTGAGCGAAATGGGAGCTTAACTTAAGTAACACTGTTTCGGACCTGGAATTTCGACAGGACATTTGAAAGAACATTCTTAAGATTTAATTTCTGATGTTCTAATAATATACCGACATCTACAAGGCAGATTTGGAACTCCAGATTCAGTCGGCTTTCAACAGTAGCTGAAAGCGGCTGAGAGGCTGAGGAAATTCAATAGCATCTTTGCCTTTTATGTGTAATACGTGTACTGTGTTGTCGATGACATTTTGGTTGCACCAAATCATGCACATAAATACAATTTGGCCTCGGCATCGCCTCATAATTTACAAGACAACTACGAAACACCACCCGACCAGCGCTTTATCAACCTAGCCAAAAGGAACACTTTTATGTTGCTATCTCTTAAAAATATGCTTAGAAATCTTCTACAACTTTTTTCTGCAATTGCACTTTGAAGTATGCAAAAAATATTGAAAGAATGTTCAAGAAATATTCTAACAATAATCGATTCGATTTGCACTTCAATATATGAATTTGCTTTGCACCCAAATTCCTGGTAGTATTCGCACAGCTCTACTAAAAAAACCCTTTGCATAAACATAAGCCAGAGCCATGACAATAACAATATAGAAAATGAAGAATACGTCTGTGCAAATGAGGCCCCACACATACTGGGCACATGTATCTGCTGATCAGCTTGTCAAACGCCAAATTAGTGCATCGCTCTAAAGTTTCAAATTTGCTAGGTCACACACATGCTGTCACCAAGAACTAGCCACAACTTTTTCTTTGAATTGATGAATAGACACTTCTCTGCCTCCTGACATCACAGAGCATACCACGCTTTTGAACACTGTATGAAACCTAAGTTTATCCTTCTTGGCCAGCTTCAGATGTATGCAGTGCATGTAAATAAATTCGTATCAGGGTCTTTGAGTTGGATAGCACAGAGCAAAGTGGGCGAAATGCAATTCCGTGTCTTCGGCACCACACCGTCAGCACCCACCAGTTCGGAGCACGCCTGCTGCGCCTTGCTCTGTGCCCGTGCCAGCTCTGCCTGGATACCCTGAAGCGCCTGCTGATGCTCGGCGACCTGCTGGTCGCGCTGCCGTTTAAGCTCGGCTACCATGGTCTCGAGCCCGGCACGGCTGGCCTCCCCTTCTGCATGGGTCTTGCGCAGGTTTTCAACCTCTGCTTCAAACGCGGCCCTGTCGGCCTCGAGTGCCACTTGGTTGTTGCGGAGATTTCCCACCTCGAGCTCAAGCGCAGACAGCTGGTCGGCCAGGTGACTCTTGGCTTGGTGCAGCGCCTGCACGGCCTGTGCTAGCTCAACCTTCTCGGCACGTCCGGCCACGAGTTCTTCGTGGCTGGCCTGAGCCTCCCGCTGACAGGTGACCAGCTGTTCCCGACACGCCGCCAGCTCAGACTCGCGCTCCTGTGCCAGCGTCAACCAACCGACCAAAGAACACTTTGAGAACTAAAGGGCCACCTGGAATACCCTGAAAACTTCTGAAACTTTCTCCACAAATATGTAAGTTTTTGTTGATCTGCCAAGCGACAATTACGACAATGCATTGTGCAAATTGCTTCCTGCACCTTCTAAGCATTTCTGCAAGGCTAGGGCAAGAAACTACACCAATGAACCTCTTCTGCATAGAGAAATGAATGAAGTGTCTCATTAAGCTCCAAGTCATCACCCGCACAGTACTTCAACATCAAATGATAACATCAGCTCTTTGCCTACACTCATAAAGGGCAACTAAAAAGACATGAAACCAGCCAGTATACATATTGGGACAGGCAGTTATCCGTCAGCTGGGTGCTCAACCATTACGAGGCCTCAGCAAACTGAAGCAAGTCATCTCCCCTCCGAGGGTGTCACTAATTATTCATACCAGGTTTCCTTTATTAGCCTACAGGAATTAACTATGCTGCAAAGACAGCTAATGGAGATCTTCAATTACACCTGAAACTATCTTCAGGGCTTTGTTTCAGCTATTTAAACGATTGAAGTTGAAGCTGATTGAATGAGGAACATTAGCAGATTTACGTTGCACACTCTTAAAAGCTGCTACAGTGATAGGGCCACCAACGTCAAGTGGATATAGAGGTTTGTACATGTATACGTCTATAAACAGAGATGCTATAGCTATGAACGTGACACTGGCTAAACAAAGGCACAAACCCCTTGGCATATTTCTAGCTTCTGTCCTTCATCTGCATATACTCATGACTAAAACCTTTAGACATGTTATTTGTATTGGGCAATTCAAATAGTAAATTTTTCTACTTTTATCTCGCAGCTCTTTTCTCCACACACATCCATGAGGTTCAGCACAAATATGACCACACCGAGGTCCAGTACTCACCCTGAGCTGAGCAGCTAGCCGTGCAGCCTGCTCTGCATTGCTCTCGGCTTGGGCGCGATAGTCGGCAAGCTGTGCTTGAGCTGCCTGGGCCGAGTCACGCAGAGCTGCCTCAACTGCCGCTAGTTGAGTCACCTGGGTCCGCAGTTCATCCACCTCTGCCTACAAAGCCACACGCACAGTCCACGAAAGCACTTTTCGGAGACACTACACTGTCGAGGTTCAAAATTTTTTTTCTTTTTAACAGGAGAGCTGACGCAATGACTCAAACCTACCGAAAGGTCACCTCCTGCGAGAGCAGCTGGTCGAAGTGTCTTCAAGTGTTAGTTTAATTTTCACATGCGCCGAAGGCAAACTCAATTTGAACAGCAGCACGTTCAGTCTCTGCACCTACATTGCTGATCTCAAGTGAAGTTTTGCTGCGTTTCCCTATAGTAAAACGACGGTTGTACGAAAATGCAGGGCAAGAAATTTCGTTATGTAGTATGAAATCAAAGAGAGGCCAGGCGATACGTGTACAGAGCATATCACTAAATCACCTGGCAGGCTTGTAGTTCGGTGTCCCCACGCCGACGCTCCACCTCCAGTTCAGACTCCAATTCCTCCTGAAAATGCCCAACAAGTAGGCTGCATCCACACACACACCAGTACAACCTGACAGGACAGGTAACACAAAACAACAGAGAACTTGGCATCACCTTAGCTTCTGCCGGACTAAATCAGTGCTCTTTTGGTGCATCAGCTGTGGCCAATCTTTTTATTTTTTTTGTTGCCGATTTTTGTGTGTACACACACACACACACACACTAATTTATTTATTTCTGCTATGTACAAACATGCAGATGAAGAACTACAAAAAAAGAAAGCTGGCTATAGGTGGTACGACCAGTTTGCAGCTCCTCATATTGATTGGCAAGTGCGCAACAGCATTGAAAAACAATGAATAAACAAATGAAAAGCATATTCTCCAGTAATAACCAAAAGTAAGTAATAACCAGCAATAACCAAAGGTGAGACAAGGCGCCCATTCCTTTGCATTAAACTTGGCTTATCAAAGACAATACTCAAGAGGCAACAGAAGGGGTAACCACTCATCCCTCAAGAAAGTTTGTGCATAAGCTAACGCTGATAAAATTGTGCAAAGTAACTTACAGTACGTGTCGATGCAGCAGCCAGGCCCTGCTTGGCCACCTCCAGGGATGTTGCCAGTGATTCCCGCTCAGATCGACCAGCTTCAACCTACACACAGAGCACCTTTCAAAAACAAGGTAAACTAGGACAGCCCACAAGTACTCAATATGCAAACTTAATAAGAAGCAACAGACGATGGTGCCAAAGAAACTATAGGAGATGTTATGCGTAGTAGCTGTGATATAAACATACATAAAGTAAAGTAGACAGAAGATAACTTGCTGCTGGCACGGACCGAACCTGCAACCTTTGAATAATGTGTACAATGCTCTACCAAATAAGCTACAGTGATGGTCATCCTTTCTGTCCACTTTATCGGGCATATACTTCATTTAAACCTCAAAATGTTAGTCAGAACTACTAGTTCTGAGAGGGACAGACAGTTTCAGAACCTTGCAGTGTATTGTTGGAAAAGTGATGTATAGTGTTGGTGCATGTCCATCAGGCTAAAACTTTTCGAATCGTAGCTGCGTAGTACATAGTGTCATCATCACATGAAAAGCTCCTAACCATATTTTCATGCCTTAGTTCAGTTGATAGCCAACGCATCTTGGCAGGCTGAGCTCTTATACAGGCTTTAGCAACGTTACATAAGCGCAGCATTACTGAGGGTAGTGGATGCTGTTGTTTAGGTGTTGATGCCAAGGAGTATATTGCGTGGTAGCCCCGGCCACCCAACTGACCTCCTGTAGCAGCCGTTGCCGCTCAGCATCGCTCCTCTCCAGGGCCTCTCGCTGTTGCATCTCCCTCTGCGCAGACCCATTGCACACACACCCACGTGTCACGGGCACTGGCCCCGTCTCACGACGAGGCGAATTCACAGACCCTTGTGACATCCAAGTCTACTCTCGCTTAACAGACAAACAACCACAAACACTTGCATTCAGTAAGCTCATTTATAATGTATAAACCAGACACAGACAAAAACGGCATAACAAACGTGCCTGCCTATGTGTATACATTATGCGCCTTCTTTATTCAAATACACAATATATGCTTTCCAGTTTTGCAAGTACACGACAAATACTTGCTCACAGAAATTGAGTGGTTCTGGCTGATACACAATAACTTCATCAAATAACACGGTGGTCCATAAACACTGTGCTAGATGTGATAAAGAGAACGCTGCTAAAACCCTAAAAGCTCCACTATAATGCAGCGCTAAACATAGCCGATGAAAACATGATGATGAAAACATGAAGACCTATCAGTGAAATATACCACAGAGAGGGCACACACATACGGGACACATGCCTTTTCCGCACGTGCTCGAGTTTCGGCAAGGCGCCTGTCGGCTTCTTCCAGCTTCAGCTGAAGCGTCTGCTTCTCAGCTGTTAGAGCAGCCAGGGCTGCTGCACGGCTGTCATTCTCTTTGCTGACCTCAGTCGGGACTGAGGTTTCTGCAATGAATGCCTGCACCTGGGCGTCCCGTCGGCACACCTCCTGCACGATGAACATCACTGTTACTCTTTCTTCTTCGTGGCTAGCTGCGCAGTTTACGATACCCCTTCGCCAAGTACCTTCTTTGACATGTTCATATTGAGCATTTTTTTAGTCAACTGTAGCTGGGAGTAACCACACCATCCCATAGTTTTTTCTTTATCTGCTTCTGTCCATGGCAAAGCACAGATTCAAGTGCTGAGTATTTATTTTTTATTTTTTTTACAAAATACTGCAGGCTCATTTAAGGGCCCCAGAAGGAGGGGCAAGATCATAACATTGCACACAGGTGTAAAACAGCAATTAGAATGCGCTCTGCCAATCCTCACCACCGTTTGGGTCCTACCTCGTTAAATAAAGAAAACCCATAAGGCACAAAACAAACCTAGGGATCGAAAGTAGCCTAAATGTCAAATTTAGCACAATTTCTGGGCAATTTAGTTGATTCATTTTATTATTTCATCAGCATGCTGATCCTGCAATGAAAAAAATTTTATTCTGAGGTTTTACTTGTCAGAACCAAAACACATGCCATAGTAAAGTTAATTTTGACTAACTGAGGTTCTTTATGCGTGTGTAATTCTAAGTACACAAGCACTCTTGCATTTTGACCCCATCCACATTTTGCCCCCATCAAATCGCAACCACTACGGCAATGGTAGAACCCAAATCCTAGCACTTGGCAATGCAACACTGGAGTGGCTAACTTGCAGTGGCAGGTACAGTAACTCTTAGGGAACTGCAAGTTTCAGGAAGATACAATGTCAGCCACTGAGAAAATTAGCTGTAATATTCGGCCATCTTCGGATTGCCAAACCCAAGTAATAACACAACGCAAGGAACCGTGAAGGAGCCAGGAGAAATAAAAGTAGGCGAGCTTACAGATATTGGCTCTGGAGGACTTTCAGCTTCGGTCTGTATGCTGCAGCACAATGAAAAAAAAAATAGATAGAGAGAGAAAGTGCATTTTAGGTAAAACACAGCTGAACAGCATGCACAAGCAGTTCCCTACTGTAGCCATTTCCATGCGTGTGTTTCTTTGTATGAAATTAGAAAGCTCTAAGCTCTCGACCTGAACACAATTTTCACTCCACCATGCAATCCTGTTGCTCTCAATTTCATATTGAAGATATCATTCTGTCACATAGCTACATGATAAGCAATGATAGCCAACTGCGCCACAGGTATGTGCAAAATCATTTTAAAAATCTAATAGAAGGTTTTCCAGTTTCACTAATTTCACAAAGGTGTATCATCAATGTGAGCACGAGAAAAACTTATTCAGAGCACCTGTTGTGTATAATTTACACTGGTAAGCAATGTAAAGTCGTTCAATGACCAGTTCCTAAAACTTTAAAACTTTCCCCAAAAAGTACATTTCATAACATAGCCAGTGTTACAAGTACAGGCAAAGGTGCAAATGCAACAGAGCATGTCAGTTACATTTCGTTCCTACTTGAATGTATAAGTTGAGCATCCAGATGACTGCTTCACAGAAAAATTAAACGCACACAATTAATCTCAGCCAGATGGCTTACCCTGTAACACTACTGCTGCACTGTCACTAATTTCGATTAAAACAATGAGAAAAAGAAGAAATAGGTTCAGTGCACATACCATTGTGACAGTTTCTCCACAAGTGGCTGAAAAAAAAATGCACTCTAAGACAAGGCTTTGCAGTGTAGAAAGCAGCTGCACGTGTCTGTGGACAGTGTAGTACTCAGTGTTGAATATGATTTCACTTAATGGCACTGCTTCAATATTTTGCTTACCGGCTGTGACTGTAGCAGCTGTTCCAACTGTGCCCTCAGCTGGGTAGCTTCCTATTAAAAAAAAAAAAAACACCACAGTGCAGCACTTCCTGCACATTAAGATGCAGCAGAAAGGCAAAAAAATAATTAATAGAAACAGCTCAGGTGCTATATATGTAAATGTCAGAAGCACATATGGACTTCATACAACTTTTCCTATCGAGGTCTCATTAAATTTTACATTGGAAACAGCAAACAACATTAGTTATTCGTTAATACCACTTAGCCCCATCGTTGATCAAACAATACCTAGCATTATCTATTATTCATAACCATCCAGTCGCTGCTCTTTGTTCCGAATCACAAGAGAGTCTGATGGAGTATGCCGTGGAATATTCTCAAATATGAGAGGCAATCGATATCTCATTCAGTAAGCGCACAAACACAAATAACCGCTCCACAGTGTTGGTGTGTACTCACCACACGCGCTTGCTGCAAGTCATTCCCCAACTGCTGCCTCGCTAGCACCAACTCTGAAGTCACTGCACGCGACGAAAGAACATTACAGTAAATAACCGCCATTTCATGATGTCATACAAGTAGTCATCAGAACTACGTACAGAGGCACCTTTCCCTCTTCCAGGGCTCGCACTTGGGACCTCAGCATCTCTGCTTCGACCTGTCAAAAAAGAGTGAACTTTGGTTAGTCAAGGCAAGGCCAAGCTTGCCAACCAGTTCGAGCATGCACTCTGTTAGAAATTTTGAAAATTCCACTGCCATCAATTGCAGTTTTAATGAAGCACGTTCCAACTTTATTTTAGCAAGCGCTAAGCACTCCTTTGTTTCCTTTCTCGTGTACGAGCAAGCGTATAGATGAAACTTGCTAAGAGAGTTGCAGCGCAAGCTTTGCAGAGAAGCGTAGTGGTACCGGTTTAACCAACAAATAAGAAAGAGAGAGACAGAAAAAGAAAGAAGAAGGCTTACCGAGTCTCCCTTGCTGACAATGGCACCATGTAACCTTGATACCTCCGTTCGCAGCTCCTCAGAACAGGAACGCTCCTCCTGTCAGTAGACATATTCAAAGTGTAAAGGTCTTTGAGGATCTGAATGACAGAATACTAATGACATGTGAGAGCACTTGTGCTGGGGCATTAATTCGCAAAAGTGAGGATTAAATCGCAGCGCTATGGAGAGGACTCTCACACGAAGGGATGCGTGCAGTGCCGACAGTTCGCGCTGAAGTTGCTCCACGGCTGCCGACTCGGTGTCAGGCGGTGCTGCCGCGTGGTGGCGGGCGTGGTGGCTCTCGAGCTCGACCTCGGAGCCAAGCCGCATGCGACAGGCTGGACACACGACCTCCAGACCACTGCCGTGGCTCGTTTCGTAGTGATCCTGCAGTGCGTCAGCCGACGGGAAAGCCCGCAGGCAGGATGGGCACAGGAACCCCTGCAGCCCAACATGCGCCACTTGTTACATCCTGTAACGTGCACAGCTTTCTTAGCCCTGCACACAATTATGCACACAACTTGTTTTTGCAAGTTACGCCGTGTTGGGAATAAAAAAGAGAAAAATACAGTGAGGTGTGGATTAAATTAAGCTCCTGAGTAATAAGCATACCTTCATTTACCTTCCTTTGCAGCGTACTGTTGCACATGATCAGGTTGCTGAAGGCACCACCACGTTAAATGAGTCAATCAACAAGTCGCTTTCCTCGAGCCATGCCTAAAGTATATTTCTTTGCTTGAAATGAATATCATCAAAAGCGAAATCGCGCATTATTTGTAGCCTGAGATTTCATTCTAATTACACAAAAACAGAACACGAATAGCTTTAGAATAAACAGATATTAATTACAATTCATTCAAGGTTTCCTATATGACACATGAATCAACATATTACATTATTTTATTTTTGTAACACAATAATGAGCGGCTCGAAATAACATGTAACACATTTTAAGGAAAATTTCCATGGGTTATGCTTGAAATGGTTCAGACTGCTTTTATTCTACGCGTATTTAAAAGCTTGCGTGTGCACGTGTTTGCACCTAATTTGGTAGATTAACAGCACAGCTTTCACCACACAAGGTGAACGATGCAAATGATGCATGTCCAGTAGTGAACAAATTGCACTTTTGTCAAATTTGAGTGCGACCATATTTAAAGAGGTGAACAAAAACGCACACCGAGATTCTATTTGTGCCACTTCTTTTTTAATTCAGTTTGCTTCTACCTAACATGAAGCAAACAGTGAAAGTACTAGCATATTTATTAAGTTAAATTTATTTTCTGCTAGATTTCAATATTTCTTCACTTTTTTATAGCCTCATGTAAGCACTGCAGTACTATATATTATAAATAAAACAAGCTGGTTTTTCATACAAATGCTGTGCAACTAAGCAGTCTAGGTAAATGATACTAGAATAGAAGGTACTCAATAATCACTACTGTGTTTGATGCTGGCACAGTATACTATACTGTACATAGACAGCCACAAGAAAGTAAACGCAGGATACTCGAACAAGTCGAAACTTTCTTGACGAAACTGGCTTAGCTAGCTCTATAGAGGGGCATATGTAAGTCCAATTTGTTGTTCGCATATAAAACGTTTGGCAGCTTTCAAACTTGACTTTAGAGGACAATTACTGATTGAAATGATTTTCGACTATGAGTAACGACCTAAATATGAAGAGAGTCAACAAAACACACCACACAGAACATCACAGAAAGCACACATAAATTCAGGGAGACTTCAAGTTCCCCAACGAAATAACACCACGTTATAGTGTAGTTTGGGGGGGGGGGGGGGGGATACTCGTACACTAATTATTGATCATGAACCACAGCTGCCTTAACTGTATACACACAGCTGTGTAACGAAAACCCACCTATGTTGTCTAATCGTAAATAACATACATCGTCAAGAAAAACCGAACTGCGGTTGTGGCTCCTCAGGCAGCGGGCGCGATCGGAAGTCATAAGCGTAACGAGCCGATGACGGGCGCATCAGCGACAGGAAGCCATACAGTGGCGTCGAAACAGGGATTATTTTAAGCGCGCAGAGATAGAGGCTCATTCCGATTCGTGGAAAACCGACCCGACATGCGCAAACAAGGTTAACGCTGCCCCCCGAAACATTCCATAGACTTCGGCCGTAATAACAAACTGATTTTGAACGCACATGTTCCGTGCGCGGCCTGTTGAGATGCCGACGTGCAACTGCCGTGATCCGCGCGTGTACCGATCCTGCCGATGGGAACAACACAGCTCAGAATCGAGACGGTTGACCGTGTGACCAGACTAATGGCGAGGCGGATACCGCAATTAATTACCTCGGCGCTTGCTTCGTTAGCTCCATTAGATTCCGATGTCTCCGACGGGCTTGGCGGTTTCGTCGGACTCTGATTCTGAAAAAAAAGCACATGCACATCACCGGGACGATTGCGGTAGAGATTACTGAGACGCGGCGAGTGAACGCGTGTAATTACCTTCGCATCGGAAATCTTAGTGAGCAGTTTGTTTATATTAAACATCACTTATAAGCACCTATAAACCACCCAGCAGAAGACGAAAACGGGAACCACAGGGCGGTGCAGCTGTCGCAACCAGCGTTGGCCGCAATCCGTAATACTCGGCCAATGACGGCCTCATTAAACGAAACAAAAGTTGCAGTAGTCACACCAGCCAATCAGTTCAGTACATTTATTTGTGTTTCCAGAACAGGGAGCAAACTTGACAACTTGCAATTGCATGTAGCGCACAGTAGTGCCACCGCAGAAAAAAAGTGCGCGAATGCGGGGCTGCGTGGAGCGCGCGAAAGCCACCGAGGCCGCAACGCGCGTTATTTGGAGTTTCTGTTTACTCTGCAGTGCACTGTAGTTTACCCGTGAATTCCTCGCGTCGATGCAGTCTACGTGCGTGTATGGCAGTGCTTAATAGTTTGTCTAATACAGAATGGCTGGTCACTTCGGATTTGGTGAGCTTTTCGACCCTAAAAGGCCAGACGAAGATCCAGATGGGAACGAGTCCGGTAATCGCGAGGACGAGACGTTCGCACGCTTGGTGCGGCGTCTCAACAACATCGTGTGCCAATCGGAAGTGAAGTCCCTAGAGAATCCAGAGGCACAGCTTGATCCCGCGGAAGAGTTGCACGAGTACAAAGCCATGATGGATGTACTTACAGGTGATGATTACTTTCTGTCTCACTGAATGCGCAAATGAGGAAGCGGGCCGGGCAGTTATGACTTAGTGGCAAGCACGTCAGCCCACGACTGCACGCTGCAACTACTCTCAGGCGACGTTTGCAGTGACATTCTGGCTTGCTAACAACATTTGTGCGGAACAAATTACTACTAAAAGACCATTTTAGGCTCTATATGGCTTATCTTTTTGATAGTGCGCTTATTTTTGCCGCACGCGTTACCGCACCTTTACCACTGCAGTGAATTTCTGCAGCGCGATGTTTTTTTTTAACTTTATCTGTAAAGTGTTTCTGGTGTTTTCGCTGAAAGAACATAAAAAATAGCCGTTTTAAGCATGGGATAAATAATCAAAACTCACAGGGGGCTTTATAAAATGTGTGCATTGCCCCCTCCCCAAATCATTTTATTGTACTTTGATTGTGTTTACTTCAATTAATGTGTTTGAAATGTAAATGTCTACTTATAATAATGTATTTAATAACTAAAAGGTTGTGGCTATATCCTGGTTGGAGGGCAAAATAAAAGATGACTATGCCCCAGGATTTGGATGTGCATTGAAGAATCTGAACCATAGTTAACCTGGATCCTGTACTTACAAGAGCCTTACAGTTCATGCTAGATCTTCCTATTCAATCAGCAAAGTTGCATGGAGCACTTTTGCACTCATATATTAATAATTATTTGATAGTGTGACGACTGTAGTATGTGTGTCTTCAGCATTCTGCTAGTGGAGTCTACTGTAATACATTGGTTTCTGTGTGCTCTATGTCATCACTTTGTTTACTCTTGTTCTTCAGGAGACCCTATGCTGCTGCCTACAGAGAGCAACTACCTATCCCTGGCCTGCGCTGTTTTGCACAATGCTTCAAAATGCACTCGCCTGGGACTTCCAGTTCTTTTATCGCATCACAGGGTACTGCTTGAAAAAGGCAAGTCACCGTGCCGACTGTTGTAACATTGCCCATTGCATGTCAGACAGTTCAGAAGACAAAATCTTTGATATGTACAACAGATCTCTACACCTGCAGTAATTTTACTGTCATAGTTATGTAGAGAGCAGTAATTCCTTAGGCAAGTAAGTAGGGGATACATTTTAAAACTCATCTACAGTGCAAAATAGCATAGACAAAAGGGGATAAGAGTGCATTCTACTTGTAGAGCAATGAGATCACATTCAGCAGCACCTACTTTCATCATTCACTATTCCAAGTTTATGCAGTGTTTTAACTGTAAGTAGTAGCATAGAGCTGAGTTATAATTTGAAATTCATGCTGACTATTTGTGCCAAAGATAATGAATATAGTATGAAAGGCTTGTTTCCACCTGGAGTGATTAATTGTTTTAATGAAGTAAATACAGCACATTCGTGGCACATCTAAGGTAACTCTGTTGCACTTCCCTTATTAAATATTGGCATGCAACCAATTTGATATATGTCTGAACTTCCTCCTTTTAGCCACACCTTCTAACAAATGTACAGGGGCGGTCAAAAGTTCCAAGTCGCTATACCATCTAATCCTGTGGTAGCACAGCATGGGAAATTTTGACCACTCCTGTGTATTTACACTTATTCGAGAGTCCTTTCCAATAACACAACAAAAAGCAGGTACTACCAGTACAATCAGTTTCTATAGCAACTTCTAATTGTGAGCTTTAACCTAATAAGGTTGTTAATGACATTCCATTATTTGTTGATAGTTGTTCTTTCTGGGATAAATGTTTGTTGTATTATACATAAAAAACATTTATTGTCATCAAAAAAGGAGTATCAGATTCCTTGTTACTCAGCCAACGGCTGTGATTTATATATGGCACGGTTATGTGATTCCACCATGGCATCACTAAACATTTTGAGTCTGTGACGCCATGTTATGTTGTTGCATATCCTCAATTCTTTCAAGTAATCTCTACATACTAACGTGTGTATACTACATGTTCGGTGAAAATGGTGATGGGGGGATTTGACGTACATCACGTAGTGGGCGTGTGGATGTTCGAGGACGAGGAAGACATTCTTTCTATTCAACCGATTTGAACACACATTACGCTGTCTCAAGGTCAAGGTGTTTCTGTCTTTTTTTGTTCATGTTTCACTGCGACAATACGATTTTAGCTTGGTCACAAGATCTTTTCAAAACTGCAGCGCTAGAGAAAAAGAAAACAAACATGAATAAAACAAAACTATATGCACGAGCGCTGATTTCTAGTAACCCATATTTCTAATTCGCACATGCATGTATTCTATCCAGCACAGAACCTCACCGTGACCCTGTACATGTGTAAAAATGCCAGCTCTTAAATCGGAAAGTGTGATGTGGGCAACACCAGGGCCATGCCCAATAACTTCTTTAGGGGGGTGTTAATGTGTAGAATGGCTAACTTTGGGAACTCGTGGTCGATGTGAAGGCGTGCAAATACTGTAGTATCATCCGAAAAGTAAAAGCATAAAAAAATTTTGGGGATGTCAGAACCCCCTAAACGACCCCCCCCCCCCCCCCAAGTTATGGCCCTGGGCAACACTTAGACAAACCTTCTCTAGACTGGAAATTTGCTCATCTGCAAAAATTTCTCACGTCCCGCGCAACCTGTTTTTAACAGTAAATCTGTTTAAGCCCAAAGAATCCTTTTTATTAACTAACATAAATTTTCAGCGTCATGCACTTCGGGACGATATGACGACTCGAACTAGCTGGCTACTGTGCCTTAAGGAAGTAAAATTGTGTGTGTGTTTGTTTAGTGTGGGATGCAATAACTCTGCCCGGAGAGAGAACAAGTACGGAAAGAGAGAAGTGCAAAATTTTCTTTGCAAGCCAGAGAAGGAGAACGCCACCAGCTCCGCTCTTTCCTGTCTTCGCACGGCTATTGCATAACCGCCCTAATTTTTCCTTGATTACATAAGTGTGCTCCAGGTCGAGTGCTGCAGTTATTTGAACAGGTGTACCAAAACGCCACTTTAACAAAGTAGTCACGTGAGCTTCGGTGCTGCTCCTGTTGACGCCGATGGTCACATTTCCGTCCGCTGAGTCATCAAAGGCCTTCCACCTTAAGTGGCCTTGAAACACTTTCCCAAGTAATCGTCTAATATGGCTTCATTACAAGAGCTTTTTGCCTCAGCAGTCGAGTGCCGCAAAAATGTTTAAAATCCGTCAAGTACGAGCGAATTTACAGGGATATAACGCACGCTTTAAGCGCTCTCTTTCTTTTTTCGTGTTATGGAGCGTGCTTAAAGCTACGCAGGGAAGGGGAATGGCAAGGGGCCTCGAATATGTGTCCCTTCCTAAGCCAACACCCTCTTCGTACGCGCGGCTTACTTTCAGTGTGAGCGCACGCGTGGGCAAGTGGCGGCATCCCGTGGCGATCCTAGTAACTATGTAACTCACAATCATGGCCTCCGAGATTGCGAGCGCACGCCCGCCATCTCGGAGGCCATGCTCACGGTGCTCAGGTCAGCCATCGGCCGCTACAGGTTTTATAAACGTTGATCGGTCGTGACCTTTGGGTACGTGACCCAGTAATTTGGGTATATACAGCATCATTTGTAGAGAGAAGAAGGAGCGATTTCTATAGTTCACTTTGAAAATTGATTGTAAATTTTTGGCCTTGTGATGCGCTAGAACGTTTGACTCGTGTGTTCTCCGCAGCCTCGACTACCCATCGGCAGCGTTTTCTGACCATGCTGAAAAAGTGTTGTAGGGCCCCTTTTACAATTTTTGCCTGCGGTAATGCGTCGTCGTTCAGGGCCTGGTCAGACAGGGCCGACCAATGGTTCACTGTTCGTTTGGTAGATAGAAAGTTGCAATGCATAATCACAGTATGTCACGGCACATCATATCGCAGTATATCGTATCAATATATCATATGATTGCATATATATTGTAGTACATCGTTCTATTTGTGCTTCTGTGTCAGAAAACCCCCCGAAATCTGCTAGGCGATGCATTCTTCCCCCTCCCCTTTCTTTATGCTCATATTTTTTTGTAGACATTACAGTGATTGTAACGATTTAACCACTGGCGATTTCTAAAGCCTAAAAATGGCAGATATTGTTTGGACGTAGGCTCACGTTCTTCTAATTTTCTCTACAGGCGGCTTATAACACTTGCAGAAAATTATTTCCACCTTCGTCACTGCCGCACATTTGCCAATGGCATGGTGTGCCGCACATTTTCCAAAGGCATGGTGTGCCGCACATTTGCCAAAGGCATGGTGCTGTAATTAACTAGTAGGCGTTACTAATGCCACTGCACTAGATGCATGCTACCTCGTACAACAGACCTGAGCCTGAAAGCTGTTTTGACCACCACAGAAGTGTCTACTTATCATACTTATCTTTATTATTTTTTTAGCGGTGAATCCCGTAACATGAAAACAGTGGTTGGCCATAGTGGCACAAACACCGCCGCAATAGTTACTGCTCCAGAGTTATCGTTCCTTTTACGTCTACTGACAAACGCGCATATATCGAACCTAGAAAAAAAAAGAAAGAAAACAACGGGAATAAGATATTTCGATGTACAATCCATAACCCTTTGACAATCTATTTTTTTTCGTTAAATATGTCCCAAAATGTATATTTTATTGCTGATTTAGCTTCTTCAGATGAATCTAAGAAAAAGATTATCTGAAATGTTTTGGGTGATCATAAATTGACAGAAAAATAATTTGTGTCATTACATATCAATGCCTTATTCATGAGTAAAAGCAAGCAAAACACTTAAAAAAAGTTCTCGTAATATTTTAAAAAATAAACATTATCTGTTATAATAAACATCGCTTACAAACGTACGAATATGAAGTACTTTTCCGGTAAAAAAAAAAACGTTCTTGCTCTAACTCTAAAAACTTTTCCGTCTTTTAAGCTGGCTCCACACGGAATGGTTTGTCGCACTCAACACATATGCAGTGCATTTATTTCCAAGTTTCTGTCATCGACGGGTGTTCGCACAGACGTAGCATCATCTCTGGATTTAGCTTCCCTTACCATCGATGAGCTGCAACTTCTCTATAAAATATCCGACATGAAATTCCATAACGTAAGCTAACTGCTCGACTGAGCGCGCCGAAGAAGACTGTATGGTTGAGCTCCGGAAAGGAAAATTTGTGAAAAAGTTATAATAATCTTTCGTCTCATCTCCAACGAGACAGATTTAATGTTTCCGTGTCACCAAAACAGGAAGGGCAAGTACGGCGGCATTGTTTGCCTTATTTAGCGCCGCACGGAAGAAGATTTGATCGCACCCCGGCGAGCAGTATGCGGGAGGGTTACAAGCGGTCACCCTTTGAGGGATTAGAAAACAGACAGCCATCAGCCTTGCGGGCACGAAAAGTGGTAACCGCTCAAAGAACGACATTGAAACCAACTGCACCGCGCACGTTTGGATGCGCCAGTGAAAACCGCTGCGCCGCTGTGGAAAGAAAACGGAGAAACAACAGATAGACACCGCTGCATGAAGAAAAAAAAAATTCTCGAAATGTGGAAGTGCATACTAACAAGAGGAATGATCGCCATAGGCGCGGCTTTTAAACATACATGCAATGACGTACTTGTGAAGTGTCAATTTTTATGAAAGGGAACACGTGAGCGCGTGGCCAGCGCGCTCCGGCGGCTGCTGGCACCGCATTCAAGCGGGAGCGAGAGCAACCACAGTCTCTTGTCGCGTCATCTCGCGGCGAGCAAAACAACCATTCGTTGCTGATATGAAACCAGCAGCAAGATTGCAACCCCCTCCCCCCTGAAGGCGATTGTGCGAGAGCCTGTAATCGCCTTGAAGGGGGGGGGGGGGGGTTGCAATCTTGCCAGCGGTTCCACATCCGCACCGACATCTTGTTTGCTCGCCGCGAGATGACGTGAGAAGAGAATGTGGTTGCCAGCAGCCGCCGGAGCGTGCAGGCCACGCGTCGCCGTGTTCTCTTTCATAAAAATTGACACTGTACATCTTTGACCGAGTTGTGCTTGTTTGGAACGCATGTACGCCTTTGACCGTCGAAAGGTTATTGCAATTTTATTCGTCGTGCGTATTTTAGTAGTAGTAGTAGTAGTAGTAGTATTTTTATTTACCGTAAGCCTTATACAGAGCTCACTGCAGGGGCAAAGGGCTAAAGGCGAACAGCCTGACAAAGGCCCTTGTCCCTCCGCAGTCCGTGACAGTGCAAAGCTTAGACATCAGCACTGACAAACAATATATATATTCAATACATTGGTTTCAAGCAACCTGAAATTGTAAACACAAAATTCAAACATAAATAGCATAAGAAGTTTACATAACACATTTTAAGAATTAGAGGTCACTCTCGTTAAAATTCACAACTAAGCAATATCAATGAAACAACTCAAAAACATATGCAAAATGCATGCAGATACAATGAATTCCGCTATATACACTCGTATAATTGACATAGAAGTTTATGAACAATTTAAGCATTTGCAGAGGCATGAGACTCCATTACGTAGTTTCGATAGTGTAGACCGGTGGTTATGAATAAGTTCTTTATTTGTTTCTTGAAAGTCGCACTACTAGCCCTCAAGTTCAATTGATCTGCAAGGGTATTTAAAACCTGAGGTACCTGGTAAGCAATACTTTGTTTTCCATATTGGGTTCTTGTTCTAGGAGCTCGTTTCTTTTGTTCTCGCAGACTGTAGTGTGGTCTTCCGGTGCAACTTTCTTCATATAGCTTAGTCTTTTGTATTAACTGAAGTAATTTAAAATGATATAATTGATCAATTCTGAGTATGGAATGTTTAATGAATAGTGGAGCAGTGCGCAAGTCTTGTAGATTCCCCCTGTAATTTTCAAAGCAGCGCAATATTTTCTTTTGTATAGTTATTAACTTATGGTAATTCCCTTGTGATGTCGTTCCCCAGACTAACATCCCATAACTTACTTTAGAATGGAAGAGGGCATAGTACATACTTATTTTTAACCTCAATGGGATTAAGTGCATTGTTCTAAAAAAACAACCAACTATTCGCGCTAATGCGGTGATCAGATGATTTACATGTGTGTTCCAGTTTAATTCCTCCTGAAACCATACACCAAGAAACTTTTGTTCCCTAACATGTGCGATGCAATTTCCTTCGAATTTTACAGCTATGTTACTAATAGGTTTGTTTAAAGGTCGGAATATCATATAGGTTGTTTTTTTTGCATTCAAGCGCAGTCCATTTTGCCTTAACCAATTTGAAAGATTGCTTAGATAATTATTTACACTGACCTCAAGTGATATTAGATTGTCTAATGAAAAGAAAACATTCGTATCGTCAGCGTACATTATAAGTTCATGAGAATGAGGTATATCGACAATATCATTTATATAGGCAAGGAACAATATTGGCCCCAGTATAGACCCTTGGGGGACTCCTTGGTTCAACTTTATCTTTGCAGAAATAGTGTTATTCAGTTTTACATGTTGATAACGATCTTCTAGGTAACTTTTAAACATTTTGGGGCTTAAGTTTGCGTCACCTCACTTCCTCATGATCATATATGGAAGATGACGCTTTCGCTGGAATGCGCAGAGCTTCTTGAGATGCTGTGCACACTATTCGACGTCGTTGCACCACGTTCGACTGTAATAATTATCGCCAGCTTTGCGGAGGCTAGCAGGTTTTTTTTTTCTGTGGCACGGTATCTGTCGCGTTAACGAACTATATAAATGCCGTTGTTGTGAGATGCGAACGGTAACCTTGCAAGATGGAACGGTGGCTCAACAAGGAGGGATCGTGGTGGCTGAAAGCACGTGATGGCAAGTGGTAGTTCCACCAATTTTCTTCCTAATCAGATCTCGGACTCCCCAACGCATGCGGGAAAGTTGCCTTTTTGTGAGAAAAAAAGAAGAAAAAAAAAAGGCAAGAGTTTGTGAGAGAAAGCCAACTTCTTGGGGCGTTTTCCGCTGCCCTGATGTTCAATATATCAAGTGTCCCGGTGTTTTTTTTTTTTTGTTAGATGTAGCCGTTGGTTGTCCTGTGTATTCGCGTTAAAGCTATGCCGTGGTGGAATATAGTTCGATTCGCCCGACTTCGATATAGTCATGTTCGACTATATTAGTCAGTTTCTCCTCTGCTCAGCCAGCGGCCGTGGCTCAACACTGCCACCACTGTGTTTAGATATGACGGTGTATATTGCGGAACACCTGCTGTGTTGTCGCGTAACAGTATATTCATCCTCATGCGCAGTGGCCGACATGCGGTCGGGTCCCGGATGGCTGGCAGCCGATCTGGGCCGCGTTCGCTGTTCGCTCGCCCAGCGGCTGCTGGCCGAAGGCGATCCGCGTGGCTGTCAGCGGATGCTGGCACCCCTGATGCGCTGGCTGCACCGTCCCGGAAACCGGGCTCTCGACTGGACCGGGTACGTGGGCGGTTTTCACTACAAATGTTCGGCCACAGCTTACGCACAAAAACTCGAAAGTCGTGCAGAATATACAAAAGAAAACATTTAGTCGCAGAGAATAGCATAACAGGGAGGAAGCAACAAAAGTGAGAAGGCAGGGAGGTTAACCAGAAAGACATCCGGTTGGCTACCCTACACTGGGTAGCCAACCGGAGAATAGCATAAGTGCACGAAGCAGAGGCGGCCAACGAAATGTAGGTTGAGATAGGTGCACGTGTAAACGATTTGACGTGCATTTCAATGCAAAGAAAAAAAAAAGTTTGAGTCCAGTATGGGTAGACGCATGTGTACAACGTCCAAAAGTGTTCGTCTACAACGCTTCCAGACGCACGCAAATGAGTGCCAGATGATTAAAATCGCCCCCGTATTAATCGCAGTACACCGCCCTACTCAACGTCCCTACTACGGTAGGGTCCGACGCCAACGTGTTCATTTGAATAAATTATTGTTTCATAAGCTATTGAAGAAATGATTCATTTGAACGAATGAATGTTTATGCCAGTGAAACAGACGAGGTTGTCCTCGAGTGAAAAGTTACAACGCTAGCTTGAGGTCCGCTAAAGCAAAAGGGGAAAAAAGTAAATATTGAAATACTCACGATACTAAGCTCATGTGACATATGACCATAATGTTCGTTATGTATTAGTAACGTATGACGCCTATTGCTGGCGGTAGAATATCGTCCTTTCGGTTCCTCCGAATAGTTGTCCGTTCGGCTGCTTCACTTTTGTTTTGCTAAAGTGCGCTTTCCCGCATTGAGAGTCCATGTGAGGTGAAGCCTGATTCAACGACGCTTTTCGTTTCGCACGTGAAGTGTAAATATTGTGTACCACAACCAAGTTACGATGGCGACTGTCGCTTCCGTGGTCTGAACCGGCAACGTACGGCCGAACGCATTGTTATCAATTGATTGATATGTGGGGTTTAACGTCCCAAAACCACAATATGATTATGAGAGACGCCGCATTGATTGATTGATTTGTGGGGTTTAACGTCCCAAAACCACCATTTGATTATGAGAGACGCCGTAGTGGAGGGCTCCGGATATTTTGACCACCTGGGGTTCTTTAACGTGCACCCAAATCTGAGCACACGGGCCTACAACATTTCCGCCTCCATCGAAAATGCAGCCGCCGCAGCCGGGATTCGAACCCGCGACCTGCGGGTCAGCAGCCGAGTACCTTAGCCACTAGACCACCGCGGCGGGGCACATTGTTATCAAATAAACATTATGTGTTTGGACCATGCAACCACTGTTGTCAAAACTGCCGTGGAGCTCCAGACGCCCCACGAAATTGCGCTTCTTTGCTAGATTTGGACGCAAACGGTGCGTTTTGGTTTGAATTAGTGACTTGGCTATAGGGGGTGGCACACCGGGCCAGTGCCGGCCCCAAATTTTTTTTTTCTTCGCCATGGCATACAGAGCGTCAAATGACCAATTACCTCCCGGCCCCCATGTGCCCCCCTCCACCCACCTCGATAAAAAAAGAATTCTGCCTGCTCCCTTGGTTTGAACAGGGTTGGTTTCGCAGTCGTGTCGGTTAACGTCCCGAAATCCTGTGTGGCGCCTCACGTCAAGCGTTTGCGCATGCAGCGGCCGCCTCCGGTGGCTGCGCGCGGGTGACCACGTCTCCTTGCGCTCGCTGGCCTACCTGCTGGCGGCACAGGCCGACTTCGCGCTCAAGGGAAGCTGCTGCCCAGCGCTACTCTGCCAGGTGCGCTGCCCACTGCTGGGGCCGAGGCTAGCTTACTTCCGAGGTAAGCCTGAGCGAACGTTCAATCTCGCGCGTGAGCCATTTACATGCTTGCGGTATAGTCTGTGATCATGTATCAGATGTACCCGAGTTATCAGAAGTGCCCAAGCACGTTGCCATTCGAATGTGTTGGACTGTGGCCTGACAACCTTTTAACTGCCCCGTACACGTGTGCGTTAGATAAAACCTGTAAATATAGCACGTGGCTATGAAAATTGGATTACCTACCGTTCTTCACATATGTAGATGACACGCTTTACAAACTTGTTCAGCGAGTGTGTGATTTGGTTTCCGCAGCGTACGGCCAGCACAAACTATAGCACGTGTACGGGAACGGAAGCGGCACCTTTATTCCTGTCTGCCGTGTATATACGTATGACTTGCCTCTCAGCGTGCGTGCTGCAGACTATTTTCGGGGAATATATGAGTCGGGTTGTGTGAACTGTGTAAGAGTGACAGATTCGTTGTTCGAAAAATGGGGATTTTTTGCCGGCGTTTATATACCGTTACTCTGTCACCATAATTTTCTTGGTGTAACTGAGTGAGGTAAAATATATGTTTAACTGCATGCGGTGCCTTTTTTAGGTACTTATTTTTTGAAGCATTTGTTTTTAGGTACTTGTTTTTGTGGTTGCATGTGCACTCACTGGTGACGTTCGTTGGAATTCCCGTTGGGAGAGCCTTTCTCATCTCTCTACTATCTTTTCGTGTGCCTTCTTATGACACCGAAATTCGCGGATCTGGATGTTCAATATTGATGTGTCATATTTGGTTTCTGTCGCGAACTTACGTTCTAAAGCCTAAAGTGCAAGCAGTATACGTTTGCGATGTTTTTGCGATGCGTACTATTTACAACGCGCGAAGACGTTATCTTTTTTTTAAGGTTGGCGTAAATGCCGTTATCAAATTGCGGTCATCGTTTCAAATGGTTGCCATTGAAGAGCAGATGACGTCTGGAATCATTGGTAGATCATACAGTCAACACGCCGTAATATATTAAACGCTTCGTCGCCGGGGGAGATACTGCTAGCCAATAACTAGTTGCAAAGCACACTTCGTGTGGTCAGTACTAGAATAGAGGTTCGTTTCTTAGGTACAACCAGGGAGACCAGCTGATGATTAGGCCTTTGAAAGCGTAGAGATCACTATTCATTGTTTTTAACTGTTATCGTATCGTGACCTTTACCTAACCTGAAAGGAATTAAAATACACGCAAAAAATGAAAGCGCGCCTCCGTCGCTGCTCAACTTCGAAGGTTATGGCTTCAGATCCCGCCGATGGAAGGGATGCTTTTCCATCCACTATAAATCCTTTCAGTGTAGGTCCTAATCGGTGGACCACGGTCAAAAACCGTATGCCTCCCGTGGCTTGGTTGTCTCTTGGTTTGATCGCTTCGCTGACATTCGACGTTTCCGCCGTCTGGCTAACGCCGCAGCGTTGGCGGTCACCGACGAGAAGCAACTGTGGACTGCCCTGCAGCGCTGGCCGAGGGACGCCCCGCTGTGGACGCTGGCCGGCTGCCGGTTGGCGTCGCGAGGGCGCTGGCGCTCCGCGCTGCAGCTGTTCATGCGCGCCTTGCGACTCGAAGAAGAGTCCGTCCATGCAGCGCGCTCCGAACAGAACGGAGAACGGGGCCTGGCCCTTTGGAACCTGGCGGCGTGTCTGGGCGCTCTGGAACAGCGGGAGGCCCAGGGACGTGCCCTGGAACTCCTGGCCTCCCGCTGCTGCGGGCCCGGCAGAGACGCGCAACTGGCGGTGGCTGCGGCGCGGGCTTTGGACGGGCTTAACATGCACGCGGAAGCGGCCAGGGCCTACGGCGGCCTGGTACAGCGCGGTTGTCAGGGGGGGCAGCGGTCGCTGCGCGTGGACTGGGCGCTGTGTCTGCTGCGCGGGGGACGGCCGCGGGCGTCTTTGCAAGCGTGCGGGGCAGTCGGGACGAGCGGCACGGACGGCGGTGTGGACGAGGATGACCCCCGACTCGCCTTCTGCAGGGGATCGGCGATGGCGGCGCTGGGAGAGGTCGAGCCAGCGCTGCAGGAGTTCCGAAGGTGAGGAAACAACCGTGTTATCTACGGGTTTGCACCGCGCCCCGTGCGCATGCGTGCAAAGTTTCGTTCTTAGAACAAGTCGATAGCGCAGGTATTACAATCTGCCTTTGAGTTTAACGGGAACCCAGCGCGCATGCAATCACTAATCTGTGTCAATATATACTCGAGCATTGTATGTAATAAAGTTTAGCGAAGTTTAGCGTGTAGCCCCGTGTTTATTCTTGTCCCCGCGTCTCCTTTTCGCCGTAGTCCAACTTTTTGCCTCGACCCTATCGTTCTTGCGTGCGAACATCGTGGACCCTTTTCTCTCTCTTTTTTTATTTTGCCCCTTTACTACGAATATCATGCGCGATTCCTGCATGGCGTGTAATACTATCGAGGTATGCCGTGCTGGCATTGATTAGCGATAGCTGCATGGTGCGCCGCGCTGTGCATGCCGCCGCGACTGGAAGTACTTTCATGTCTCTCGACTACGGCGTTTCAGAGAAAGACAAATTATCGAAGTCGATACATCCATCACAATTGCATTTGAGAGAAAAAAGAAAAAAATTATAAAGGCTAGAATTCATGCAAAAATACGTGTGAATTGTGCGATGTGTTGCTAGATAGAAATTAACAAAATAGCATTGCTTTCGCGTGCACAACGACGTTTTTTCTTTTCTTCCTCAAAGTATTGATAGCACCGTGTAAGCACCGTGCCCTTGTTGCCTTTGCGCAGGGGCCTTGCCCTGGCTGCTGCTGCTGCTGGCGAGGAAGGTGAGTGGAGGTGCCTTTTTGCAGAGCCGCCAAAATCATATTGTTCTCTCCGGTGGTAAAGGAACAACACACTATATATGCTATCGTCGACATGAAATGGCGTATAGTTTGAAAGGATGGAACTAAAGCTCTGACGGGTGCTCCGCGGCTAGTGACATTTCGTTGGAAACCAGTCAAGTTTGTTTACTTGTTTTTTTTATCTCTGACCTCGGCGTGTATTGCGTGCAAGTGCTTTCTCTACTTTTATAAAAGCTTGCTTACTTGGGTTTTTACGTCACCAAACTATAGATATGATTGTGAGGGGCACCGTAGTGAAAGAGCTCCGAAACGTTTGACCACCTGGTGTTCTTTTTCGCCTCCACTGAAACGTGGCCGCTGTGACCTTAGGGTCAGTAGCCAAGCACTCTGCATAACCACTGAACCATCGTGGTGGGCATAAGCGTGCGCAGGTTTCCCCTACAGCGGGGGAGGGGGGGGCAAAGCTTCGCCACACAGCGCCCCCTCTCTCTCATGTGAATGTATGGGGCTGTCTTTGCACCTCCCCCGATTCACAGCACTGCCCTCCTTCTCCTTCATAGGTGACTAGCCCCCTCCTCCCCTGCCCCCCCCCCCCCCCCTAATTCCTTACGCATATGGCGGCGGGTACTTTTATATAAGCGTCTGCGTTAATAGGGGCAAGGCATTGCAGTGCCATCTAAAATTTGCACGAGGGGTGTGGGGGAATCGAGATATCGGTTTCACTTTAATGGCTCAGGCAACAAAACGTGGTGTTGGTAATATTCAACGGGAGGTCGTGAAAAATTTGTGTAATTGGCAACCGCCGACCACGCATGGCCGTTATCACCGCCGCGCCCTATCTGCTAACTGTATGTTATCGTGTACACCGCGGTATCTCCCTTTTACTTTCAGTGTGCCGTTTCGGCTTGATCTCTGATTGATTGACGTGTGGGGTTTAACGTCCCAAAACCACCATACGATTATGAGAGACGCCGTAGTGGAGGGCTCCGGAAATTGCGACCAGCTGGGGTTCTTTAACGTGCACACAGATCTGAGCACACGGGCCTACAACATTTAGGTTTGATCTCTCGTTTGTGTCATGGTTTTATTCTTCAAAAGTACTAGCACGTCAACACTTTGCACTTTGCGTTAGCACATTGAAAGATTAGGCACACGTGGCACGGTTTGAGAATTTATTTTTTTTTTTTACTCCTTTACGATCGCTCAACGTGAGCGAAGGTGGCACTGAAGGGGCTCGTCTCCACAGTTGTGTAGAAAAGTGGCTCCCGTTTTTCACTGGCGCGTGTCAGTGTGGCCAGCGCAATTAACCGTGAGGCGGCCCGTCCGCAGGCGGCGACTGGTTGCGTTCGCAGTTGCTCGTCAACATCGCGGTGCTCCGGGCTCCCCGCGAAGAGGAGACGTCGCGGCGGCAGCTGGCTCGAGCTCTGGCCATCTGTCCCGGTGAGGAGGCCGTGGTTGCCAGCACGCGCGCCCCGATGTGTAATCCGAGTTCTCTTTCTCGGCAGATAACGTCGACGCAGCGTACAACCTGAGCCTCCTGCTTGTCGCCGCCGGAAAGACCGAGGCTGCCCGCAGGATATGGCAACTGCACGGCTTCCGGCCCGAAGATGCCGCCTGCAAGAGCAGCAGCAGCGTGGGTGCTCCGCAAGCGGCTTGGCTCGAGGCCAGGTTGTCTCAATGGCATGTCCGATGTTTGTTTTTTTTTTTCTCCTCTATATGCTGCACGTGCTCTGTAGCTATCATCCGCATGTCTTGTAGTAAGACGGTAAGTTGGGCCAGTTGGTTAGGATCCATTGTGAACTTACTTACAGCGCAACACCAGCGCCGTCTTTTCTTTCTCGTTTGCCCCTTCCCTGTCCTGTATTATTTCTGGTGTTGCGCTGTAAGTAAGTTCACGATGGATCCGCATGTCTGTTTAGCAGGATCACTCGCGATTCGCGTCGTGACCGCTCGCCTGCATATAAATAAATGGCTTGTACGCTGCCGCTCAAGCCGCTTGCATGCACGGAACGGAACCGAAGCGACGCAGTGACTCGCCCCAGATATGGCTATCAGTGTATCGCGGGGACAAAGTCCACAACACGTTTCTGATACGAGTTTCGTTGCGTGCGGCGTAGTTGACGTATATAACCTATGCATGTATGGGCGACGGAATGAAACATGAACCTGTCTATGTTAGTGACGGTATAGGGAGGCTTATGTATCTTTGTTCTGTGTTAAAATGAACGGCGTCGAACGCAAAGCGCTTGCCAAAAAAAAAAATGGGACTCTTTTTTGGGACTCTTGCTAAAGACTGGCGTATCCTGGTAGTATACGTCCCAACAGTCAGCCGGCGACAAAATGAAAGGCGAGCAATCCGAAGGCGTTGAAGGCAAGGTATGTATGGTGGTATCGACGGGAGCATGCGCAGTATAACCTGCAGCCCGCGTGCTTCTTCGACGTCGCTGCTGCTGTTCACGGAGAAGACGTCGTCTCGCGGGGCGGCAGGCACTGCTGTCGGGGTGCCATGGGGCTCCGCACGCGGCAGTCCCAGGCGGCCGCGAACTGCGGCGTCTCGCGCAGCGCCGCGTTGACGCGTCCCTTCTGGGCGTCGCCCGTGGCGTCTCCGCATCCGCCCATGGCGAACAGCACGTAGAACAGCCTCTCCGAGGTGACGTTGCCCGGCGACAGGAAGGCGGCGTCCTGGATGCCCTGGGCGCGCACCGTGGACACGTAGCGGGTGAACAGCGCGCGCGAGGGCTCCAGAGACAGTCGCGCCACCAGGCCGCCGGCCGGCTGCAAGCACCGCTCCAGCTGGGCCGCCTGGGACGACGTGCGTTGTGAAAATGAGCGGTCAAGTCATTTCTGTTGGGGAGGTTTGACGTGCTGCTAGCGGAAGCGGGAAGTTTTGTTTTGCCTCCATTACAGAAACGAGGAGCAGGAGCAAAAGGCTACAAGGGCCGCCTGACAAAGGGCTCCCGCTCCTGCTGGCACTCAGCATCAGCGGCACAAATGACAATACATGATGCATCACACTCTTAATTCATGTCAAATTAAATGTCACGTGAGCAGTATACAAATCATATGATGAATAACAGATGAAAAAAAACGTGTAGCTTGAATCAAATTAACTCGGATAAGTAGCCCCGAATAAAAACAGAAGTACTTGCATTACACAATAGTTATAAACACAGATGACTAGGAATCTGTAGAATAAATTTCCTGTCTTCATTAAATATAACATAGTAAACGAGAGTGAATTGCATTATTCAATTATAAAAAAGAAAACCCAATGACATTATGACACAAAGATGATACTCATTATGTGTATTTCATTTGATTATCTATAATATACAGTTTCATATATTTTTTTTTGGCAAGGTACATGCCATTATACACTGCACTGCAGTAACCAGAAAGACGGATGGGGGGGGGGGGGGATGTTCAATTTCTTTCCTTAAGTTCTCAGTTTTGTATGTGTATGCATTCGTGTAAAAAACGTACACGAACATTTGCAGTTTTGCATATATAGACGTCTCACAAACAAGGGCACACACGAACATACATTTAAGGTGCAGTCGCTCAGCACTCGCTTATGAAACATATTTTGAGCTTTGGACTCACTCGTACTCGCACTCATGAAAATTTTCTTTAACCGCACTTACTGGGACTCATGCTCACGAAAATGTTACTCGCTTAGACTCACGGCTCAATCTGAGTCCGAGTGAGATGACTAATGGGCGAGTTCCCCGACCCACGCATGATGATACAAACTAGCTTTTGATCATAAGGACGAACCCTGCAACTCGCCTTGGTGCAATCTACTGACCTGGACGCTGGTGTTGAGCGACCAGTGGTAGCGCGCCGCAGGGTGCGCCCGTTCGTGCAAGGCCTCCAGTAGGGCCTGTGCCAGCCTGGGACCCTGCGCGGGTAACTGGGCCGCCAACCAGGCGTCTCCGCCGTGCGTGCTGCCGTTGACGAGGGCGGGCGGCACGAACACCCTCAGCGCGTCCGCGTCCAGACCTGCGCGCACGTCCAGTGCCGACCAGGGCCACGGGGCGCTCAACGGAGCGTCCATCAGCGCAGCGGCGCCCTCTCTGCCGCCGCTCTTTCCGGAGGAACCGTCGGCGCCGGCGCCCAGCTGTGCCGCCAGCCGACGTTCCGTCGACCTGCGTTGCGCGAAACAACCGTTTGCGTGTTGCGGACCTGCTCGTTGGATACGTCTGAAGCACGCTTTAGGAAAAACGCAGAGTGGTTTATTCATGCTTAATTGCACACCATCTTATGAAACTACTACTTTTTTTCTTCTTCTAAACAGTTTCTCCTCACTGCCAGATTTCGTTCCAAGTTGTGCGCCAGAAGAATAAGAAAAGTCTGCCTCACATCTCTTGCTGCGACGGGGGTTTGACATCTCAAACCCCGACACGGTAATAAGGGATGCCATAGTGGAAGGCTCCAGAAATTTCGACCATCCTGGGGTCCCTTAACGTGCACTTAAATCTAAGCACGCAGTCCTCCAGCGTCCGTCAATATGCGGCCGCCACGACCGGGATTCGGTACCGTTACCTTTCAGTCGGCAGTCGAGCTAGAGTGTACTACAAGTGTTGTCGGGCACCATAACCACTATAGACCACCGCGGCGGTTGCCGCGGTGGTCTATAGGCGCGCAGTATACGTCGGACCAGGTCCCAAATCGCCCGCTCTCTGTCTGCCGCGTATGACTTTAGGCGTCGAATTCCATGTCCAGGCAGGCGTATGTAAGAAACGCATCAACCAGGCGGGGGGGATAAGTGAGCATGCCAAAGATGGCAGCGTCGGTAAATCGAAACTATACGATGTGGGAGGCGCAGTACTGGATACTTTTTTTTCGCGCGAGTTACCGCGTGTCTCACTCTATTTTCCCCCGGACATAGAGGCTTACTTTCTTATGGGCTGCAGAAAGTAGCGGTGCTTTTCATCATCTTTGCCCATAGAAGTTGACAGTCGCCACACGTTGTCACCGCACGTTGGTATTCATTGCCGGCAGTCTTCGAGGCCGAGTAATATCAAAGCACCTTCCTCTGCTAGTTGATCTTTTGCGCTTTCTGCAACACGAATTTGGGATTTCCTCGTGTCTAATTATGTCTATCTCTCTCTCTTTTTCTCTCTGCAGAAGAACGAGACCCTACGAAGATCAACGGATCTCGGTGGTAAGAGACGTTCGAGGCGCTGCACGCCGAAGCTGATATCTGCCGATTCACATATACGGCGCGTACGTGTCGCAATAAACTTTTGTTGCCGTAATAGCGCTGCGTTTGATCGCGGCACGAGATTGCACCGTGCGAGAGCCCTACTTGCGCATGAAGTCCCTGTAGGTCTGGAGCACATTTCCTCGCGTCACCTCTGGAAACATCGAGTCGTAGGCCTCGCGTAAGGTCGTGTTGCTCATCCAGGCCGGGTAGAAGACCTGCACCAACGAGAACGGACTTGCACTGCACGCTTTATCCAGAATACTGTCAATCCCGTGATGGGATTATTACAGGAGTTGGGTCACATTGTACATTGTAAAAACAAGCAATACACAGACTAAAAATACATGTTGCAAGCACTTGAAATTTGAAGCGAATATCTCAAACATAGTGAAAAATTCGCCGTAGTGATAGGCCAAGAGTCTTTATGAATATAACCATCAGATTAATTGCTGGGGCAATAAAAAAAAAACAAATACAAAACGTAATTGTTGAGACAGAGTTAAAACTTGCGACATCATCGATTCAGGAAATCACGGCTAAATAAAAGACAGCACACATTCACTCGCTCGATTAACAAATTCATCAACCGTCGGCTGTGTCAACACGGTGGGGTGCAGGGCATTCCAAGCGCGTATGGCTCGCGGAAAAAAAGAGTGGCCGAAAACATTGTTCTTGAAGGGATACTCAGATTAGATATAGACACGCCAGTGAGGCACTCGCACCAAAGAGGGAAACATCTGGGGAGTTCAACTTGCACCATGAATCAATCACCGAAGGCTCGGTGCTGACATTCGTGTGGTGGACGTCAGCATGTTTTGGGGGAAAAAAAAGGAAGACTTAGTCGTGTTCTGAGTCGCATGACACGCGTGCAGAGTAGTGGCGTCTTTTTCTGCTAGTAAGTGCAAAAAAAAAAAAGGAGAATTTTTGGAGGGGCCTGTTTTTTTCTGTTTAAACAATCAATCAAACCAACAGACAAGCCAAGAGAATCATACACTCACCGTGTGTTTTTTTTTAACCTTGGCGTAATGATTGTATTCTCAGTTGAAAAATATTCGAGCGATCAAAAACGCACTCTTTCCGTAGGTGGAATCTGAACCGACAACTTTCGACTTTACGTGTCCGATGCTCTTGAGATACGACAAATGGTGTTCCCTCGTCCATGCTTATTTGGGGATGTTATGTCGTTTAATGCATGGGAGTGCTATTCAGCGTGCGCCACCTTTGCACGAGGTGGCAGCTGACCAATAAACCTTTGCATGATATACCTAAGGCGTGAATAAAAGACAGGGTTTGGAATTACTTACGGATATAGTGCGCTTTTTCGTCCACTATTTCCATTCAATATATGTCACAATCATTACATTATACGGTTAAAAAGAAAGAATCATGTCCCCGCGCTCCCATTGGCTTAATTGTCTTTCGGTTTCACTGGCTGTCACTGATGGCAGGACCTCTTAGAGCAAATTTTCGGTTGCTTCCGTATCTTATTTAAGAGATGCGTGTACGCAGTACCTGCACATGATTAGCCTTGTCCCGTTTACAGATGTCTCGGATGCCTGCTGTCGCCATGTGCAAAACAATTACCAGAGGTACTGGGAGGTCGGAGAACTTCAGCTTAAGTGGAACTCGCCATCTTTTTCGGCGACTCGGCTGGCATGATTTTTTTTTCAATGACGATATTGTGTTCGCGAGTAATAAACTAACTTTTTTGGCACGAGCACCTTCGTCCTATTTTCGTCATGTGATGTCTTAGACAAAGGTCGTGTCGCGGCCAAATACTGCGCAAGGACATCGCTGCGGTGTTTAGTACACTTACAGCGACAATAAAGTGACACTATTAAACAGTTTGAACCGATACGCTATTATTTGGGCCCATTATTGTCGCTCATTACGAGATCGGGTCCTTTATTGGAATAGAAAACGCAGGTCATAGTTTCATTTCTTAAATATCGCGCGGGAATCCTACGTGAATGTCGGCGTGATGCCACGGTTCACAAACCATTATTTTCGTATATCAGCTGCATTGGCTTAACACTATTTCCTAAAACATTGTACCCTACCAGGAAGGAAGAAAAATAGGAGAAAAAGAACGGCAGGGAGGTTAACCAGTCTATAGGCAGCCGGTTTGCTACCCTGCGCATGGGAGGGGGATGGGGGTGATGAAAGATATAAAGCAGAGAGGGAAGATAGATACACAGCAAATTCGGCAGCACACGCGTCAAGTTTCCTGAAACTTGGTATACCTTAAAAGAGAACGTTAGGCGGGTGTGTATGCGATACCTGTACGTCCAGTGCACCGAGCAGAGTCCGCGCGTTGCGGCGGTCAGCTTCCGCGAGCCATTCGAAGGCACCCAGCGATTCGTTCACGGCCGCGGCCAGGTCTCGGGCGAACCGCAGCCCGGCTATCGGTCCAGCTGAATGGCTCGGGCCAGGGCGTACGCCATGAGCTCGGGCGCAGGCGCGCTCGGCGAGTCGCACGCAGCGGCGCCAGCGTGGCCAGGCGTAGCGGCGACGTCCCGTGATCTGGAGCATCCGCGCCGACGCCAGCGGTCGCGAATCCTCGGCGAGCAACGGCGAGACGTAGACGAGCGCCCGGTAGCCCAGGTAGTTTAGCAGGTCCCGGTTGCGCGTCGCGTGCAGCAGCGCCTTCAGGGCTCGCACGAAGCGCTCGCAACGCAGCAGCAGCGGTGTGCGCTCCTGCAGCTTGACCAAGTCGCCCAGGGCGAGCGCCAGGAAAGGCGCGAAAGACGCGTGGCTCCGCAGCGTGCTCAGGCGCGCCGCGCGCCGTCCCGTCACGATCTGCGACAGCCGCGACGAGAAGTCGCTGACGCGTTCGGCGAGCTCGACGTAGCGGCCCGGCGTGTATTGCTTGAAAGCAGTGTCCAGCGCGTGCGCTGGGTCCGTCAGCATGTCCGGCTCGTCTAGCGTCACGAGCGGCTGCGTTGCGTTGCGCGGGTGCGGCGCCACAGCGAGTCCGAGCAACGGCGTCAGGGACAGGTGGCGGAAAAGCAGAGCAGCGGCCTTCCACACGTCGCCACGACTGTGGGCGTCGGCGCGAAAGGGCCAGCCGTAGAGACCCATGTCGCGCAACAGAGATCTCAGCTGAAGCCGCGACGCCTGCGGCAGAGGACTGCGAAGGCACTCTTCGAGCAGGCCTTCGACGCGCCACACTTCCGGCTTGAGTTTGCTCGAGAGCGACAAGTACAGCTCGCGTTCTAATTGTTCGGCCAGTAGGGCCTCGGCTGGCGCCGGCGCCTGCCATCTAGAACAAGTGAACGCCTCGAAAGTCCGTGCACGGGTCGATGGTCCAGTTGAGTGCCGAGAGAACCGCGTCGGTGCGCTCCTGGCAGAAGCGCGTCATGCAGCGATGGCGCCGGCTCGCCAACTCCGACGCCGTGTCATCTTCGGGGCGCAACTTGAGAGCGCGCCGACGACCCAGTGGTGTGCCGAAATACATCTCGCGCTTCGTCGACGTCGCGGTGGTCGTCTCGGGGTGCATCTGGGACGCCGGAGGCTGCTCGCCGTTGGGTCGCGCGGGTAGTCCTGCGAGAAAGGGTGGTTCCGCTTCCACGGGCGTCTCCGTTCGCGGCCCTTGAGCGTCGAACCTGTTGAGTTCCGTCGTGCGCTGCCTGACAAACTCTCCGTGGCTGTACCACACGTAGTAAACGCTGACGGCGCCGCTGCAGAGCAGCACGAAAGCGGCGATGATGAAGCCGAATATGGTGCCCGACCGGCTATGTGGTGAAGGCTGTATTGTTTGAGCCGTCGGCGGCGGAGGCGGTGCTTGTCGCGGTGCCGGAACGTGCCGCGGTGGCTGTTGGCGTGCCGGGGGCTGTTGGCGAGGTTGAAGCACGGGGCTGCTGTACCGGTGGTGGCGGCGGCGGTCTGCTGGGACTGGGCTCGGACTGGCGCCGTTTCGACGTGGAGGCCAACTTGGGTCCGGCGCTTTTGCGTACGAGAGAGCTGTCGCTGAACATGCCTCCGCCATTTGCCGTGGCCGCCGAACGGGTGGCCTCATCTGGCCACCGGTCGACCTGCCGCGGCGCATCGCGAGGTCGGTGGCACCTGGACGTGCTCGGGACGCAGCATTGGCGCAGGCACGGCGGCTGCTTGACCGGAGCGGGGCTCGGAGCTCGACGGACCTCCGGGCAGTGGCAAGGAGCGATGAGCGCGACCTTTGGGAGACTTCTGCGACGAAGATGTCTGCTGGCTTTTGCCCAGGGAAGTTGATCGTCCGGCGAAGCTTGAGCGAGGACTGCGGCCGGAGGCATGTCTGGGCTCTGCAGATGGCATCTGCCCGCTTAGCGGCGTCAGCCAACTTCATCCTCGTCTACGGCGAGTACGGCCATGTGCTTTTCCACTTTCGCAAATCAAGCCCTCAGCTTTCAGTCATGGCGTACCTGGGCACTAGCAGTCCTCGACGTGTTGGGCCTGGCGCGCTGCGTTGTATGCCCTATACGGACAGTAATTGCGTCGCACTGGTGATGACGATAATTTCATAGTGAAATGTGGCATGCACCCACTGTGAAGAGTCGGCTAAAAATATCGCACGTTTTGAGATGATTCCACGGCAATGGCCGTGTCGAGATTTTTTTATGGCGTAGTGGGGTGGGTGGCCCTCGGCACCGCCCTTGTAGCTGATACATTCGTTTATGTAAGTATTTGTATGCATTACATTTAGCACCACACTTTCCTAGGCTATCGGTAATCTTTCTGTTAAACCTCCATCATTCCAAATAT